CGCCCTTCATCTCCCATTGACATTGGATCGGAACACTCCTCCTTACAGTATTTCATAGCTTACAAGACGAAAACAGGGAAAAATCTTCACGAATAAGGATTTTAAAAAAAAAGCTAGTCTAATTAGTTTATTTTTCATATAGATTATCCGCAAACATGTCTAACCAAGCTTTAACTGATGTTGATTCAGGTTTAATCGAAACCAACTACGATAATGTTGTGTATTCTTTCGATGATTTACACTTGAAACCAAGTATTGTCAGAGGTATTTTTGGTTATGGTTATGAAAGTCCATCTGCTATTCAACAAAGAGCCATCTTACCAATCACCGAAGGTCGTGATGTGTTGGCACAGGCTCAATCTGGTACTGGTAAAACCGCCACCTTTACAATTTCTGCTTTGCAGAGAATTGACGAAAACGAAAAATCTACTCAAGCATTAATCTTGGCGCCAACTAGAGAATTGGCTCTTCAAATTCAAAACGTTATCACTCACATTGGTTTGTACTTAAATGTCACTGTTCATGCATCCATTGGTGGTACTTCCATGAAAGATGATATTGAAGCTTTCAAATCTGGTGTCCAAATTGTAGTTGGTACCCCTGGTAGAGTTTTTGATATGATTGAAAGAAGATTTTTCAAAACTGACAAGGTTAAGATGTTTATCTTAGATGAAGCTGATGAGATGTTGTCGTCAGGTTTCAAGGAACAGATTTACAATATTTTCCGTTTATTACCTGAAACTACCCAAGTTGTATTATTATCTGCCACTATGCCACCAGATGTTTTGGAGGTTACCACAAAATTTATGAATAACCCTGTCCGTATATTGGTCAAGAAAGATGAATTGACTTTGGAAGGTATCAAACAATTCTACATTAATGTAGAACAGGAGGATTATAAATTTGACTGTTTGTGTGATTTATACGACTCTATCTCAGTGACGCAAGCTGTTATTTTCTGTAATACCAGATCAAAGGTTGAGTTCTTAACTACTAGATTGAAGGCAGAAAACTTCACTGTTTCTGCTATTCATGCTGATTTGCCTCAAGCAGAGAGAGATACTATAATGAACGAGTTCAGATCTGGTTCATCTCGTATCTTGATCTCGACTGATTTGTTAGCTAGAGGTATTGATGTTCAACAAGTTTCTTTGGTTATTAACTACGATCTTCCAGCAAACAAAGAAAACTACATTCACAGAATTGGTAGAGGTGGTCGTTTTGGTAGAAAGGGTGTTGCTATCAACTTCGTTACCGATCAAGACGTCGGCATAATGAGAGAAATCGAAAGATTCTACTCTACTCAAATTGAAGAGATGCCTGCTGATATTGGTGCTTTGTTCAACTAAGGAGGACATAAATGAAGTAATATACTTCGCAATCCTTATTTTGCTTACCTTATTCCTCTTTATTCATCTTTCTTATATAAACTTGACTTATGACGGCTTGACCCAAACCATATATCAACAAAATTTAGTCCGAGTCTCTTATCTTAGTCCCTTGATCATTGATAATTAATTTGGTTTAATAAAAGAATCTGACTTACTTATATTTTCGCGATATCAATTTCATCTTAAAATTAGGGAACCAACCTACCTTCAAAAAGAAGAATCTGTAAAACATTCTTTGAATGAGCTATCTATCTCATCTGATTCCTGGATCATACCCTGATTCATCTAGAGCAGTTGAAAGACAGCCATCTTCGATGTCGCTAAGAAATACTACCGCAAGTGCTATTATAGACAAGGAGAATGCGAACACTTTTGAAAAGAAACAAGTATTCAATCAAAGAAGAAAACTACAACATAATTTGATCTCACAGCTAGATACTTCAGTGTATTTTTTGGTCGGCTACCAATTCATAAAATATTGTCACTCAGCTTGTATTGTTCCTGCCATATTTCATATAGCTATTCAGAAATTTTTGGGTTGTGATTCGGTTGCCTCTTCTGAGGGCGTACATACTATGATGGCTGCAATCAATTACCGGGCAGGTGAGGATTCAGAAGCAAGAAATAAAGTAATCAGAGCTGTTATAAGTAAAACAAGTTTAACTATCTATTGCAAATCGGTCTTTACCTTTCTCTATCATATCTTATTTGTCGGCATATGGGTACTACCTGTGGTAACTAGAGGCACTCAAAATATTGAAAATGGTACTTGGTGGTTCGTTTCCTTTATTGGTGAAGGTGTTACTAATGACATAGAATCTTCTTCGAATACGTGGATTAAATTGGCAAAGCTAGGACTCCCAGGTCTCTTGTTGACCGATCTTTTGATTTTATTAATTCAATTAATCCTATACCAATGCATATTCAAACAATCCAATTTGATCATTAAGGATAGAATATTAAATGAGAATGAGAATGAGAATGAAGAATACGTGTTGCGATCTTCTGCTGAGCAGTTTTCAAATGTTAATCTTAATCCGATAGAAGATGACAAAGTTCCTATGATCTTAACAGTAAAATTGTTCGAGGCATTTGATTCGAAATCATTTCGATTAAACCCTTAATCTGATACCCATGATAGGCTTTAATCTATTATCTTAATACTAAAATAATACTCTTAATTTATGTATATACTATATTTTTTATTTGTACTAAAAATTATACATATTCACGATCAAAAGTCATCATCAACTTTTCTAATTTATATTCATGATAATATATGAGATCTTTGCGTCTCCGAATATTTCCGCCTAGCCAGAGCTTTAAGCGATACAAGTCGCATTATCTTAGTGACATATGGCTTAAAGAACCATTCAATATTGGATATCCAAGTAGAGGGCCATCGGTGCAGCGAGATCGCGATGTCTTACACCAGACGCTCTTTTCAGAGCAACCTGATAATGAACAAGAAAACTCTAAAAGGGCCTCGGAAAAGAGCTCAATTGGTTCAGACGCTAGATATAGTATAGCTTCGCCTTACTATCCAAAACCCGAAGCTATAGACGGGATAGAGCTACTTGGACTTATGACAGGAGTAGGAACTAAAGCTTATTTAAAGGAATTATGGTCAAAGTTGACAGATTCTGAAAGAAAATTGCTCGAAGGAGACATGGAACAAAAAAGCCTTATCCTTAAAGAACGATTAAGAATATGGAAGGGATATGAGGTAGTAAATTATCTCAAAAGATACAGTGATCAGTATAGATGGAATCCTTATCAGCTTCTGTCGTTATATCCTTGGGAAATAATCAAAGACAAGTTGAGAAGTAGGCGAAAGATATATGATTTTGAGTTGGATTACTATGACGTTATTATCAAAGAAGCGTTCTATAGAAATTCATCAAGAAAGGCTACTCATATTTTCTATACCGATTTGAAGCACGATAAGCCAATGAAATACAGCTACCAGAAGGTTCATTCTTTGTATGAAATGTTGGGTAACGATAAGAAAGATTTCTATGCTGACAAGGAACGAAGAAGGAAGGTACATTCTGAAAGAACGAAGATCTCTCCAAAACCGGAATTTTTACGATATTTATCTACCTTTCAGACAAATGAACCTATTCAACTAGATAAATGGACCTTAAAAGCTATCCAGTCATGGGACTCATTACCACCATTTGAAAAGTCGCAATTCTCATATGCTTCTTCTCGGCAAAGCAAAGAAGACAATTTAGATTGGAAAGTAGGTATAGTGATGGATTATATTTATTATACGGCTGGGGTATGCGGTACCGATTATAACTTCAATTGGAGAGCTGACATGAGGTCAAAAACCAATGGATCCATTTACCTTAACAAGGTATATTTTTCTAACTTAGTTTCTGTGTAGTCTGTTAAACGTGATATCGTCCTTATAGAACGCGTCTTTCATATAGTATACATACGCGCATAATTAAAGCAAATGTAGAAAACCAGAAGAGCACTAAATCGTTGATATTACTTTACTTCCAAGCCTTTATTAAAGCTATGACCTCAGAAGTTGATCAAGTAACCAAAAAAATTAAAGTGGAAGATACTTTGAAGGTATTTTTACGCTCAGAGAAAGCAACGACACCCACAAAGGGTTCCTCATTAGCAGCTGGTTACGACTTGTATTCGTCAGAAGAAGGTGTCATTCCAGCCCACGGACAAGGATTAATTGCAACTGATATTTCTATAATTGTTCCAATTGGTACCTATGGTAGAGTTGCCCCTAGATCAGGCTTGGCAGTGAAGCATGGGATTTCTACAGGAGCTGGAGTTATTGATGCAGACTATAGAGGAGAAGTTAAGATTGTGTTATTCAATCACTCGGAGAAAGATTTCAACATTAGTAAGGGCGACAGAATTGCTCAATTAGTTTTGGAAAGGATAGTCAACGCTGAGATTCAAGAGATTACTGCCGATGAACTTCAGCAAACAGAAAGAGGTGAAGGCGGTTTTGGTTCAACAGGTAAAAATTAGATATATTCGATTTATTTTAGACTCTATTTAATATAATAATCGTTACTTTTCTTTTTGAATTTTTAATATTTTAAGTTATTTTATTGATAAAAATTTTGTCGCCGTTTATTTGATATGCACTGAGCCCGACGAATGATCTACATGACTGAAAAATCAGAGCCAATCTAATGCACTTTCGATTCAGCTTTCTGTTCGTTTTTCGGTGTAACATTATCCGGTTGCGTTGCTGTTTTTTCTTCCTCCGATTCGGTTTCAGGTTTAGCTTTAGCATTCTTTTCCTTTGAAATCTTAGTATCAGCGGCGTCATCGTCGTTCTCAATCTTCATACCTTCAGTAGCAGCATCCTCGAACTCGTCCAAATGGATGTTATCTTTCACCTTAGTGACAGTATCCTTTTCTCTTAAATTCTCCTCGTTGATCATTTCATCTTGCTCCTTCAACATATTCAATTTCAATTTCGAATCGTCAGACAATTCTAATTTAGCAACGTTATACACTTCATCAGGAATAGATGATAAAACAGCTAACAATGCATCATAATATGTTTCAATGCTTGCTGAGTGTTCTCCGTAAGTGTAAGTTGATGACAAGATCAATAATGTAGATGGAATTTTTTGTCTTAACCTCAAATCCAACCAAGTGGATAAATCTTCCCTCAATCTAGCAGGTGAAACATCAACTGTCTTGATACCTCTTTGTTGACATGCTGTCTGTAGTTCTGGGACGGTCAATGAGTCAACACCTTCATAGTCTATCGCTTTATCGTCTTTAATAATAGTTAAAAGACGATGTCTTATTTGATAACGCAAGATCGAATCAGTACCAAATGGTCTTAAAGACATATAGCGTGCCATCGCAACTAATTGTGGACGGGACAAATTATCTAATACTTGATCGTTCTTGAAAAGACGCGCAACTTGAATCAAGTGCTCCTTACTGGGATTTTTGCCCATCGAAATCGTATTAAAAAAAGAAACAAAGGCTTCTTTTTCTTTGTCAGTGATTTTCTTGGACAATTTCAAACCAGATTCTTCCATGGTATGCTTTATATATTCTGAAGCAGATTTTCTAGTCTTAGATAATTTTGCGCTCTTCTTCGTACGATCCTGTTTAGACTCATACGTAGACGGTAATAGATTGGGGAAAAGCTTCAATGCAATAGGAAGTAAAAGCTCAGCGAACGGGATTACAACAAACATGGAGAACGGAACAAGTCTAATGACATCAACAATAGTTCTCTGCAATTGTGCTGACTCTCTACGAGATAATCCGTATCCTGCAACCATTTTGATCAAAAGCTTTGTCGACACTTTTATTTCATAGCCTAGCAATTTGGTCCCATCCCAATAATGCTGAGCTTCATGCTTAACTTTTTCCCAAATACTCTGCTTGGGTATCTCCGACAGGTGTGGTATTAACTCAGCTTTGTCCGGCTTTTTATCGGGTAAAGTAGACTGATTCCTTATCAATACCCTGACGAATTTGTCATTCACCGTGTACTGATTTATATTTAAATGAATGTCTGGCCTCAAAGGATACCTGATCAGTCTGGTGGCGGAAGCTCTAATTATCAAATTCCTCGTTGGCACTATTGACGAACCTTTTAAAGTTCGACCAACAATTCCACTTAGTATTGCCCTAGAAGCCATCTTGCATCAACTATTAGAACAAATTTCTAACTATAATATAAGATTAGTCTTGATCTAAAATTAAACTATTTGTAGTGCTGGAAGCAACTCGTTAGGTTTGACCAGTTTTTTTCCGGTGTGCATATAAATTACTCAAAACGGTGGCTACAGTATCTCCACACGGGTACTACGGTAAGTATCGATAACACTAATAGGAGACTTTTGACCAACGAAATATATAAAAGACACTAAAGCGACATCAAGATAACTTCGTCAGAGCTTAATTGAAGACATTAGCTTTTGATTTGTTTATCTAAATGTAGTTTCTAATCATGGATTTTTATGCCCAGTTCTTTCGGCTATTCGAGGAGCTATTCGTCAGAGGATTTCTCGAGTTTAAAATTGTCTTTGGACTCTCCACTCACTCCTACTATTATTATCTTTTGTACTAATGTATGGAAGTCTTCATTTTCTCCGTCAATGAAGATCTTCAAGTTTTGAACCGACTGAAATCTGACAAACTTTAATTTGCACTCATACCATCCATTTTTCTTGTCAATCTTTTCAATGTGAGGTGCATTAGAATCGCTAGCACTATCATCGAATGATAAAACACTTGTCTGATTAAACCAGACTTTCACAAGACTTGGGGATTGCGTCTCATTTTTTAACTCATCCTCGTTGAGCTCATATTTGTCAGAAGCCAATTCCTTAGGGTCAGCAATCTTTATCAAGATAGAATAAACTTTTGAAATATTGACAAACGGTACATAGAACAACAATTGTGAATCAGCGTCGGAGATAACAGCACTATTCTCAACCTTTGAGTCAAGTCTAAATAAATTCTTTATTTCGCTTGCGTCGTCTGAAGTTTTCAGTAAAGCCAAAGAATTCAACGCTTCAAACTGTGGAAATTCAATAGAGCTATTCAAAATTTCAAATCCACTGGGAATCAACTTAGAGATTTCTTTTTGATATGAGGACACTGAAGATACTGAACTCACAGGACTCTGAGCTCCATGCCTTCCAGCATTAACATCATTGGAAGCCTTCGAGCTCATTTGGTCTAAGCGCTTCACAACTTCTGGTATATTCGCTCCATTGATTCTACTCGTCTCCTTTCCCTTTTCGAAAAATATAAATGTAGGTATACTAGTTACATGATATCTTGATGCAAGCTCAGGAGAAGAGTCCAAATCGACTCTTGCGATTTCTATTTTGGCATATCTGCCATTTTCATCTGCATAAAGTTGATCAATTACTGGCTTGACAACTTGACAAGGAGGACACCACAGTGCAGTAAAATTGGCGACAAAGAAGTTATTTCTAGCCAAGTAACCGTCGAAATCTTCCGTTGATTTGACAAATTGAACTGGCATAGCGCAATGTTATGTAGGATGTGGCTTTTTAAAATATATTTTTCTGTCTTCTATCCAATGTAATAAACAACGGATTTTGAGATTATTTAATTGATAATCAATTTAAAGTTTGAGGCTTTTCGTTTTTGTAAGCAATGTTTTAAATCATGGATCGCTCAACAAAAGCGGCTGAGGAACAATTAGTTAATGGTGCTGATTCGCTGGTGTCTCCCTTGTCTAGGATACGTCTTACGAAAGCTCCGTCAGCTATGGCTGGAGCGAGAGATGACAATTCAAACTCTGAGAAGGTAAAATGGAGTTCTGAAACTGTCAAGGAAGGAGATGAAAAGCTGAGTGGAGAGCAAAGTGAACTGAATCATAGTCCAACGAAGGACGGTTTTAATGTTGATAGAGATATAAGCCAACCTCGTGAATTAGGAGAGACAATTGATATAGATGATACAGACATAAAAAAGGCAGGAAATTTAACATCAATCCTTCTAGATACTAGAAAAGTACTAAGAGCCGACTGTAATGTTGTAGAACCGATGAAAAACAATAATGGAGAAGGGATTTGGAAAGACAAAGACGTATTGGCCAGCAAGTTTAGTCCATCAAGGAGTACGCTAACTAGGGCTGAAAGGATCAAATCAATGATTGCACTAAAATATCTTTATATTCAGAGAATTTACGACTGGAATGAACAAAACAAGTACTCCAATGAGCATCCCGGCGTTGATGGCGTCTACAATCCATTGCAAATAATCCGAAATAGAAAAATAAGAAAGAAATACCATGAGTATCCGAAGCCATTGTCAATCAGCACCATACCTTTGGCTTCTAACGTCTTCAGTTCTCATAACGGCAAGAATAATAAGAAACCATGGAAATGCATATGGGCAATTGAATTGAATGAACTTTTGAGCGACCTGAGTTGGAGATCATTCCACTGGCATGAGCTAAAGAATGCCAAAGGTAACTTGTGGTTTCCATCTTCATCAGGCTCCTCAGATATTGCTTCCAAGTCAAAGTCGAAGGAAAGATTACATAAGTTGCATGATAAACTTTTCAGCGAGGAAGATATTACATCCCGTAGATTGAGCAGCAATCATCTGTCTACGACCAGTACTGACGAAGAGTACAAGGCTCAAAGTTCTAAAAGAAGTAAAGCATCTGACAAGAAGAATAAATCACGATCATCCAAGAAGTCTCATAGCGATTTTTCTTCTCCTAGCCAAGACGAATCCGACGATACTAAAGAAGGTAAGCAATCCTCGAAGGAGAGGACTTTCAAAGGAGATATCCCGCTGGCTCTTGAAGAATTGAATACCTCAACTGAGGGAAATCTGACTGAGAATAACGAACCAGAAGCACCACCATTAATTAAGATTGATGATGCCTCAGAGAGAGACATAAATAGCGTTTCCATACGTCCACTTGAAAAAAGACCTGGAGAAGAGGTCGCTTCGAAAGAGAAAGAAATATTAAAGCCACATGTATCTGTGGATCCTAATGACGATGAAGTTGTACAGTTGGAGAGGGAATTGACATTTCTTGCAAAAATCTTAGACTTGAAGATAAGCTATATGGTTACACTGTATCCACAGCTAATGGAATCTACAAATCTGAAAATTAATAACATTATTGAGAAAAAGATAAATCAAATCATGAAACAATCAGCTTTCATTAACGATGAGTGTTTACCTGCGTACGAAGAACTTTACTCCACTTTATTAGATGAAGTTAAATCTATTCTTCATTTGGCAAATGACAATTATGCTGTTAAAATAGACAGTTTGTTGAGCAAAAGTGATAGATCAATTGGAGAGATAAATACGTCATTGTCATTGGACCTTAGAAAATTCAGTGAAAGGCTTGACAAGTTAAATTCTTCGTTATTTAGAAATATAGTGTCAGACACTTTGAGGGATAATGATTTAACTATGAAATTGAACGAAGGTGATAAACATGCAATCCTATATTATATCTTAGAAAATTTAATAGTGGTGATGTTGAGAATAGTCTGGATAGTCGTTACATTTTATAAGATAATCTTATATATTTTGATGGTGTTTTGGAGAATTATCAAACTTATATTTTCTACTTAAGAGAATTGAAACAGAAAGAAAAGCATTCATATATGGTTATATATGTTCATTTAATTTGCATCCTAATTATTCGGCTTCCTTTTTTCATGTGTATTGTAAGAATGGACTCGGAGACATCTATCACGTATTTTCTATCACTTCTGGGTTTTCCAAAAAAATACTAATTGGAAATTTATACTTTTGAGCATATTATCTATGGGGTTCAAGTCACTAGGTACATACAGCCTCTTAATAGCTTTCATTTACATACTTCATTTACATATTCAATAAACATACACCGTTTACATACTAATTGTACAATACGAGAAGAAGCAGTGATTTGTACTATGGTCAGCTTCAATGGATCAGAGGAGTATCGCGAGAGTTAGAAAACTATAGAAAAGCTACTTATACAAATCGAAAATCCATTTTGACTTCTTGGGTAAACAATTTTTTTTTTTTGCAGAATATAATTTCTCAGATTAAGTAAATTGAAAATTGAAAACTTAAACTTTAATACAGAGGCTGCCAGCACTATTAGATATGCAACAAAGATCTATTGCATTGTTACGTAAGTATATATAATACATATTCGTCATAGAATGCGTACTAACTTTAATAGAGAGAATTGACTCAGATATTGAACAAATCTTACTGAAATTTCAAGATATTTTTGAAGTTGGTATTATTAGAGATAAGTCAAAAGAATTACTTTCAGTAGACTCCCTTACCATAAATTCAGATGCATTGACTATTATACGGTTGTGTGAAGATTTGCTAAATATTACTCGGGGATTGAAAGAACTATGGTGTTTGGGTTCAATGAAGGTGAAAGGTTATGATATTAAGTCTCAAGACGAAGACGTTGAAAAAGTGTTTAACCAATTCAATCAATTGACTGAGAAAATCGGTGAATTTGAAGATAAAGATTCTTGATAGATCGTTATATTTTTACAAACTCTAGTTTTGTCTACTTACACTATTACTTCGCAGGCGACTTGCTGGTCCAGCTGGTGATGACTCGCCCAGAGGTTGCGTCAGGTGTTCCTCAAATAAACTGACAAACTTTTGTACTTTGCCGACCTTGATGAATTTGAATTTTTTGTCCTCCTTTATATAATTGGGAACCGATGAAGACTTATCTCTAAATGCATAGTCTAAATCTTTATATTCACCTTTATCAATCATGGAAAACGATGCGACTGATGTCTTCGTCGAGATTGATCTTCGTTTGGATGGAGACGCAAACGAAGATGATGTTGATATTTGTTTGTTAATTATTGGAGATTCTATACCTTGATCAAAGTCTGAGAGAAGGTCCACTGGAATAGAGAGGCTCTCAGATGTATATTGGAACTGTTCTATCTGTTCGCATTCCATAGCATCACTGAGAAGTATATTGTTGTCATCGTTATCCATTTTCTCGTCATCAGTCGTATCAATTTCGTCGATATCAACGATCGTTTCATTATGTCTCATGTTGTTTATGTCCTTGATAAATCCGTTGTCTTTTATGCCAGCACCATAAGCGCATTGTTTCTTCTTGGGTTTATTGTTACTTTTAAGTATGCTTTCAAAATTTGTCTCTTCCTCTTCGTCTTCGGTAGATTTTGAAGTATCATTAGATTTCAATAATAATAAATCTTCTAAAGAATTATATTCATCACCTTCGTCGTACATGATTGATTTGTCATTAATAGTAGTATCATTTTCTCGAATGAAAGATTCTTCGAACTTTTCTTCAGGTATGACAGGAACCCTTTCAAGTATTAGTACGCCTCTCTTATGAGGGTCGCATGGATGACCATAGGGATCTCGCTGCGCCGAAAACGATTTCAAACTAGTTTTGAATTGTCGCTTCATATATAGCGCTATTTGTTCAATCATTTGTTCGTCAGACAACACCAATATTCCATAATTTTCATCTTTTAAAAAGTCAATATGGATCTCATCCAGATCTCGGTATACAACAAAATCCAAGATCTTCAATGCTAAATTGACTACAAAAACTTCACCACTTATAGGCCTGTACTGGAATATTTTTGCATTGTTTATTGTGCATGAAGATCGGTTTTGCATTTCACCCGGAAGCTCGTCCTTCAGCTTATCGCATTTGGCCATGTAGACCAAATTATCTCTGATCAAATCTGAAGTCTTCAAATTCCTATTCCTCAGAATTAGCAAGTCCAATTTGACTGCTACAGTAACTTCTTCGTTGCCGTTACTCAAATCGATTATATCTCTATCACTTTTTTCAAACCTTTGAGCCAATGTTTTCATCTTCTCAGAAATATCAGAGTAAAATAAAAAGTTAGGTTTCTCAATATCATCCTCTTGATATACGAAAGGCTGGATAAGGTTCAATCCATGTAGCATCTCCAACACCATACTGCTGGTCCTTTAAGTATAGTTCAGGCTCTATTATTTAATTGTTGTTGTAATTTTGATGCTTTTATCAAGAAAGTCAATCAAAATAAACAATCGAAATATTATTTTATTTTTTTATTTTTCCCTGTCATAGTCGCTATAGAGATACCACACTAAAAAGTTCTTTTAAGTATTATAATATAAAAAGAGCAAAAGGTTCTAAGAAACGAATGAAAGTACGCTAATGTCATCATATTATTTTACGATCATAGGAACAAGAGATAACCCATTATATGAACTAGAATTCTCGACATTCAAGGGAAATGGAACAGCTCAGCAACTGCAATATATTCCTGGTAAAACACAGTTCTCACCAAGTATAAGAGAAATCTTACCTTTCATATCGAACTCTTCTTTAGACTTGATTGAAGATGCACAGTGGTCTACTAATCAGTTTTATTTAGGAAAAGTGGAATCATTTTATGGTCTTCTTGTAAACGCATTCATTACTCAAGGTAATATAAAGTTCATATTGTGTTATGATTTAAATGGTCCTGGAACTAATGGCACGGGTCTACAGAAACATGATGAAAACTCGATTAAACAATTCTTTATTGAAACTAATGAACTTTATGTGAAATGTTTGATGAATCCTTTTTATTCCGTAAATGATGCCATTTGCTCTCCAGATTTTGATTTACGAATCAAACTACTAGCAAGAAAATATTTATAACTTATTAACAGTATATACAAATAAAGCATACTAGAGGACTTTCTCAGTTTCAATTTTGAAATTTCCGTCGCTTGTTTCAACTATAACACCCTGATCTCTCAATTTATCGAACATATCTTGAGGTACCCAGCCACCTGTTGCAGCAAAAGGTGTTGACAAGATTTCTAATTGGTACTCTTCGAGATCTGATTGGTGTTCATCAAGCTCTTCTGCAGTGTATTGGATTGGGAATGTAGGATCCGTAGAGTTGCATAATTCATTAGCAACATAAGATTCCCACATTGCTTGAAGTTGAATTATTGAATGTTCGACATACAAGAAATCTTTATCGTTACGTAACTCCAAAGCTTGAGAATATGGAGCCTTAAGCAACTTTATATGAGGAGAAGCGATCGCAATTAAATCGTGCCTCCTAGAATTCAATTCAAGTTCCCATAATCTCTCATTCCTTGTTTTAAAGTACATAAATTGATATTGCTGCTGCTCTGCTTCATCCATATCCTTGAACTCGGGAATTTCTTCCTCGATATTAAATACCTTTGCTCCATTATAAGCAATGAAAGAGGGATAATCACTGAGGATGAAAGGCTTAATAGTGGAATACTCAAAGTCTAAGAAATAGAAATTGTCATTTTTAACAATAACATTCAAAGGATCCAAGTCAGGTAAATACAAACGGGGCTTAAACACCTCTTCAACGTTCATTATGGATTTGGAGTCAGGCTTGATTAGCTTTGGTCCGATAAGAGACAAATGATCAAATGTTCTGATCTGCTTCTTCAATAATGCAGCATCTTCAACCGTTCCACCTGCATCTGCTTCAGCTAATGCTAATCTGTGTTTTGCGTTTTCAAGCTCAATCCCTGCAAGTGATTTAATAATCTCTAATGGAGATTTTCTGTCCCAAGGGCCATTGAATTGATTGACTACTTTCTCTGGTAACTTTGACTTGTTCTTCGCATACAGCTTCTCAATACTTGGTCCAATTCTCCATCTGTTCTTCAATACTGGATTCACTTCACCATCGTAAGGTAAAGTTGACTGCTCTCCGACAGAAACGTCATCATAAAAGTATAAAGAACCATATTTATTGAAAGTGAATGAAAGAACTTTTTCTTGAAAATCAGCAAAGACTTTTATTATATTTTTAACCTTGCTATCAACAGCAGAATCATCAACTAATGGATCCCATTGCTTCATTAATAAATCGCCTTCAATATACTCCATTAAAATAAACGGAGATTGAATGGAATTCTGGTGTGAGCCACTAAAGGCGACAACTTTTGGAACCTTCAAGCCTAGTTTTAAACTTAAAAAATCCATGGTTGCAACCTCACTGTTTATTTTGCGAGAAAGCGACTCCTTTGAAGCCAAGGCGTAAGGAATTCTCAACACAAATTCCTTACCACTTGAAATAGTGACCTTATAAATTCTATGATGTTTTCCCTCGTGAATACTTGCAATTGACCTAACTAGCATTTCATCGTGTTTACCAAATATCGAGTCCGACAAGTTTCCGGTCAAGACTCTGGAACCATCCTTTAGCTCAATTGGAGCTCTAATGAAAGGCTCGCCGCTTTTGTCGACATTTCTAGAATTTGATTTTTCTTTACTCAAATTCTGGACCAATTCAGTCAAACCTTCGATAGAGAATTTTGTTTCCCTTTTTTTCCTTTCTTGTTTGTCATTCTTAATCCAAGATCCCCATGTATACTCAAAAAACTGAGTTCTTTTAGGGTCTTTAGAATCAGATAATTTGGTGATGTGCTCTTCAGGTTCGGAACTTAACCTTGACAGGAACCTTCTCGAAGCTAAAGAAACGACACCGGAGCTCTTTCTGGGGGCTTGTAAACTTCTTCCCTTTCTAAAGACAGCTCTTATCTGTGATTTAATCATGTTTGGATAAAGAATGGCAAATGCTGCTACGGTAGGGTATCGATTTCTTAGATGAACGAATTTTATAGTCACGTGATATACAAATATTAAGCTATTATGTCATACTATCTGATAAAATCTAGGAGTGTGGAGGAGTCACTCAATGGAACCATTGGATTAACTAATAGAGCGAAACAGACAAGAAATAGAAAATTCGTAAAGTAAAATTAATTTCATCTTGAGCATTAATCAAGTTCGTGAAGCCTTTGGTGTGTTGAGTAAATTTATCTTTTCCTTCAAAGTGAAAGGAGGTTCGGAATTTGGTATTTGATCAATTCCTATAGTTTTCTTTTCCTCCATCTCTCCATTATGCTCTGCATTTGTCGTTTTAATAGATACTTGGCTCTGGTTCCCTTCGTTAGAGTTTCCAGTAAAGGATCTGAAAAAAGAAGGCTTTACTCTTGTTGAAGAATTTATCGATTCTGTTCCACTAACATCGACTTGTTGTTGCAGCTGTTGATAATTTTGTAAAGCCTGTTGATGTACCATGCTTGCCATTATGCTATTTGAATAGGCGGTGGGCCCATTTCTATGAAATTTTTTGCCTTCTACGCCGTCCTTAGTCGCCATAGTAGAAAAGCATGATGTCGTTGAGTTTCTCGATGATGGTCGCAAAATAGCTTCCAGTTGAGTGTAGCTTCCATCGTCCGGAGTTGGACTCAAATACGAATCTCTCAGATAAGACTTCTGGTTGTCACTGGTACCCGAGGATAAAGATGCCAGGGAGTCTTCTCCATTACTATAGACATGAGACTGCTTCGTTGCTTCTTCCCCTTGGCTCTCTGAATAGCCAATGGTTTTGGGATTTCTTGAGTCTTCTGATTCATCCCTCCTTCTGAACGCTTGGTAATCCGAGATTGCAGTATTGCTATTGTTAGAATCAACGGAATCCCAATCCATAGAACTCATTTTAACTCGACCACTTATGATCGATTTAATACTTGCCGCAGGGTCTGCCATCAGTAATTATTTGCGAATCAATAACAAAATATATCCACTTGAGCCTTAAATTTATAATATGGTACCTTCACTAAGATATATACGTTTTTAATACTTCTTAAGGTTGTGCCTGTTTGATTGTACTTCTAAGATCTTGATGAAAAATAGCTGGAAATTCAACATCTCGAGGCAAGTTTCTCTCGAAGGGTTGAAAGTGTCACGTCCTTGGGATGTAACGTATCGGGTACATTATTCAGGAACAGCGCGGGCTGCATAACCAATGGTCATCGACCTGTGCTTTTAGTTGCACTTTTCAGCCTTTCCAATTGGGACGCTCTAAGGATGAATTTGATTTGGGAGAGCTTGTATCGTAGCTATGGACTATTCAGTGTTGCTCGAACAACGCTCGATTACTTTTAGAATTTAGTTTAGTATTTCTTTTTTTTTTTATCACTCTATTTTGAAGATGTCTTTTCAGGAAGGTATTCATTAGGCTTGTTGTGATTGATGTGATTGACCTGTATTAATATTGGACATATATGCAGATTTCGAAGTAATGGATCTCTGATTGGACTTGTTTCAAAGATGGGTTTTCTCTTGAATTTATTTTATGCCGTTTATAAAGAATATTACATTAATACAGGTATAACAAATGCTAGAGCTAGAGGCACCATTATGTTTTCTCAAACCAATATAGCCGATTTCTCGACATTTTAAACGAAGTTTGGAAGGCTTTGCCGATGTTGCAGCAAAAACCCTTGTCTTTGTTAGAGATGTATAATACAGTCTCGGAAATCAATCGATCCTTTTAGTGCAACATTTATGAGACTAATAGAATATGAATTTTTCATGAAGATATTATCTTACAGTGGGTGTCGAAACATGACGAGGTCGAGTGAGCCAACCTACAGAAGGGTTGCTGTAATTGGAGGTGGCCCCGGTGGTTTAGCTATGGCAAAGGCGCTTGCTATAGAGCCGGCAACTTTCGATAGGCTCGCTTTATTTGAGAGACGGGATAAGATAGGTGGTGTTTGGTATTATAGTGAGGAAAAGAAGATTGCAAGACCATCGGTACCTTCGTGTCATAGAAATTCAAAGGACGTGTTCGAGGATATAGCTAATGAAGAAAGACCTTTCCTATCTTCAATGTATGATAATCTTGAGACCAATCTTCCAGGGAAAATGATGGAGTATAACAACGTACACTTTGCTAATCAGTCCAAACCTTTTCTCAATCGACAGGAAGTTCTTCAGTATGTTCAAAAGTACGCTCAAACGATTCCTTCTTCCGTGCAACGATTATTGAATTCTAATGTTGTTGAGCTACGTAAGGACCAAGGTGTATGGAATCTAAAGTACGAGGATATGAAGACAAAAGAATTCAAAACTGACCATTTTGACGCGGTTGTTGTTGCAAACGGTCATTTCAATGTCCCTTTTATTCCCGACGTCGAAGGCTTGGAGGAATGGAGCAAAAAAGATCCGAGCTCAATAACACATGCAAGATATTTTGTGAGGGACACCGACTTTAAGGATAAGAATGTGTTGGTCATCGGAAATAAATCGAGTGGTAGCGATATATCCATGCAATTATCTGTGAGTGCCAAAAAAGTTTTTGTATCGTCGAATGAAAAAGAGTTTATTGACAACCACAATGTCACTCACATTGGGATAGTGAAAAAGTACGACTATGAAAATGGTAGGTCAGTCGAAACTGTGGATGGTGATATTATTAATAGTATAGATTCTGTTATATTTTGCACGGGTTACCTATATGATGTCCCATTTTTGAAGACATATGAAAATATTTTAGGAGATGGAAGACAGATTTACGACTTATATAAACAAATTTTTTATCTATATGACCCCTCATTAGCATTTATTGGCTTACCGAAAGATGTCGTCCCAATGCCACTTTCTGAATCTCAGGCTGCGATAGTGGCCAGAGTATATAGCGGAAGACTTAAACTACCATCTGTGGAAGAAATGAAAGGAGATTACGAGAAAGAATTGCGAGAGAGAGGAAAAGGTACAAGCTTTCATAAACTTCCGTTTCCACTCGATGGAAACTACTGTCGAGAGTTACAAAAGATTATCGACGATGCCAACATTGGTACGGTTGGATTACGTGCTCCAATTTGGGATGATGCTAAAATGGATCTAAGAAGCAAAGTGTTTCAACTCAAGGCAAAGAGAATGGAAAAAGTGGCTGAGCATTCTAATAAGTTGAGGCAAAATGGAGAACCTTATAGATTGTTGAATAAATAGATTCTAGTAATAGATTGATATATGCTTCGTTTTGTGTAATAAATTTAATTTTGCAGCATTTGAAGTGATATTGCACGGTTTACGTGTATAAAAGAAGGGCACGATAATGGTTCAAGTGAATTTGAGTTTCCTTTGAAAGTATAAGCACTTTAAAACTTACAAGTTTACCATAGGGACAGATGGCATCCTCTACAGAAATAAAAGTGCAAACGAAGGATAGGCCATTCACAATTAAGCAATCACAAAAATTGATTATGGAGCTTATCAAGATTTCCTTGGACTGTGTTGTGTTCTTGAGACACATTTTCAACGATGAGCATTTTGTGGATCAAAAGTTTGTCGTTGATGTCAATGCATCAGATAATAAGAGAAATTGGATTAAAACTAAGCAAGTCAGGAGAGGAATAAGCAACGATGGTGATTTATATTTAAATTGGATAGAAAAAGGCATTTTCGAGTCTATTAGTTTGAAGTACTTAAATGCATTACAATTTGGAATATATCTTGATAGTAAAAAACCTCAAAGTCTCATTGAAGCATATGTTTTTGAAATAGATTATGACAATTACAATTTGATGTTTATAAGTGATAAACATTCTTCCAATTCGAAAACATCGAATTTTGGAGCAAGGGAAAGAGTACAGAAATTACTTCGCCAAATAATTGTTTCCATTCAAGCTTTAGAACCTCTTCCAGCAGAGAAGTATATTTCTATCAGATTAATGTTTAATGAGAACTGCCCAAAAGATTATAGCCCGCCATTCTTCAATGATCCAAACAGTCTTCCTCCGACGATCTCCGTGGAAAAAGGTTATCTCGAAAGCAAAAATAAGAGCATGTATTCAATGAATACAGGCATTGATTCTGTTAGCGTTGATTTTTTGACAGGTGTTGCTCTGGGACTGGATGAAACTGAAAATATAGATCCATTTCTGACCGTCTTCCATTCTTTGAATTCACATAAAACAATTACATCAGAAGAAATTGAATTTCCCAAATATATCAACTGCAATCCGCTTCCGTTAAGTCAATTTCTCAATTCATGCAGCAAAGATTCCCGAAAAGAACTTCCCTCAACGATACCAGTTGAAACTCAGGACCTTGTCTCTCCGGAAGACTGCGAGTGTGGTGCTGACTACGAGAAATCAGTACCTCACTTCAAATGTGGTAAGTGCAATCGTACTGTCCATTCTTTCTGTTATGGGGTTGTGAGTCACTCAGTGGCTGGTGGCACTTGCTACACTTGTATGTTTGGAAATTTAGAAGAAGATTTGATTTCTTTGATGAGGACTAGATATTTATGGAAATACTTCACTAATTATGGTATTCCCCAATTTTCGCAATTATTAGGAATATTCAAGCTGCTTAGAAAAGAAAATAACATAGTCAAAATTTTGAATCTGCTTTTCAAAGATAATGTCTTGGCAACATTTGAAAATCCCATATTAAGAAAAGATGGTGGCTTTCTAGTTGGCTGCGGCGTCTGGATTCCCTCAATCGGTGGCATAGTAGATAACACTGGAGTCGAATTAAAAAAGAAAAAAAAATATTATATTGCCTTCGTTCCCAGAGTTAAGACATACATTAAGAACCTCAGCTATAATCAAAAGACGAAAGAAATTTATTTTGCCAATGCTTTGGCCACAGCTGACGTTGTTATAAGCAAATTAGAACAATTCAAAGAGCAGAGAAAAAGCAGTTTGGCATTATCTGAACTTGAACGCAGTCTGGAAATTTTCAGTAGTTTCAACCTGCCTGAGAATATAGAAGATCTCTCCAAGAAAAGAATGATGTTAGCTAATAAGAGTCCGGCATCTGATGAGATTGATCAATTGTCATTTGAAGATTCTTTGACATTCTTGTCGCAGTCGCAAAATTTAGATCTTTTTTCTCCAATCTCTAACAAGAAAAGGTTCTATAGCGTTGAAGGCAAGCTGAGTCAAGCGAAATCTAAAAGATTGAAAATACATGGTAATAGTATGTAGGAATCATAAATAAAGTATAAATTATTTCTCTATGGAGGTGTGATCATTTCTAGCTTTTAGTAAGTTCTTTTTTTTTCCTTCAAGTTTTTCACACTTTTCCGCTGTATCTTTCCTGCAACTAAAAATCTTACTTCAGAACCATAAAAAAAAAAGATACAGATTCTATCACACCGAGAGTCAAATTATACTGGTTAACGTAATTATGGAGGGAAACTTAGTTCTACCAGGTGATCCTTTACCTATTGAATCCAAGAACATCACCACAAATATCGGACCTGGAGTTACGAAAGACCCTAAAACACAAAGAATCATACCCTCATCGGCTGGATTGTTACACATTAAATCGAATAAATCTAAGGCATCTCAGGTTGTCTATATAGAATCAAGAGAAACAAGATACATACCGAAAACCAATGATTTTGTAGTGGGTGTTATAACGGCGGTATTCGGTGATTTTTATAGAGTTTCACTTCAGGATTATTCTCCACCTGTGCAATTATCAATGACAGCATTTCCAAATGCAACTAAGAAGAATAGACCGAATTTAAAAGTTGGACAAGTAGTTTATGCGAGGGTATCAGAGGCTGTCCCTGAGATTGAAGCAGAGATTGAGTGTATCGACCCTACAACTGGTAAAGAAGGCGGATTTGGATTACTAGATGAGTCCGGTTATTTGTTTTCTGTTCGATTAAATTTTGCTAGAGAGCTTTTATTCAACCAAAACTCAATTTATCTTGAGAAATTGGCTGCTAAGTGCAAATTCGAAATCGCAATTGGGATCAATGGAAAAATATGGATCAAGTGCGGCGATGGTTTGATCATTCAGAGAAATGAAGATTCTGAAACAGTGGATAAAGCATCTCAAATAAAGTCATTGAAAACTACAATCGCAGCAGCAAATTTCCTTATAAAATGTCAGACAAGCAGACCAGTAGATATTGATAGCATATTACATGAAACCTTCAAGAGCATTTAGTATAGCATGACATTGATAAAATGTTGTTTCTATGTCCCCTCTATTCTTTAAAATAGAATCTCATTATTTGATTAACTCGTAAAATTATAGATGATGAGGCATCGAAAATTCGCAAAAAAAAAAAAAAGAATGCTTTGCAGTAGAGGAATAAACAGACTAAAGGCATGCCTAGCGAAAAGCAAGCTATAGATGTCGCTCTGCAAAAAAAGGCAATTGAGAAAAAAAACAGACGAAAACACTATGATGATTTACAAGTACAAGGAACAAATAACTCATCGATTGTTTCTAAACGGTCGGTGGAAATGTTATACACTAACAAATTAGACCTTGATGTTGGCGAGTGGTTCAAATATTTTGTTCCCAAGTGTAAGAGAAGGTCTCCCGCAATAAACCGTGGTTACTGGATAAGAATGGAATCTATCAAACAAATTATTATGAAGATTATTGATAAGAACCCAAATGAGAAAGTGCATATTATAAACTTAGGATGTGGGTTTGACCCTCTTCCTTTTCAATTATTATCGAAGTTTAAGAAAAGGAATAAAAGCATCTGCTTTATTGATATAGACTATCCTGAACTAGTCAAAAATAAGCTTTCTATGATTAAAGATTCGCCTGAAATTCTCAACCTTATAGATAAAGAATCTGTGGACCAAGACTTCAAAACCACTAGCATATTACTTTCTACTGATGCTTACAAACTCGTTGGATGTGACTTGAAAAACAAACAGTTATACGCTGAACTATTAAGCACTTTAGTAGGGAACGATGATGGGATCAAAATCTTTGTCGCCGAAGTTTCACTAGCATACATGAAACCCGAATTTGCAAATCCAATAATTGAGTGTTCTTCTAAATTAAGTAACTCAAATTTCATTATTTTGGAGCAAATACTTCCAAATGGGAAATACGATGCATTTGCTCAAAAAATGTTATATCATTTCAATCATTTGAGATCGCCTTTGCAATGCGTTGAAACGTACCCTCTTAAAAAAGACGAAATACGAAGGTTTAGAAATTTCTATCCCTTTGTAGAGGCTAAAAATTTATTTGAGAACTGGTGTCTACTAATTGACGACAAGATGAAAGAGAAAGTAGACGGCGTTGAACCCTTTGATGAATGGGAAGAGTTCATTACTTTTTGTCAACACTATATTATTGTACATGCAAGTAATGTGGATCAGTTGGTCTATCAGTGCGACGAGAACCCACTCAAAGCTAAGGATGCTGAAAGTTCATATACAATTGAGCTTGAGCCAGTCCATGATATCAGGAATCTTGAGATTAAGTTTCCAGGGATCGCATCTCTTCAGGATGATATTTTAATACATGGTGGATTGCGATCCACTCGTTCCCATTCCACAATGATACTAAAGAACAACGAACTACGTGAAATTGAACAGAAGGGTGAGATTCCTGCGGCAAGAATGTCACATAGTCTCACTGTAGTAGGCAACCAAGTATATTTAACCGGAGGCAGATCCAAACCTCACAACGTATTCAATGATGTGTACAGATTTAGAAACGAAGAATGGGAAAATGTTGGGGTACTTCCAAAAGGTAGATCAAGACATGCTACAGTGGCGTTGAATGACCACGAGTTTTTGATATTTGGAGGCCTTGAGGAAGATGATATAAATGATTTGTTCTTAGTGTATAATGTTACAAAAAATTCTTACAAGTCATTAAACGTTGTTGGACATATTCGCAATTTCAAAAGTTGTTCTATGATATATAATGGATATTATGGACTCATAATAGGCGGCATGTTCAACAAATATATCCCCAAAATCAATGATACAGTTTATCGATTCAAAATCAATGGAAGCGATATTTACATAGAAGAGATAACAAAAGATAATAATTTCATGCGGCTTGGCTGCCAGGCAGCGTTTGTGGAGGATAATAAAATCCTAATATGCGGAGGTGTATCTCCTGTTCATCATATAGGCGCATCTGATTTAGTTATCACATTTGATCTTAGGCTGCAAATATTCAAAACTGTCCCATTCCCCGAGCATATTTGTATCAACAACCCCCCGATTTTGATCGGATTTGGAATGGTCAGATCGGGATCAAACCAATTAAAAGTCTTGGGAGGAGGTGCTGTTTGTTACTCTTTTGGCAGTTGCTACAATTCTGTATATTCCATAAACTATTAGGTAGTACTATTTATCAGCATCGACAGCTTTAGAACTAGAGGAGAATTCATATTATCATTACTTTACTCTCTTTGAAGCATTCAATAATCCATTAGTTCCTTTCTTCCAATTATATCTTGCATTGTAGGAAAGGGGGTTTACCTTCGTCAACACATTATTGTTTTTGCTGCAACTTGTGGTATTTAAGGGATCGGAGATAAATTCGAGATATCCTGATAAAGCAAAGTAATCCCCAGATTCATGATTTAATTTATTGAATGCGACAAAGAACGAGCAAATCAAAACTTATAGGTGAAAGGGACACCACATAATCATGGATAGTTTCTTCAAGACCCAAAATTATTTAGGTCTGAAACTGGTGATGAACAATGGTTCTAAACATGTACCCCAAATATCCGATGAACGAAAGCTCAATAACTTAATCAATAAGGATGGAGGTACACTAATAAATGATCCAGAGATAACACTGGGAAATTACTCGAAAGAGAATGATCATGAAACTGGGTTCGATACCATAGTAAGTGATAACAAGCTCTCAGGCACCGAATCGAACATAGATGATTCAAAGAGAGTCTGTTTGCAGTCTACTGACTACGAGAATACCGAGTCAAATGACGAGCAAACGAACGCAGAAAAGCACCCATTGATAAAGAAGAAGTCTGGAGAAGTAGTGAAGCCATCCTTAAAAGAGATATCTACAATGGATAGGCATATGCAAAAGCAGAGGTCTAAGTCCTTACCATCTACTCCGACTTACAAACAAGTCCATTTTGGAAACGATAACGGCGTCCGTTACTTCAAGAAGAAAGACAAACCAACCACGATCAGTGCATCAGGATCCCCTACTAACGAAGACCCGGAATACTTTTTTAATATTTCAGATTCTGATACGGAGGATCAATCAAATGGGCAAGAAGAGGATCACGAACCATCAGATGAAAATATTAAAGCACCACCTTTTGAATTATCTTTTAGCCCCAAGTACCTAAGATCAAATAAGCTCTTATTCGACTGGAAGCTCGACTTTTTGAATATACCAGAAGTTGCATTGGAAGATAAGGTGGGAGTCTCGTCGCCAGTCTTCTTAGAAAAGCTATTTCTTTCATTAGATAAACTGGATCTAATAGGGATAATTGCTGTCAAAAACCTTGCATACGAGAAGTTAGTCCACGTTAGATATACCATTGATAACTGGCTCACGTTTATAGAGATTCCAGCTTCATATTCACCCGACACAACAACTTATTTGAAAAATAATAACTATGATCGGTTCGACTTCAGGATACGGTTGGACACTTTGTTTAATGGATTTGGAATGCAGTCCACTCAATATCAGGATAAACCATACTCTATTCTGAAGGTCTACCAATTTTGCGTGAGATATAAGGTTAATAATGAGGAATTTTGGGGCAACAATAATAGGGAGAATTACACAATTAGATTGACCAAAAGCTCAAGGAATTATATTAATCCTAAAATCCAGGCACATGATAGGAAACCGAAGTATTCAAGTTCTTTTCGAAGAAGAAGGTCAGTGGACACAGAATCTGAGACCGATAGTGATGCTTTACAGCTCCATGATAAATCACTGAGTGAGGCTGATGAACCTGTTTCACAAAAGACCAAAAAAGAGCAATCGCTGGCTGGCGAAGAAACAAAACCCAAATACTCTGCACCTCGTATTAGTATCTTAAATGACCTACCAGCTAGCTTTAACTTACCTCAGAACAGGAAGAAGAACCCAAGCGAGGAAGAAGACTCCAGATTTAGTAAATCATATCAAGAACTTTTGGATAAATGTTGCTTTTCTTCTTCAATGCCACCGAATGATTATAAGGATGATTTGGCTCTACTTTAAAGTGAGATAACTTTTACGAATTAACTAAATATGTCTTCTAAAGTGATTTACATTAGCATCGAAAATTATTTGCAGGAGAAGTGATGAAGATAAGGATGTGTAAATATATTTTGACGACCCTATGTATAATATACAATAATTCATTACTAAACTACAATGTTTTTTGTGCAATAATCAATTCTGATATTCTCAGCCCACCAAACCTGACCTTAATCAAAGCGGAATAACTTTACCGCTCCATTTTCCAACCCAGCCGCAAATTTAGCATCACTGAGTGCTACGCAATTAACTGGAGCACTATTGCTGAACGTGTATAAACATTTTCCATCTTGCAAATCCCACACTTTAATAAGTTTATCCTTTGCGCCGCTAATAATTCTGAAAGTGTCAGCACTTATTGATGAAACACCTTCTATGTGACCAAATTGAGTACGTACACACTTACCAGATTGCACTTCCCAAATCTTTATAGTGTTGTCCAATGACGAAGTTAGCAAGTGAGTTGGCATATTTGGATTGTCTGGCAACGGTGTCTTATTGATATCACCTGATTCATTTGCAGTAGCAGAAGCAGCGGTAGCAGAAGCAGCAGAAGCAGAAGTTCCCAATGTTTCGGTCTCACCTAGTTCATCTTCAATTAATTTATCATGATAAGTGAAGGGAATCACGTATTCGACTTGACGAATATGACCATTGTTCTCCACACCCCCAAATACTCTTAAACATTGATTGTTTTCCAAATCCCACATTCTTGCAAAAGAATCGTCAGAAGCACTGAAAACAGTATTTGAAGCGGGATGTATTTTCACACAATTCACAAAACCAGAATGACCTCTCAAAGTGAAGCAAGTCCTTGAATCAACATGCCATACTTTAATAGTTTGATCAGCTGAGCCGGATACAATAGTTTTATTAGAAAAATCAACTGACAAGACAGCATCATCATGTCCTCTGTAAGTCGATATACACTGTCCGGTATGATAATTCCAAACTTTGATAGTTGAATCTAAACCACCAGTAATCAATTTTTGGGAATCAAAAACAAGCGTTTTGACACCCCCTGTATGGCCCGTTAAAGTCCTCAAGCATTCTCCAGTATCCACCTTCCATAATTTAACAGTTCTATCACTTGAACCAGTCATTAAATATCTTCTATTAAATTTCAAACAAGTAACACCACCAGTGTGACCTGTCAATGTTTGAGTGCTATAGATACCTTTCCTCCAGTTTTTCTCCAAGGTATACCTCTCCGAATAAATCGATTTCCATGGCCTCTTCGTCAATTGCTTTTGAACCTTCAATCTTTCTTCTTGATTAAGTTTTATTTTTTTCAACTCAGATTCAACTTCAGAAGAGTCTTTTGCATCGAGGGCCCCTTCAAGCCTCCTCTTCAAAGGCTTAATTTCCTCACTTGGAAATTCTCTTGCTCTTTTCATAAGCATCAATGGAAGCCCCCAGCCACAATTTGGACATTTACGATCTATATGCTGCTCACACATGTGATGCCAAACCCTATTGTCGTCTGCTAAAGTTTTCCACTTTCTTGACACTTGAGCTGCATTACACAACGACCTGCAATCCAAATAACATAATATCTTTAAAGAAACTTCCATGGGAAGCGTAGCAATAAAATCAATTCGAATCAGATTACTAACTTCCTGGCTTATAAAAGAAAGCTGAGGAAAGCAACATTGTGTTAATAATCCCTGCAAAACGAGATTCCTGTGTTGTACCGGTACAGCACTGAAACCTGACCAGACTCGAGATATTGCATCCTGCGTCTTTGCAGGAAGTTTATCCAACAGCTCCTGAATACTCTTCATTTTAATCTCGTCAGGTAATTTGTTACACGTTACATCTGGATTATGTCTATAACAGTAGCGATGGAAGTTATCTTTGGGAATCTGTTCCAGGTCATCTATAGTTTTCATGGTGAAGGGTGTACTAGAACTAGCGTCGTCCGATGCTGTTTCATTACCGTCGAGACCAGATGATGAATCATGACTCACTACCTCATGCTTTTTCACCAGATTATTGCTTTTGATGCCTTCTACTACAGCTGTGCCCTTTTCTTCTATTCTTTCAACTTTATGTCTAGAAGCATCGCTTGATGCCAATAACACGCTACTGGACTCCTCATACGAGTTGTCGTCTTTAGCTTCACACACATGTTTCAAGTCCATCTTGTCTATTAATCTCCTCTCTGTCAACTCCAAACTTCTCTCCTGGTGTTGTTTTAAAGCGCGCCGTGGTGCTATCTTGATAATATATATATAGTGCAGAAGGATCCACAGTTTTTTTATAAAACCGCAATGGTTGTGTCACAAAAGTGAAGTTTCGTAATGAGAATCCACGGCGAAGGTCATTTACGCGAAACACCACACGAGCCACTCAAAGTTACGAGAGGTGGAAATCACGGGAGTGACAAATTAAGAATACTAAACGTGCAAGTTAGAGATAAAGTGGGTTCATCTGACACTGGAAGTGTGAACTAAAACTGACACATAAAAATTATTGTGACCTTTTAGCCGACATGTCTGTCGCCGATGGAAGAAGCCGCTAGATATGAAGTACAAAAAGAGAGGTTTCAGAAGCCTCAATTGTTGCAACTTTTGCAACTACATCTGTCTGGACCCTGTAGCAAGTGTGTACTTGTTTGACGGGAGATTTACGCAAATCCAACGACTATAAGTAATGACTGGCATAAGTAAGCAACTTCTTTAAACACAACATGTGACTTCAGTACTGTAAAAATGGTGGTGTAACAGTCAAAATTTAGTCATTACTTAATATCTCGTTCGGACGTTAATTAGTACCAGAAGGTTCTTTGAAAGACTGGGCAAATTTGTGACACAAAAACAGCAATGAGCATGGTACATAGAAAAAAAAGGAAGTCATCGGAAGGACTCATGGCTACATTTAAATAAGTCACTATATTCCACTAATCCTAGAGTGGATAGTTATGAAAAGACAGGAAATATATATGTCACTGCAAGACGAAAAAAAACCAAAGACAACATCTGCTCCTCAGCAAGATATATTCACCAGTGTTGGGGATCAAGCTGCATCAGTAGATAGAGAGGCTACTGTTGGCGATGAAGCTTCAAATGCCGAGACGTCTAATGATGCAGAGCAAGGAAACGAGGGCCTCAGGAAGACAGGTGCTGAAGATTCTGAAGGGCATCCTGTTCAAGAAATAGATAGTTTGTGCATGAATTGTCACAAGACAGGCAAGACAACGTTACTTTTGACCAAAATTCCATTTTTTAGAGAGGTTATTATAATGTCTTTTGAATGTCCGTTTTGTCATTTCAAGAACTCTGAAATCCAACCCGCTGCAGAAATAGCAGAAAAAGGATCAAGATACACCTTGAAAATCGAAGACAAGAAGGATTTTGGTCGCCAAGTTGTCAAATCCGAAACAGCTACTTGCAGATTTTCTGAGTTGGATATTGAGATTCCACCGAAGAGGGGACAGTTAACGAACGTTGAAGGGTTGCTCAGCGAGATGATAGATGACTTAGAAGCTGACCAACCCGCGAGAAAGGAGCACCAGCCAGAAATTTATGGCAAGATAAATGAGGTTGTCGAAAAGATCCGGTCTTATCTCAATGCGGATCCTAATACATTACCTTTAACATTTTCAATAGATGATCCGGCTGGAAATTCCTGGATTGAATACATTCCTGGTGAACCGAGTCATAAATGGTCAATGTACGAATATAATAGAACCGCTGAGCAAAATGTCTTTTTGGGTCTCATTTCAGCTGATGATGTTCAAAAACAACATGAGATTGAAATTGAGAACAAGAAAAAAGCGACAAGTGAAAATATATCTTCATCATTGAAGAAGTCACAAGACAGAGACACTGATATTAAGTCGACTGGCTTTACTTCTGATTCAACTGATATTGAAAACTTTGAAAATGAGATTCAAACATTCCATGCCACCTGTTCAAATTGTTTCAAGCCGTGTGAGACTCATATGAAGACAATCAATATACCTCATTTTAAAGATGTAATTTTAATGTCCACAGTTTGTGAACATTGTGGCTATAAATCCAACGAGGTGAAAACAGGTGGTGAGATTCCTCCTCATGGAAGAAGAATTACGCTTAAAGTAACGGATCCCGAGGATTTAGCTCGTGATCTTTTGAAAAGTGAGACCTGTGGTTTGGTTATACCAGAATTGGATTTGGACCTTACACCAGGTACCTTAGGAGGCAGATTTACTACTATAGAGGGGCTCTTGTCACAGGTTTATGAAGAACTATATGGTAGAGTATTTACTGAAACATCAGATTCCATGGATGATGCCACACGTACTCGATGGACCTCTTTTTTCGCCAGATTGCAGGATGCAATTGATGGGAAGATTGGCTTTACTATTGTCATGGAAGATCCGTTGGCATCTTCTTATATCCAAAATGTCTATGCCCCAGATAATGATCCAAATATGATCGTTGAGGATTACGAGCGAACTGATGAACAAAATGAGAGCTTAGGGCTCAATGACATGAAAACTGACTAAGTTATCACCTGTATATTAAAACCTTTATATAAATAAACATGATGCTAATAAATTTCTTATTTCATGTGCAAAGTCTTTTGTTGCCTTGGTGCTTTAGTAGCCTCCATAATCCTATTTCAGACAAATTCTATATTTTTCTGTACTTCTTTTTTCTTTTCCCCTTTCATATATTTTTACTTCTTCCGATCTAAACCTTTTTCGCTTCTAATCTCCTTAAAGGCATCACCCCATGAAGAGTTTTCTAACGTTTCACCCACCGATGTTAAATCAATTAAGGTATGGTTCTCTTCACCATGGCCAGAATTTCCTGACTCAAATGAGTCTGCAAAAGGAGAGACGTCGAAATCATCAACGGGCGATTGTGCTTTTAAGGAAGGCAGTCGATTGGGTACTTGTACGAACAATTTAGGCAAGTTAAGTTTCCTTTCGCTCAAAGCTGCCTTCTCTTTCGCATTATAGATCTGTACTGGTGATTTCGGTTCGTAAACATTTCTCGTGTCCTTCTGCTCCTCAAAGTCATCATCATCTTGATATGTTGTCATGAAAGTATGATCTTCGTTGGCTATGTCCTTATCTCTCTCATCAGTCACATGAATTAAAGGTGTACTTACTTCCAAATCCTTATTTGTCAAGTAACTATTTCTCCTCAACTCTTTCCCAAAGTCGATATTAGGATCCCGAATACCGTGTAGTTGGTCCTTTTTATACTTCCAACGACAAGCATAAGCCGCAATTGTTTCGTAAACTCTTTTAGTATGAATCCTCTTTTCCACCTTTTGGAGTAGCAATCGTCTTTCTAAGAAATCTATGAGATTCAAACATTGGCCAGCTTCAAAGGCAGTATACAATGGAAGTTGCAATAAAATTCTTGTAAAAGAAATTCCTGGATCATTGTTGAGTTCCATATTCAATAGAGCTTCCTCTAAGAACCTTTCATAGAGATATCTCCTTTGTCTAATTTTTGGGATGTCCATCGCTTCCAATGTTTCGTCGATCTCAGAATAATTTATTGTAATATCATATGGATCACTAGGATTATTACGAATAAACCATCTATTGCATAATCTAGGAATCTCCAAAACTCCAGAATATAAATGAAATGAGAAGGAACCATTTAGGGAGTGTAAAAGTTTCGGCAATTCGAATGGTTTGATGAAACCAGTTCCTTCGGGATCGAACTTCTGCCAAGTTCTCTTAAATTTTCTAATTTCTTTTCTTTCCATGAGATGCCCATAAGATGAAGTTTGATTGATGTAACTGAAGCTCTCCAAAATTAGTGAAATAAACATATTCAAGAAAATGTACATTGAAATGATGTTCCACGCAATGAACAAGATATATGCATATTGCTTATTACCACAATCGTTATTATCCAAGCTACTTCCTGTGGAGCAGTAAGGTTCTTCGATGGCAAAATCATTCATTATATAATTCCATCCTTCTCCAAAACTGCATCTAAAAAGAAGAATCATAGCTTTTGGAACTGATCTCAAATTGATATTTCCAGAACTATTAGGTCCAATTCTCGTCATACCAAATATTTGGTTCATAGCTATAGCGAAAACTAAAAACATGACTCCCCAAGTGAAAGACAAAGACAACAAAGAAGGAACACTTGCTGATGCAAAGCGAAGTAATTGACTTAATCTGTTACTTCTTGGTATGATGAATGCCAATGCACCTACCAAAAACAATTTATTAATATTAATAAAAGGACTGTAATCATTAACAAAAAATGCGATTATCGTGGTTATCAATGCTCCAACTGAAACAAAAAAATTGAAGAGATTCCACTTGTATCTGATAAAAGTGTGAAGCCCTTGCCCAATTAATAGCATACACGCATTAGTTGTGAAAAATACCGTCGATAACACAAAAATGATAACTCTGAAAGTATACAATCCATTATAAGAAGGAAAGCATTCCAACAATAATGCTAAGACGTGCATTAGTAAAACAAACGATAACCCTTGCCCCCAGTATGGATTTTTTTCCACTGTCATCATGTAACAAAATTTTCTAAATGGACCAAACTGAGACTCGTCTCTCCTTGAAGAAGGTTTGACCTGAACCAAGTACTTCCTCACTTGATACCATGATATTTGATCTTTGGTCATGTATGCCCTGCCTGTCGTTTGTGAGTAATTGCTTATAATGACAGAAACAAATAATGTCAAAATAAAGACAATACTAGTGAAATTAAATAATATTACGAAAAATCCATTAAATGGAGATGCAAATTGCAGAGGCGGAGTTCCTACTCCAGTGCTTGCCATTACGTCTAATAAAAGGTCGACCCAACCTTCTAGGGAAACAATCTCGAATAAGGTAGAAAATGCAGTAGCAAATCTATTGAATTCCAATGGAGGATTGGTATAAACATTAGGACTCATAATTTCCCAATTGAAAACTTCATTTTCATATTCATTAAAGCATTCCTTCATTGTCGACGACCCATCAAGGCAATATCCCAACCGGCCATTAAATATATTTAGGCCCCATATTGAAAATGGGTACAACAAACATAATGAAATAAGCGCAGCATTTATAATTTTCCAAAACCCAGATATAATAGTGTTATGAAAGTTATTTTTGGCTGTCTCACTAATGGTCAAAAGACGCAAGGCTCTCAAGGCTTTCAATCCTCTAACGATTCTGGACAAATCTCCATCATTTTTTAGAAATGCAATGAAATCTATCCATAAGGATATCAAGACACATAAATCAATTAAATTCCATGAAGATCTCATGTATGCATTGGGGGTAAATATTAAACCATCGGCAATAATCTTGATCAAAAATTCAATAGTAAATAAGATATTGAAACCCGTCTGGACGTAAAATGTCCAGTTTACCTTACCATGAAATGATTCAATCTTTTTTTGATACAAGGGGGTAAAGTAACATGCAGTTATGACCAAGCCAATAGTTGCCAAAAACATAACAACGTTGAACGATTCTGAAACTGTATGATTTGCATCAACTCCATTGATTCTTTCCCCATAACTCGGCTTTACTAATCTTTGGCAAAATCTTCTTAACCTATGCCGAGGCCCCATCACATAGAACACATCATTGAACCTAGGGTTATCCTTCAAAAACTTGTTTTGTTTTGAAATCAAAGACTTTCTTTCAGTTATTATTGATTTGGCAAAAGAAGCGGGATTGAAATTATTCAATTCATGTACGTTTTTATTACGTCTCATGTAAAATGGGTTTGTGAAAATATTACCCACTCTCCAAAAGTATATCTGAAGTCGCCTCTTCCAACCTGATTGTGGTAGACTCCTTAGTTCTTCCGTATCATGTGTTTCATTTCCGTCTTCATTTTCAATGTCATTTTCTAAAAAATCGTTAACAGCTGTTCCGCTCAACAATAAGTTAACGACAGCCTTTTCTAGCTCGTCGGCCAAACCACGCTTTCTGAAAACCTTGTTTTTCAATTTTGAAAGGAGTCCAACTTCATTCTGCAAGCTATGAAGTCTCTCAGTCATATTGTCAATGAACTGTAGTAGCTGTTGTTTTCGCTTTCCCTCTTCCGAAACTTCCAATGTATGAGCAATGACAGCAATGAAAATATTCAAAAGAACCATATTAGATATGATGAACCATGCAATTAAAAAAATTGCACCAAAGACCCTTTCTGATGTTGAGTGAGAGTATTCTTGCAAGCTATACAATATGTCAGTCCAATTCTCGGTCGAGGTTATGACATAAAGGGCCACGAACGAATTAGGTAACGTATGCATAGGAAAATCGATATCATCGATATCATCTTTTGGAACAACTCCTTCAAAATATCGATTTAGTAAGATACTGCTCAAATAGGTCAATATGAAGAAAAACAACGCAATATCAATAATTGCTCTTATATTTTTCATAATTTTCAACCAAAGATTTCTCGTGAATCTTTGAGACAAGACAACTCTATAAAAGCGCAGAAGTTGAAAGACCGTTAGCCAGTAGTAGCCATGACCAAGCCTCCTCTTTACCAGTGGAATAATTATAACAGACGTAGTAACAGCCAAAAACAAGTCGAAGTTATTTCTTTTCGAATAGAAAAAAAGTCTCCAATTCGGGAAATGAAGTAAAAGCCTCAAAATAATCTCTACCAAGAGTACCAATGTTATAGCAGCCTCAAGTTTATACAAGAGGTCGCCTCTGTGTTTCGACATGTCATACTTTCTAAAACATTGTATGAATAAATCAAAAAATATAACAACAACAAATATCGCTTCAAATTTATAATATAACCTCAAGCCAAAATTATGCTTTTTGAAAAAGTTTACACTTTCTGTATGCGTAGTTATTTCTCGTTTATGTTTAAAGATAGCCCAGATACCTTTTCTCTTACCATGCCTCTCTTTTTCTGCGGCAGCTTCTAACCTTGTGACATTAAAAGAAGCAACAATAACAGCAATAAAGACATTGATGAGCCACACGGTCAATATGAAAATTGTAAACATAAAGAATAAACATGCGGCCAAATTATCAGTATCCATAGTGTCATACATGATATCAGTAAATGTGTTTGCACTCATAATCACGAAAACCATTTCAAGGGATTGAAAAATATTGTCAAAATTGACTGTCCCTCCATATGGATTGTCGCCGCTAATGCATTTAGAATATTTTGGACAGCGAAAACCTTTGATGACACCTGCCAGCTCTCCATTTCTTTGAATAAATGGCATAGCACTACCATTTAAGTCCAAGTAAGAGCCACAGAATTGATCCTCATTTCTGAATGTATCACTCGAGTCATTTGGGTTTTGCCAGACACAATTTCTCGTTAATGACGATTTAAAAGATTGCACTCCTATAATGCCAAAAAATAACCAAAAACAACAAATGAAAATGGCAACGTCGAAGAGCTGGGGTAATGCGATTTTGCAAGCCGTTAATATTGTTGTTGTACCGGTGGTAAGATTACATAAACGAAGAATTCTCAAGCAACTTAAAGTTCTGAATAAATTTATGTGGTTTCGGACATCGTAGCGTTCTATGGACAATAGCAACGAAATCCAAAATGTGACCATAGACAAAAAATCAATTCTGTGCCAACTGTTTCTTAAATATGCTCTTCTCAATTGTAATTGATCGATCTTGGGGATATCTGGCTTCAATAATGTATTTTTGTGTCTAAGCAATTGTGACTTATGTATAGGCTCATTCGCTAAGTTCAAGTTATCTTTACCTTTTGGTCTATTTGTGCTTTTCAGAGTTTTTTGTGTCAAGTTATACTTTTTTCCTAGATCTAAAGACAGGTTCACAGCGTCTTCCCCAAAAGGCTTATAAATCTTTGGTTTTTCATTCGAGTTATCATCCAAATCTATTTCTTTAACATCTAATTCTTCGGAAGAATTCCAGTTTCCTTCTTCATTACTGTCTGTCTGGCTATCCTTAATATTGTGATAGTTGGATCTCTTTTGCTCAGGTTTTAAGAACGACAGCAAGCTAAAACAATCGATGAACTTCCAAATATACCTTAAATTGAAGCCGCGTTTTCCAATCTCGCTTTCTGGATAGGGAAGGCCCAATTCTTCATACATCGCATGATCATCTATGAAACCATAGGCAATGATTCTAACGAAAATCTCAATTGTATAGGCTACGTTAATGACAATTAGAATATAGTCCGTCCATACATAACCATAAGACACGTAACCCTTCAAAGAAAGTGGATTCCACTGTCTATAAGATAAAAGTAAAACTTGTGAAACCAATAAGAATAACAATAACATGTTTGTGGCCCTATTTGATGCTATTCTGTGACATATTCTCCTGGTTTTAGACTGGGGTGAAAATAATTTCAAAGATTTTCCAAAAAGATAAAGCGAATCAGAGGGGGTGTATGATGCGGACTTAGTAAAAGATTGGGCAATAAATTCATGAATATTATCTGGCTCCATTGAAAATTCCACGGAACCTTTCTTATTAGTGTTCTCATCATCTTTATTCATGTATAAGCCCAAACCATCAGAAATTGGAGCTGGCGTCGACCTACCTTGGACCGTCTCTGCATCATTTATGACTACTTCTGGTAGATCTCCTTTGTAATCCAGGGGCCTCTCTTCATGATTATTGTAGGTTGGATCCGCAAATGGTGATGCAGCAACACTCAGAGGCGTGACTAGAGATGTTCTCTCGTGAGCTTGTTCATCAGAAATAGCGGACATCTGATCTTTCAGTAATACGTCTGGGTGAGGTGTACCGGCACCAGAACCTGCAATCCTATCAGAAACTCTTGCAATGACTTCTGAGAATTTTGAAGGAGATGCATGACCTTCGTTCTTACTCCATTGATCACTTGAGTTCGAAGAGAAATGCCCGGCTTCTAAATAGTCATTGGGTTCACGAGCAGGTGACAGAGGTCCCGTATGCATAGAATAGTTTGCGAAGTAAGATCGATTTGAATCATCAAATGGAGACACGGGTCTCAGCGAGCCCCTTCGCCTTCCAAAAACTCCAAGATTTTCCATTGGTATATTATCTGTGTAATTTTCATTTGTATGTGAAGCTCCTAGGTCGTCAGAATTTCTATCACTTCTATCGCTTCCTGTACTTTTGGCACTTCTGATACTCCTCTCGGATATATCCACAAGATTAGTATCCAGTTTATTATCAGGAAGAGGAAGCCAATTTGCATCTTTACCAGACGTCCCCAAGGCATAATTTAATCCTTCAGTAAGTGCATTGATATCGTTTTCTCCGGTATCATCTGTTAGCAATGACCTCGCTCCAGGACTCAGTGGCTGATCTGTTTCAGAATGTACATCGAGGTATTTTCCAGAATACCTCAGATCACGTCTGGAATAATGATCCATTCCTTCTGACTCTCCATCATCTTGTGCCGAGTATTCTTGCCTATTCCTATGTGACATCCTAGAGCGCAAAGGAGACCCGCTCTCGCTATCTCTATCAGAATTTGAGTCTGTTGGAAAAAGATGCAGCATATCTGGTAACCCTTGTACTCAAAGAGACCTGATTTCTTACTTTATCAATCTTAAAACGATGTGCTTCAGATAATGTGCAATCAAAAAAAAGACTGAGCAAATTTATGAAAGTTACACAACTTCAGTAACAGTTGCTCAGTCCTGTTACCTTATTTAATGCTGGTTATGGGAATTTTATCGAAAACCTTGTCTAGTACACTCAATACTCCTTGTATTACGTGTTCCATCGCATAGCACTATAAGGCAACTTTTAGGAGCGTATTACATAATCCCTCTTACTTTCGAGGAAAAAAAATTATGAAGATACATACGCTAGACATTAACATTAATAGACACAAAGCACAATGGTCTCTGCATTTTTAAGGAGGGTTCCTGGAAAAGAGAGGATAAATGAGCTTAAGAAGTTAAGCTCTTCTATATTTGGTCATAGCTGGAATCCAGAAAATATAAGAAATGGTTTAAAGATTTTAAGAGCACCCTTACTAGGTCCAAAAGTCGTGAAATATTATGGTGAAAATGACTCCATGCCTACATTCAAAGATTTCAAAGAGTGGTTTCCTGAATTGAAATTAACGGATCCTAAGGAAACATACAGATTGAAAATGGTGTCGGATAGAAAGAAGAGAAACAAAGGTGCACCTAAGAAGAAATCGAAGCTGGGTTAGAAAGACCTGAAAGAAGTCATTCGGAATTTTATATTTGTATATAGCATATTGATCAAACTAATAAATCATTAGACCATTACTTACTTTTCAATCTTTTTCGTAGTTTGAAAGTGTCTGTAAATTCATCAAGTCCACTTGAGTCGACCAAGCTTATTCTTTTATCATCAAACCGATTTCTTTTTAGCCTGCTAGGTTCCATGCTGCCAGACTCTCGTCGAGGTGCTCCAATAGAGAGCCTCGTCTTATCATGTAATCCTTTTGGTTTTGAATTCGTAATATTAACCACTTCCCACTTTCCGATGTAAGATTTGCTATCTGAAAGATGCTTTTCTACCGCTATGGAATCATCGTCAGACACAATGTAACTGTTACTTATTGGACTAGAACTTTCGTATACTCTTTCTAAAGAACGGTGTTTAAAATCATAAATGGCAAGGTGGTCGTCGCAAGTCATCAATAATTTGGTCGAGTTTTCACCATAGAACCTGACTGATTTAAGCTTTGAATTAAACTCAACGGATAGCTCAAAATGAAATCCTACATTATTTTGATCATCAGCTCCTAAGCTGTAGGCTAAGATGCAATCAGACAATTTGAGGCACACTAAAGATTTAAATACAATCATATCCTCGATATCATGCTTTCTTCTGTAGGTTTTATGGGCAACACGCCTGTATTTCACCATTTTACCTTCTCTAGATTCTTTCCAAGTATCTGTTATATCAGAAAATTTCGTAATGAAGCGTTTCAAGATTTTGAAAGTGATTCCAGAAATTAATACAAGTTCCATCTCTTCAAATTCACCAGCACTAGCAATCAATATGTAGTCGCAGTCTCGGACGGTAATCCATTTATTAACGTACTTGAGAGCCCCTATTTCAATTATCCTATTACTTTCATCTCTATTGTCATATATGCCTTCGTTAAACCAGTCTATACTCACTATTGGATTTCCCTTGGGAATGAGCTGCTGTCTCGATAAATTCTGGAATACCCCGAGCGAATTATAGATTTTCATAGTGAAACCAAAGAGGTTCTCTTGGTCATTGAAAAAACTGATCCATTTTCCAGAATTGGACCATTTCAAATTAAATTTAGACGCTCGTGGCAATTCAAATTCAAATAGCAAAGTACTACTCGAACCCTCATTATAAAAATGATAGAGTATGGGAGTCGAGGAATGGATAGGTTGTGCAGCAATAGACCATATCCTACTATGTGCCTTAGGTCGAAATATGACTTCATTCATTGCTGGTTTCAAAAGTTGTAGAATAATGGATGTGCAATCCACAGAAAATAGCTTCATTTCAAGATAGCCTTTTGTAAACACAACAAACTGCTTGGAGTTGATGTATGCTCCACTTTCTTCTGATTCAGAAGTGGGGCGAATCCATTGGAAATTTTCGATTCCTTCTACCCTAGTCTGCTGCACCACAATAGGATCTGTATATTCAAACCTGATATCTAATATGACAAGCAAAGAATAATTATTTATTACTAAGCCCAACTTCGAGCTGATTTGATTTTCAAGTATTTCTTCCCATTTGACTTGCGAAATGACCAATGAGTCAAGTTTTTTCCTCATATTTGAAACTTCAAATAGATACTTTCTTACTATGTTATATAAATCGTAGGATCGATAAAGTTTCATAGACGCCAAATCATAAATTTCTAGCCTAGTGTTATCCTTGGATATAATGGATACATAGTTCCTACATTCAGATATAGTACTATGGTTAGCAATGAGACTACTCATCACTAAAATTTGAAGCTGTCTTCCTATCGTAACAGGAACTGTCTACTTATATTTATGAGTTACACAAAAATCATAGTCGCCAAAACTATAAATCAAAACAACAGATTACATGTATATACGAAGTCACAAAATATAAACAAACAACATACAGGATAAATAAGACATACTAAAGGCTCAAGCAGACCACATTTGATCTCAAGTGAACCTACGTAAGCAGTATGGGTCCAAAGAAGAAGCTTGGACTAGGCAAAGAGGCTACAAGGGGTAAAAGCAAATCTAAGGGGCCAAATGAGCAAAGTTGGTCCCAGGGCACAGGCCTGTCGTATACATCATCACAGATGGCTAGATATAAAGGACAAAACGGAAATGGTACAGAATCCCATAGTCAGCCAAACCAAATCTTCTTATCAAGAAAAAATAAGTTAAATGATTATTTAACGTCGAACGATCCTACTCAGAATGCATCAACATCTAAGAAAACGAAGCAGACATCGAGGAAGAACAGTGGATCTTTCGAAGAGGATGACGGTTTCATTTATAAAAGAAGTCAATCTACAGAAGGTCACTTCGAATCTGACAGGAAAAGGAAAGCCGTAAGTACTCCAATTACCCAACTAGAACAAGAAATCAGCAATATATCGAAGGATGATGATGAGGTTGAGTTAGATGACTTGCGAATTGAAAAAGAGAGTAGTGCCTCAATAGCGAGAAATGCATTTCATACCTTAAGACCATCTCCTAAGAGAAGCTTGAAGACTTCGACGAGATCGAATGCAATCAATGATTCGAGTCTTCAATTATCTTCACCAATTGGACGCCGCTCCGTGTATGAAGATCAAGGATTTTCTTCTGACGAATATGTAGAGCAAGTTTCACATCATAAAATTTCATTAACCGACCAACCAACTGCAAACCCTAAATCCTCAAAGGTATCTAAAGGAAAGAAAACCACTAAACCAACAAAAAGAAGAACGTCTTACTATAATAGAGGTAAACGAGTTCTGTCAATTGGTAACGGTTTTCAGGGAGAGATACATGATGATGTCCCTGTAAGTGATTATTACAAAAGGTTGGATAATTCTCTTCCTGAACCTGATAAAATGAGGCAATTATTAATATGGTGTTTCAAGAAAAAATTAAGTCGAGAAGAAAAACTGACGAAGCTACAGACATCAAGCTCAGAGGAGCAAACAGTCGTAAACATCGCAAAGGTGATAAAAGAAGAAATAATAAAGGCATTGATGGAAAAGGAGATATCAACAAGCTGGTATTCCAGCTCTGACTCACAGAGTAATAACGACATATTAACAAGTAAGGAGATTACAGTGCCAAATCCTCAAAACATAACAAATTTAGAAAATATAGGCATATACCGACTGCGTCTCAGTAATTTGATCAAGGAAAAGGAGGAGTGGCAAGGCGCATTCAAACAGGCTGTATCTCCCATAGAAAGACTTTCAATTAACTCCATGGGAGAAGATGAGCTGACCTTATCATCATATCTCGTAGAGAAAGCAAAGAATGGTCGTATAGACTTCTCATCAACTGTCATCAACAATTCTTTAATAAAAAAGATTGATGAAAATTGTGAGACCGCTTCTAAACAAGCGTCGCAACTTGAATCATCAATCGACAATTTACATGCTACATCTTATCAGTTGAAACAGCTATCCGATTTAGTGGCATCAATTCAGGACAAGGATCTCAATGCAAAGGCTTCTGCTCTCTTGAAGGAGTACGTTACCAAAAACAGCTTCGAGAACTACAAGCGATTGCACGAATCGGACACGAAAATGTCATCATCTACTTGGCCCTATCCTAAAAAGTCTGTCAGCACAATAGATCTACTCAAAGGAATAACGAGGCTTGATGCGCTGATGTAACGGCTCAACTGATTCAAGAATGTTCCGATTATAACATTGTTTCTCCTATGTATTATTATATTCATTTTTTCAAATAGAAGCATTGGTTAGTAACCCTAACTATCTGGATCGGGGTCCCCATAATTTCATCCGATGTTTATGTAATAGAACATATAACCAACATTTTCGCTTGAATAGATATACGTTCGGCTTTGTAGTCCCCCCACAATCTATTGTTGCCAAGATTGTTCAGGATCCTTTTCGATCGGGTAAGAAACGGAAGATCTTTTTCTGACGATTAAAGAATTCTATTGTTAACTTCGAATTCGGATCCATTTGTGGTTGTTCGAATCACAATCTCCACTTTTGAGCAAACTTGAGATGGCATCGGATGAGTATAAATATGGAGTCTCGAGGTCAAAGTAGTTGGTACTATATCGGAGAAGGGGATACACTTACCAATACTTTGTCAAAAAAAAAAGAATTTGTTGCAAAAGTAATGATTTTAGTGAACACTTTGTTATTCTTTTTCTTCCACGCATACTATAGGTTGCATTCTAATGCATTCCCCTTGTCGATGGAGGATATGGAATCCAATAATGAATTAACCTCACGTTCTGCTATTGAAATGGAAAGGACCAAGTTATTTGAGCTCATCAACAGCCCATCCAATAAGCTATTGTTTTACCAGTTGCAATATTCAGAAGATGCCTTTTATGATATTGAATCGAATATTGTGGGAACAGCTCATTTCTCCAAGTATAACCAGTACCAGAGACAGCCCTACGTGGCTAATGGCTATTTTGGGAGCAGAATTCCAAATCTTGGACAGGGCTTTACTTATGACCAAAATGAAAACCACACTTCAGAAGACTTGAGGAACGGCTGGCCATTGTTCAACAAGAGATACTCCGGTGCTTTTATAAGCGGATTTTATGATATTCAAGCAAAAGTTAATCAAACTAATTTTCCTGAATTGTATGCTAATGGATATGAAAGTATCATTTCTGCAATACCTCAATGGACGACTTTAGAGATATCTACTATTAAGAATGGTACCGAATATACTCTTGATCCTTCTCTTGTCTCTGAAAAGCAAGGAACGATTACCAATTATGTTCAAAGACTTTCATTGGAGGATGGCATTGTTACTACAGAATATACATGGTTGGATTTATTGCATATAAAAGTCAGTGTATTGGCACATCGATCTGAACTTAATTTAGGAATTGTTGATCTAAAAATCAGCAATATAGATAGCGATCCTATTAACATTAAAGTTGAAGATAAACTTGATTTCTCATCTTCGCAAAGGTGCCAGTTGGTGGATGCGAATTTTGATCAAGATGGCATCTATATGGTTTTCCAACCACACGAGGTTCCTTATGTAAATGGGGTGATCTACTCAAGGTTACTTCGCTCTGACGTTATTAAGAGTAAGGTTTCGGAGGCTGCATCGCAATATTCAACCTTTCAACTTGACGCTTTCAAGTCTACTCGGGTTACGAAATATGTAGGAATCTCAACTTCCGATTTGAACCCAGAAGAGTTGTCCACTGCAGATAAAGTTCTTCAGCACTCTAAAAATGCTACATATTCTTCGTTGAATACTGATGAATTGGAGAATGCTCATAAGTCTGCATGGCATGAATTACTTGGGTCATCGGTCAGTATCAATTTTGCTCACGACGATCTAATGACGCTAGCCTCAAGGGCCTCATTATATCATTTGGCGGCCAATTCGAGAGCTTATGCAGATGGCGTTACCGCTGCTCTTCCTGTTGGAGGATTGAGCTCGGACAGTTATGGCGGCATGGTATTTTGGGATACAGATCTCTGGATGCATAATGGAATGCTTCCTTTTTTCCCGTCACATACCAGAAGCATTGTTAACTACCGTCTATTTACACACGAGCAAGCAAAAAAGAACGTTCCTGAGGGTAGCGATGGCGCAGTTTACCCTTGGACATCTGGAAGGTTTGGCAATTGTACATCGACTGGCCCTTGTATTGATTATGAGTATCACATTAACAGTGCTGTTGCCCTGGCAGCCTTGAATTTGTTTTTGAGTGGCTCTACAGACGAGGACTTTTTGTTTGAGACAGTTTATCCTTTGGTGAATGATGCTGCTACTTTTCTTTCTGATTACGTGGTAAAATATAATTCAAGTGTGAATAAATATGTCACTCACAATTTGACAGACCCGGACGAGTATGCCAATCACGTCGACAACGGAGCATACACTAATGGAGCTATTAGTTTATTGATGAGGTGGGCCACAGACATATCAGAGCACCTCAATATAACAGTAGATGATAAAATTAACGATATTGTTGGAAATATGTACTTGCCCACTTCAGGAAATACTGATAATATTACCTTAGAGTATTCTGGAATGAACTCTTCGGTAGGTATTAAACAGGCCGATACAATTATGTTGACTTATCCTCTCGAAAATGAGCTCATCAGTGATGAGCAAGCTTACAAGAATATGCAATTTTATGCGATGAAGCAAGTAAGCTATGGACCTGCAATGACCTTTCCCATTTTTTCGATTGTTTCTTCAAAGGTATCCGAAGTAGGTTGTTCCTCTCATTCATATTTGCGAAAAGCGGTTCAGCCTTACCTTAGAGCACCATTTGCTCAATTTTCGGAGCAAAACAATGATAACTTTTTGGAGAATGGCGGAACGCATCCAGCGTTTCCTTTCATGACAGCTCATGGTGGGTTCTTACAGGCAGTTGTTAATGGACTCACCGGTCTTAAATTTGACTTTGAATTGGAAAGAGGTCAAATTGTTCGTTATTTAGAGCTAGATCCTGTTTCATTAGGTACATTTGAAAATGATTTGAAAATTGATGGAATAAAGTATTTCAATCAATCCATTTCTTTATCAGTCAATAGTACCTCACTCATAGTTGAAAACTTAGGACCAATTAATAGTTTCGCTCCTGACGAAATTAAGATAATAATAAATGAGAGAAATCCTAAAAATGGAAAGTATACATTGAAACATGGTGAGAAGCTTGTCGTACCCTTATATACGCCAGAAAAGAGCATATCATGCTCTATCTCAGAATGTGATGCTGCCACATTTTTGAATATTACCGGTGGCGTGACAGGTGAACAAGCCAGTCTGATGAACGATGGTGATAACTCTACGTACTGGCAGGCGCAATTTTATAATTCTACCGCAAAAGTCTTGGTGGACTTGAAGAGGGATACTAATATCACAGGAGGTTATATTAATTGGAACGATAAGCCGCCGCAGTCATGGTCACTATCCAAATTGGATGCTACTAGCGGTGTGAAAAGCACCTACGATTTTTTAAGTAAGGTTAACTTTGGTAATGATGTGTTCAAGTATTTCCAAGATAGAAAAAACGACACAATCTTGAATCAGGACGACGTGTTTACGAGCATAGTAAATGAAAACGTTCAGATATCTGCTCCATATGATGAAAAAGATTCTTCTGAGGTTGAACTTCCCGACAATTTAAATGCAACTTACTTTAATATTGAACAGGGCTCAGTAGGAAGATTTTTCTTGATACAAATGGACGGTGTACACGATGAAGATTCTTCCGGGGATGGAGAAGGTGCAAAGATCGCAGAGATTGCTTTCTACTAGAGGATTGGAGTTTATCTTAAGAACAGTAATACATAGACAGAAGTGGCATTGAATAAAAGAATTTATTTAAATGAAATTTGTATTTTAGAAATGTCTATATTGTAGTTAGAATTTTAAAGCTATTAAAGCTTAGTACATTACCTCCGCCATTGTAATAAGACGTTTCACTCCTGTGTGCCACTTCCCGATTTCATCAGCATGATTAGTCGCAATCTCTAAATTCAAAGATGCTGCAGTTTGAAAGTCCTTGTGCTCAAGTGATTGAGATGCTTGCTTCAAAGTTTCGATAGTGTCTGGGGTCAAAAGTTCATTATTGTTCAAATGATCAAAAAGCAAATTGAGTCTCTCTTCCATGTCACGACCATGCTTAGCATACTTTTCAGGAATGTTAGGCTTGATTGCTTCTAAAACATTTGTTAAGGATTTATAAATCGGCATTGAAGATTCTGGAATATGCGATCTGTCACCGTCGGGATATCTCATTTTAGCGGGTTCTATCGGTGCTTGCGGTGCCTCCATTGCTGGCGGTTGATTGTTAAGCTCAGGTGGATTTTGTATTTTCGGTGGGGGAGGTTGTGTAAAAGTGGATGTCGGAGGTTGAGAGAACTGTCCAACAGGATGTGACGAGGCCTCCGTCGCACGAGGTGGTGGCCCATTCGCGACTGTCGCATTACTTCCTTGACCATACGTGTGAATTGGTGGTGGTACCATACCAGCCTTAATCGGTGGCGATATCGGATTAGACGAAACGGGTGGATGTGGTATTTGACCACTAGGAGAAAACGCACTCAGGACGGACCTCGCTGGAGGCGGAGGAAATAGGGGCCTACTACCCACTTGCAGAGAACTGCGCTGATTATGATGGTAAGGAGGTTGTGCGATCCCTCCTCTCACAGGAGGTGGGGCAACTCCAGGAATAGTTGGTCTCGGAGATTCAGCTCCAGGAGGAGGAGCATAAGGATTTTTGGGAGGAGCGGTAACTGAAGCTCTAGACACATTAGGGGAAAAGTTACCAGCGCTTATGGCACCTGTTGCAGGAGGAGGAGGAGGAGGAGCGTATGGATTCTTCGGCGGCGCGTTAGTCGTTGCGAATGAACCTCGTGGTGTCAAGTTGGAGTGTGCTGGCGGTGCACCAAGAGCAGGCGTTGAAGGAGCACTTATATTTGCTGATCCATTCAAACCTTCTTGAGTAGCACTTGAAGGTGGAGCATAGCGATTATTTATTGAAGCGTGACGTGGGGGCGGTAAGACCTCTGCGGAAGAACCTAGATTTCCAGCTAGCGACGCTCTTGAACTAGTGCGACTTATCCCTCTTCTCGGTGGCGGCAATAACCCGCTTGAAGCTGAAGTCATAGATGGCCTCTTTTGAGCAATAGGAGGCAGCTGAACACCAGAAAAAGGTGTAGGCGAAGGAGAAGGCTCCACAGGTGCTGCTGCTCTACGAGCTGGTGCAGTTGCTTTTGTCTTGAAAGTATTAGGCAAGTCATTCCAACCTTCTGTTTCCAGTTTATTTGTCCTTGGAGGAGGTAGAGGCGATGTTTGAGCACTATTTAAGGGCTCAGTAGCCGAAGGAGCATTAGCTGGTTTGTAAGGGTTCGAAATGGCACTGGAAGGAGCATATGGGTTATTACTTGTAGTTCTAGCATAAGGATTAGATGAAACACTCCTATTATATTGATTAGTAACTCCAGGCGTGGGTAACGAAGGATTGGAGACGGCACTTGATCGTCTCATGGGAGCCACTGGAGCTCCCATAACTGGTGGCACGACAGAAGTTGCCACTGCCTGAGAAGGGATGGGATAATGCCTCAGAGATGACTTGTGTGAGATATTTGGTGAATTTTGCATTGCGGCGTTATTTTGTCCTGCGGAGTTAAACATAGGTCTTGCATATGCTGTTCTTGAAGACCCAATCCTAGGATTGGCATGCTTAGAATTTGACGAAGACGTCTTCGATGTTGTATCAAGGGCCTTTACAATACGATCTTTCTCGTTACCTGTGAATTCACTTGGTAGTATCAGCAAGAACTTCTCGGCCAACTCAAAATGACCAAAACTGGCTACTAGGTTGGTATACTCTAAGATCGCTTTCGCAATGGGCTCAATAGAAGGTCCGGAAATTTCAGATAACATGTTAGTTAGCGATCTGTACGTAGCGATTTTCTCAACAAAGTTGTTTAAAGCTTCAAAATGAGCTTCTGAAGGAGATGAAATATCCGAATTACCTTGAAGTAAATGTTGTTCAAATTCAGGCAATTCCGAAAGCCATACATTTGCAATTTTATCAAGACCATTACCTGCCAAATAGCAAGAGATTGCATTAATTCTCTTGTCTTGATCATTCGAGGCGAAAATTCTATCTCCTAACTCATTAATTTTCAAGCTAAAGTCACTTTCATCTGTCGAGAAGGATGTGATGGCAGTCGCTATTTCTTTCCAATTTGAAGCATCAGCGGAAGAAACTAGATCGGTGATATTCTTTTGAGATACATTATAAAGCAACCTAGCTAATCGATCACCCTTCTTGCTATTAAAAAAGCCAGCCTTTGCCTTTTGCTTCGCTTCATCAGATGCATCCAATGCTAGAATTAATGCCTCTAAAAGTTTACCTTGTTCTAAACAACTTGAAATAGCATCATCAACCTTATTATTAAGTAGCAACTTGATTAATCTTTTTTCATCATTAGGAGTCGTCGAGTCGAATAAGGAAAAGGGTCCACTTGGGACATAATCCTCTGAATTGGTCACCCCATTTCCGAGCTTGTCAAAGAAAGCGTCATCTGTGATTGTAGAAGTATCAAGCTTAGAGCTTCCGTTAATCCAAGGATCTGACTCTTGTTTGTCTAAATCAAGCTCAAATAACTTCTCTTTTCCTTGGTCAGATAGCTTATTGAGAAGCTCCCAATCAAGCCTATCGCTTTCCAACAAAAACGGTCCATTCAATTTATCTTGAATTAATGATTTGAAATCCCCATTTTTTAATGCTTCGCTCAATTTTACCGATAAATTCAGGGAACTAGTAGCAAACTTTTGAATCTTAACTACAGACTTCCCATCGGTATTTTCACCCACTGTGACGATTTTTGAGCCAAAGCCGAAGAATACACTTGAAGGATTCTTGAGCCAAGAAGGTGCTTGCTGCTTTTCAAAGACTGCTTGTTGTGTTTCAGAAACTGATATTTCGTTCCAGAACAGATCATCATCTTTGGATGAAACTTTGGTGGTTATTGGAGGAGACGTATCCTGTAAAGTTTGTACAACAATTTTTCCATCAAAAGATGCAGTTGCGAAAATATCAGGCGCTGCTGGTGCAAACCTGGTGAGAAAAGCCCAGTTAGCCGTAGTAGGGTATTCTCCTAACTTTTCACCCTTAATTGGATTCCATAAAAATGTGTTATTATCTTTTCCACTTGAAAGTAGTAATTCAGGATCTTGAGTACACCAATCCAAAGAGAGAACACCTTTTTTATGTCCTTCTAAGATCATTTCTGGAGCATTTGAATTTCTCAAGTCCCATGTTAGGATTGAAGGACAGTTATCACTGTCACTTGCTGTTGCCAATTTAGTTGATTGAGTTGGATGCCATGCAACATGCGAAAAATTAGATTTACCATTTGGTCCATTGTAAGACAAGTGTAAGACTTCTCTTTTTGACTTTAAGTCCCAAATAGAAGTGAAACCTCCATTACTAGTAGTGGCAAGGATGTGGCCGACTGACCTATTCCAAGCAACACTCGTGATCTCGTCCATTGGTGTCATTGCTTTTCCAGGAGAGACAGGTTCAGTAAAATTCTTTGTATCCCAGATATATATCTCGCCATGCGAACCACCTGAAACCAAAATATGATCTTGATTTGGGTTAAACTGTAAACATCTGACCGGACCAGTATGCTTCAATGATTTATAAATCGACGATATTTTCAAATCTTTGGTCTTAATTAAAATTTCTGCATCCCAAATCTCAACAGCCCCGTTTTCAAATGCACCAGCTAATAACCCCATAGGCCTTCCGTCAAATGGTTTGGACCATGCCAAGGCATAGAATCTATTATCCACAGTTTCAGTAAATATTGGAGCTTTTTTATCTTGTGATGAAAAAATATCCCATATCTCGAGAGTGGAAGATGAATCAAAGTTTATGTCAACTGCTCCTGCGACTGTCCCCGTTGCAAGTAAAGGCAAGTTACCTTGACTCCACGCAAAGGTTGAAGTACTTAGGATTTCTTCGACCTTCACCATATTTCTGGACCTTTATTTAGTTTAAGCGTATCTTTTGTAATTACCTCGACGTCTAAGCTTCTAAAGGGTAATAAAATTGAATTCAAGTAACCTGTAATTTTATATGTCGCTTCGACTTGGTATCTTGTGAAGTATCTGTTGTGAATCTGAGCTTGTTTTAAGTTATTGCGTCAATAATGATTTCCGCCTCCTTCAAACAACAATCTCGATCAATTCTTTTTTTGAATCTCCGCTTAACTACCAAGTGTTCAATGCGCTTCTGAACAGACAGCTGAAGTCACAAAATTGTAATTGATTTAATAGCAAACGGGAAAGAACAACTGATCGTTCGAGTTTTTGCCAACGCACTGCTTTTCTTCCATGGACATTGTGTTGATCTGAAGAAAAACAATTAGTTCATAATCACGTGAGTAAATAAGTCCTCACTGCAACGTCTTCATATAAGAATATCCTCAGTTGGTCTTACGAGAAGAGAGAAGAGAAGAAAACGATGGCAGCATTTTGTCTTTTGTGATTGTCTTGTTACTGCTATAACCACTATCAGTTGTTGAATCAAGAGAAATAAAAAAAAAGAAAATAATAAAGCATGAGTGCTGTTGCAATAAAAGGTGGTATCTGGAGTAGGTCCCCACAAAGAGCCACGTTTAAGCTACTAATTAAACTATTGAACGACAGGATAGGCAAGCCAACCTTGAAGGCATTCTTAATTGCATACTTGTATGTGACACTTCCACGAGTGTTAAACTGCGTGATAGTGTCGCTAAGGAAGAAGAAATATAACAAGATACCTCAGCGTTTGTACAATATATTGACTAGAGCGCTTCATTCTAAGAAATTTCCAATGCTCTCGGCTTTTTTGGTTGGGGGTATTAATATCTTGGAACCTATTGTATATTATGTGATTAAGAGGTCTGGTTTATCAAGCAGCCCAATTAATAGCTTATTTTTCTCAACGTTCATTTCATCCTTCGTTTCAGCACTAATTGCTTTTCCCCGATATCAGGGGCACATCCTTGGTTACGGGCGGAACTGGTCATTGGATCTAACATTGTTAGTCGTCACGAGAGCATTGGATACAGCGCTCTCTTCAAGCTTAGGTATGATAGCACCGAAAGGAATTGCAGGATATGGTGATGCCTGTCTTTTTATCGTATCATGCTCCTTTATCATGTTTTCATGGTTTTACCGACCTCATTCACTACCACCAGCCTATTGCAAATGGATAACTTCAGCAGCTAATATGGACGTCGAAATTCTTGCTGCTTTGAAGGGTCTACATGAAGGTACTATAAAGTATGGTACTCCATCCCTTGTACTCGAACAATATTGTTTAAGACATAAAGTAGATCCTAGCGAAGGAAATTTTGTTAAAAATCAACCAATGAAATGCAATTTAGTTCATGCCTTCAAGACAAATAGTTGCGAGGTTCACGCGTTATGGAGGTTTTTGAGAGGATTCTCCTTTGCAATGAAGATTTACGGGCCCTTGAATGCATTGATGCTTTTAGTTCCAATAAAAAATGCAAAGATGAAATCAAGAATTATAAGATCTATCAAATCTACATTCAGGTCGTCTTTCTTTTTGGGAGCATTCATTGGATTATATTGGTACGCAGTTTGTCTCGCTAGACTGCGAATTTTTCCAAAGTTATTTCCAAGTGTACCTAAGACCCGTTGGGATATAACAGTTGGACCAGCTGCTGGTTCTGTATTATGTGGTTTTAGTAGCTTTATTGAATCAGCTCAGCGTCGTAAGGAATTAGCGTTGTTCGTAGCGCCCAGAGCATTGGGTACTATTGTCCCCTCAGAGGCTTCCGAAAGAAACTTGAATATTGAAACATTTGCATTTGCATTAAGTTTGGCAATACTTGTTGCATATTCTAGAAGGGATCCTAGGAAAGTTAGAGGTATCTTTGGGAGAGGACTTCAACAAGTCTTTAATAGAAGTTACTATAAGTAGTGCGCGACGAATATTCATATACTCTCATGAACACAATTTTGATATAGATCCTGTATTCTGATCATATTCTTCGACTTTAGTTGACATTCTTCATGGTTATAGGTGAATAACAAAATTGAAATGATATGCTGGATTCCGAATCAGAAAGTAGACAAGATGAGGATGTGCTAGAGGTAGATTTCTCGCTCCCTTTACGCGAATTTAGTGAGAATCTCATAAAGAGGCATGAAAAAATAGGTAAATGGATTAAGCTCACTAAGGAGGATGAATTATTGTGGTATATCTTTTTGACAGTGGGGGCACTTGTGGATCCATTCACTCAACCAGAGGAATCGGATGACTTCATTCTCAGCGTAGATTCCATATCAAGTTTGCTCATCGCTATTGCATACCCCAAGTACGTAGATCTAGAGTATGTGAAACACTTTGACGGCGGTCGAGCTGAGGCTGAAGGAAAAGAGGAAGAAATAGATATTAATTCTTGCAAATTTGGTATGTCAATGCGGTTTTTCGAGCTCCTCCTTTTAGTTAATAGAGCAATAAATGCAGATGACGAGCTAAAGCTCAGATATGTGGATAATGAAGGAGATTGGGTTAGCAAATTACTTGAATGGGTACCTTCACCTGGCTTGAATGATTCAGAATTAAGAATCGTTTATTCAATAGTTTGCATATTGGTCGTTTCAATTCACAAAATGGTTTCGCCGAAATCTTGTCAAGGAAATCTAAGTAAGAACCCGTATTTGCAATATTTCATAAAGCTTTGGAAGTGTCACACAAACATCATAATTTTGGCCTTGGAAATTGATAGAAAAGTTGAAGCTGAAAATGAACATGAAGATGATCAGTTTGAAATCCCGGAGATTGTTTATCAAACTGTAAATGGCTCTAGTGCTATAAGGTTTGTCTTGGGAAGTATTTTAAATCAAAATCTGTCTCTGTTATTAAAAGAGAAACTACCCGTATCTCACAGTGAAGATACAGATCTGGAAGATGATTTGAAGAATGAAACTTTATTAAACTTCATTCAACCTTTGGGCCGTAAGAAAGTTAATGGAGGTGCATTACTGATCGATATGCGGTTGGTGGTAATTGCATTGTTAATTGTAAAATGTGGAATAACTTTCACATCTACTATTAAAGCAACAGATAAGCCCGATTCGAGCGAGGAGGAAAAGAAAAGAATAATAGCTCAGAATACACCAATTTCCGAGATTGGCGATTTATTGATTGATTTAGAGTATGATGACCGATTTGAAGAAGATATTAGGTATATGTTCGATTATGGATTCGATAATACAGATGATGAGTGGCTGGACATTATTGAAAAAGAAGAGGATTCAGGTGAACCTGAAGCCAAAAAGACGCATACACCAGCAGAAGAAAGTGTCGTGACAACAGCAGTTAGATCAAAAGATACTTCTACGATTAATTTTGATGAATTTGGACGGGACTGGAGAGATGTTCCAAGAGACGAAAATGCGTTTTTTCAGGACTGGTTCTTGCTGTGCGTGAAGAACTTTAAAAAGCTTGACAAAAAAGAGGATTCTGATGATTTTTTTGGGAAATGGGAGGAGTTAGTAGAAACTTTACGGTTTTTGAAGACTAATTCCATTGAAGATGAGCTGGTTACTGAAAGTCGGATTGGACAAGCGTTGCTTAATACAATTGCGAAGGCTATAAAGGATGAGGCTGATGGTGTCAAAAATGATATAACTCCTGATAAATTTTATGAATTCTTGTCAAGTGTGGCACCGGACGATGCAATCCAAACGACCCTGAATAAAAACAAATTGATCGTTCCTATATTTCAGATAACTAATGCCGAAATATTTCTTCATAATAATAACAAATTGGCAAGATGTGTATTTGATGAGTTGTTCATGTGTAAAGGTTATAGGAGGGTTTTGATATGGTTCTTAACTCATAATATTAATTTATCTACACTATTAATTGACTACGTGTTCGAATTATTGTCTGGGTTGAGAGGTAGTGATGAAAGGCAAAGGCCTTATAAGTTCTCTAGAAAAGGTGGTCAAATTTTACTCAGTGATGTTGAAAGGCTGATGTTGCTTCATGAATTCTTATCAAACTGTAGTCTTTATCTTTCTGCGACAGAAGGGATACATATGGACGACGGATATAAGATTGTTTTAGCAGAATCTATTGCCAAGAAGTATTTGAGTCTTATTTGCCTAATGATCAATCAATTAATCAAAATTGGTGTTATTACCCTAGGTGCGAAAAACAAAGGGAATAAAGACGACGACATAGATGACTATTCTAACGATATACAAGTTTTGCTTATAAGCTGGATCGGAAAATTACCCGAAGCTCGTGAGTTATTTTTCAAAATTAAGACGGCCAATTATGATATAGAAAGACCCCCAAGTCATGATGATGTCACGCCTATGGTACACTACGACTCAGAAGATCTTGCCAATCTAATCGACAAATTTTCCCTACTTTCAACTTCAGAAATTACCGATGATTTATACAAAAATCCTGATCACTTGAGTATCATTGGTAATCTCGGTATGAGAATCGAGCACCATATAAAGCTTATTATATCTGGCTATTCCAATGCCGCTAAAGTGACTGAATTAACCTTACTGGAAGGAGAGCACATTTCAAGTGATTTCAAGTTCTTCTTGAACCATTTTGACACTCTATGCAAGATTGAATACCTAGCAGAAACACTTTTCGAGAAGCTTGATGCTCTATTGACGGCAGGTTTGGAAACTGATTTACCTGGATTAGGTGCAACCTCCACTTCTGAATTCAATGATCAGTTCCTCAATGGTGAGGTGAAGTTCACGAATAGCGGAAAATAACCTGACTTTCACTCGGAAGGCAGCTGGAGCATAGTTGACTTGTTCAACTTCAATTTGTAATGTATAATAGACTTAATAAAATGTAAACTTACCTGTTATATTTTTAGCTCTCAAGTTCAATCTAGAAGAATCAATTCTGTGCAATGAAATTTTGCAATTCAGTTCGGATCAAATCGATTATGTGTCATATAGAATACTTCCTAAAAAGACTTTCCAACTTATACTTATAAAAGGAAACTATGTTTTCTAATCAATTGCGTTCAACTATATCTAGAAACCTAATGTCAGCCAAAAGATTCAATTCTACAATCACACCTGTATGTATTTTATTCAAGAACGAAAAGTAATAGGATTTGGCTACCATTTGAAAGGATCAGTTCATATATGCTCTAAGGAGAAATTACTAACACTGCAATAGGTCAAGACTGCTAATGCGCCGCCACCAGCAGCATCTTACTCTCAGGCCATTAAAGTAAATGGTAAGTATCAGCTGTAAACAACAATTATTGACAAATTGCTAACCAAACGCAGGATTTATCTATGTTTCTGGTCAAATTCCTTATACACCTCAGAACAAACCGTTGAGTGCAAATCCTTCAATTCAAGAGCAGGCAGAGCAAGTTATTCAAAATGTCTCAAATATACTAGAGGCATCGAATTCTTCACTTAAACATATCGTAAAGGCGAATATTTTTTTGACGGATATGAAAGCACAATTTGGCGAATTCAATTCCGTGTACGGTAAATATTTTTCGGATCACAAGCCTGCTAGGTCCTGCGTTGCAGTTAAGGAACTTCCTTTGGGTGTCGACTTAGAGATGGAAGTCGTAGCTGTTGAAAAAGACGATAATAAGTTGTAAGCTCTAAGCTTACTTCCTATATGAAACTGCAGTTTTCGTTTAAACGTTAGGGTGAATTATGATAAACTTATATACTACAAAACAATATAAGCCCCTTTCTATTTGTAGCATTTTAATGCTAGAAGAAGACTCTATTCCTCAATCTTTAATTCTATTCAAAATGGTACGTCATAAAGACCTACTACAACACATTTTCAGGATTAGTATACAAGAGTCCGGAACAAAAGAGCTTAAGGTCTTTTGAGGCAGATCCGGTCTAATTGCGTTTCTGTAAGGTCGGCAGCCCTTTCCAAGAAGTGTTAACGTGATCTGATTGTTTTGTGTGCGCACTACTATCCTATTAACAAAAATTTTCACAAGTCTCAAGCCTGTATTCTCAGAGCGTGAAATTTTCCAATTCATAAAATTTGTTAGCTTCACTTCTTTCACAGTTGACTATAGCATAGTATATTAGAAATGGCTCAACGTATTACTTACAGAAGAAGAAATCCTTGTATGTTTTAATTCAGATAATGCCGCGTTGCTTGAATGGAAATTATGGGAACTATGAATAATGAACAAAAGTAGTGATTGATGCTCCGAAGTTATGAATGGTTCTGAACTGCAACAGTGGGCTTAGAGGTGTAATGATCGACTATAATTGCAGAAATTGTTCGATGTCCTTAACGACAACGCTCCTTAAATATCAAAATGCTTATCTTCAAAAAGGAGACTGGCGGAGACTCAAACCGAGTTCTTTGTTGCATTTACATATCTTATTGAGTAAAGTTGTCACTGGGAGATGAAATCGTTTGAAGAATATGTTAATTTCGCATCAAGTTGCATTTGAAACTTCTAAACTTAAAGATTGTGAAAACCTCAGTTCTTCTGTTCTATCGGGCTACCATGTTTTCCCTTTAAGCATAAATTACCATCAATAGTGACAAATACTAACTTATATTTAGATAACACCAGATCTAACAAGGTCAAAGTCGTTAAGACTCCAGGTGGAAAATTAGTTGCTCAGCATCTCAAGAAGCAAGCTTCCAGAGTCAAATGTGGTGACTGTGGTAGTGCATTGCCAGGTATCTCTACCTTGAGACCAAGACAATACGCTCAAGTCTCCAAGACCCACAAGACCGTGCAAAGAGCATACGGTGGTTCTAGATGTGCTGGTTGTGTTAAGGAAAGAATCGTTAGAGCTTTCTTGATTGAAGAACAAAAGATCGTTAAGAGGGTCTTGAAAGATCAACAAGAGAAGGAGAAGAAGGCAGCTAAGAAGACCGGTAAGAAATAAATTAAATAGGGAAACAGAAACTTGTAATACTTAGTCCTGGTTTGATGGTAACCAAAATATCTCTTACTTTAACGCTTTAATACATCCACATACTTTTGGAAGTTATCTATTATTTTGTGTAGTGAAAGGCACCAAGTTTGATTTAGGTTTTACATAGTTAGAACGATTGAAAGGGTCATAACTTGTGTTGAATAAGTCTTTATGTAGAAAAATACGAGCCATCTCAAGTATCAATTTTTCTTGAGCTTTTCATTCGAACCATGGGGTCAAGAAGTGTAAAATAGCTTAGGAAGTGTTTTGCAATTGCAAATCGAAGCGATTTAGGAAACATATCGATGAAGCCAAAAGTTGTCAAAACTGAAAAACTGCATATCTGTTTTAACCGAAGATGGAACTGCGACAAGAACTTAGCCAAGAATATTCAAGTTGGTACCTGTGCAGCAAGCGCAGGGATGCATTATATCACAAGATATCTACCTGCTCATGAGGTGTCGCTAAAAACGATGTTGATTGAGTTGACATGTATAATCTCATAAACGGCTCATTGAGTGGTTCCAATTGTGGTTCCAATTGTGGTTCCAATAAGCTCTTAATAAAAGTTTCCCACATATGAATAGCTATATCGAAAGAGATATTCGTTGTAGAAAATTCATTGGCCACATCGCAAAGCACTGTATTTGCGTACCTTGGGCAGTGAAACGGACCGTTGGGTGCATCTTAAAATACCCCATCATCACCAAAAATCATAAAATGTCGCAAACGACACAGATCATGTAACGAATGTTACTCATTGAATAGCCGGGAGCATTGAATAAGCCGGGAGCTGATTTCTCAAGCGTTTTATATAACGAAACTGATTCCGCAGCTTCTGAATACCTTTAATGTAACTCTTCTTTAAAAGATTTTGCCATCAAGTTTAATTTTAACCAAACATTACTTATTCAATCAATTGGGCAACACTAATGTGAAAGAGCAAGCAATATGTCACGTAATTCAGAAGCGATCTGTGTTCTCTAAAGGAACTTGTATACTTCTGAATAAGAGCAATATCTAGAAATGCCGTGTACTTACGGTTAAGAGCGTTATTGATAGAGAATTAAACCTTTTCTATTATTGGACCTTATCAAATTTATCAATTCCATCTATAAAAGGTTTTCTATAATCCTGGGTTGGATATGTTCCGTCTTTTCGAATTCTAATTTAACAGTTTGATTTAGAATTGAGATGTTGGTAATTCAAGCTTTATCTACAATTAGCACCAATAGTAATAATTGTCTGCTCAGGTCGGAGATCTCGCCATTAAAGGCGTTTTTTTCAAAAGCCCAGTTACTCGACCTCTAATATTTGAGTTTCAAGCTACAGAAATCATACACTCACAGCAATATGATCATCGTCACCCGTAAATGACTTTCACAGCTCTAGAGTTTCTGCGTCAATTTCTGTCACTCCTTTATCTGAGCCTTGTTAAAAGGCGAGCTTCCATCAGTAGAGCCTATGAAGATTCAGTCCCACACGTAAGCCACTCAAGCTTATGTAATCTCGCCTATAGTAAATCTTATGCGCGCGGGATGGTAGATCTTAAAGATAATTGTAACTGTTAAGCTTGCGTTAAGAGCAGCTTCCTCCCGTCATTACCGAGACTAGAAAGAGATTCGGACTGACTTTCGAATAGTTCATTCAACCTCTCGAGAGCGGACATTTGCTGCATGCTTAAAACCCTTACAGTAGAGGCTACATGAATAACATTACTCGGGCGGCATTAAAATTTTCCAGAAATTTTTCTCTCTGGAAAATTCTACATTTACGTAAAAAAAAATACTCTATTGTAATGCTATTGGTGGTTAACTTCCGACCTTGCGCATTTAGAAAGCCATTCCATTTTACTAACTCGTATTATTCAAGTCGTTTCTCCTAATCCTCATCTGATAAATCGAACTATGTAGTAGATCTTTTTGATTATTTAAATACAGCTCTCTTTTGTTTTCAACTTCATTTATTTCTGCAACAAGCGAAATGTCTGAAGAAAAGCTTGAGGACAAGCTTGATGAAAAAAGAGAATTCACACAGGAAGAATCGAAAGATGAGTTTGTTCCTATTAGCGAGGATTATAAGCAAAAGCTTTATGAAAAATTAGGGCATGCTGATGTTTTAACTACCGACTCCACTATTCCTGATATAGAGTATCTTTATCGAAAAACTGAAGAATTGCCCTTAGAAAAAGCGCTTGAGATTTTAACACGAGTTATTAAAGACCATAATGATGATCCAAATTTTCCTTACGATGATTTTGAATTCATTGAAAAAATTGAAAAAGGTTATAACAATGACTTAGGGATGAGTTATGATGACTGGGCTTTTCAAGTGAAGATGTACGCTGCCTTGAATGAATACCACTCTCCTTATCCAGAAGTGCGTGCAATTTCTTCACCAACGGACGATCCAAATATCCCATGTGAAACTATTCGTGCCTATTTCTTAGGGTTCGTTTGGTGTATCATTGGTACTGGGGTCAACGAGCTCTTCTCTCGTAGGCAGCCGTCCATTTATTATCAGCTTCGGTTTGTCAAATGCTAATGTATCCATGTGGAATTACTCTTCAATATATTTTACCAGATTGGGGGTTTACCTTGTTTGGTACTAGACACTCTTTAAACCCTGGTCCTTGGACTTATAAAGAACAAATGTTTGCAACTGTTTTGTTTGACATAGCAATTGGAGGTATGTATGTTGGTTACAACTTTTATGTTGAAAAACTAAGTGTCTTTTATGGTAACACTTGGATTACAGCTGGCTACCAAATTTTAATTTCTCTTGCAACTCAATTATTTGGTTTTGGATTTGCAGGTATTCTTAGAAAGATAGTTATTTACCCAGTACGTGCTGTTTGGCCAACTATTTTGCCTACTCTCGCCCTTAATCGAGCATTATTGAAGAAAGAGAAGAAAGAAAATATCAATGGCTGGACAATTACTCGGTATAAACTCTTCTTCATCGTGTTTTCTTCTTCATTTTTATACATGTGGATTCCTGATTACTTATTTCAAGCATTATCATACTTTAACTGGATGACTTGGATCAAACCAGATAATTTCAATTTGGCAAACGTTACAGGATCAATTCAAGGTCTTGGTTTAAACCCAATTAGTAGTTTTGATTGGAATATCATTGGTTATTGGCTTCCCTTGGCATTTCCATTCTATACTTATTTAAATATGATGATAGGAATGTTCATCGGGTTCATCGTTATTATCGGTCTTTATTATAGTAATTATAAATGGACCGCTTATCTTCCGATTAATGATAACAACATTTATACAAATACAGGTGAGCTTTATGAGGTTCAAAGCGTACTTACAAATGGAAAGCTAGATGAGGCTAAGTACAAAAAATATGGTCCGCCATACTTATGTGCTGGTAACTTGTTGGTTTACGGTGCCAATTGTGCTCTTTATACATTCATGATTCCATACGTTTTCTTCACGGAACGTAAAGGTATCTGGAACTCGCTCAAATCATTAAAAGATCTGATTACTGATTTGAAATCATCAAGTTACGCACGTTTCAATGACCCACATTCTCGAATGATGTCTCGTTATAAAGAAGTTCCAGAGTGGTGTTTTATAGTTATAATGTTAATCGCCCTTGTGTTTGCGATTGTTTGCGTGAAAGTTTATCCTGCTAATACCCCCGTTTGGGGAATCTTTTTGATGCTTGGTATCAACGCGGTGTTTGTAATCCCATTATGTGTTATTTACGCTATTACCGGGTACTATTTCACTCTTGAAGTTTTAGTTGAATTGATTATTGGATATGCATTACCAGGAAACGGTGATGCTTTGATGTTTTTAAAAGCTTTGGGATTCAATATTACTGGTCAAGCTCAACAATATGTGTACGATCAAAAAATGGCACACTATTCAAAAATTCCACCAAGGGCTGTTTTCCGTGGTCAACTTCTGGGAACTATTTTCCAAATCATAGTATCTTTGCTTGTCATAAACTGGGAAATTTATAACCTTAAGGGAATTTGCACAGATGAGCAGGCAAACAACTTCACTTGTCCCAGTGAAGTTTCTTACTATTCTTCTTCAGTATTTTGGGGTGTTATTGGACCAAAGAAAGTGTTCAATAAACTATATCCAGTATTACCTTATTGTTTCCTCATTGGATTCTTGCTTTCTCTTGTGTGTCTTGCCATTAGACGTTACTTTTACAAACAAACTCGTTGGTTCCAGCCAGCAGTCGTTATTGGTGGGTTATTTAATTATGCCCCCTATAATTTAAGCTATTTCCTTCCTGGTCTCTATGTCAGCTTTGCCTTCAATCACTATATCAAAAAAAGATTTAGTGCATGGTGGGAGAAATATAACTATATCTTGTCATCTGCCCTTGATGCTGGTGTTGCATTTGGTGGTATTATCATCTTTTTTGCTGTTCAGTATCATGAAAAAGACGTAAACTGGTGGGGAAATGAAGTATCTTATGCTGGTACCGATGGTGGTTTGGGACAAGTTAGTTTATTGGATGCATCGAATGCTCCAGATGGATACTTTGGATTGAGGAAGGGAGACTTTTAATACCATTAAATATAGCGATACAATTCAAGGTGGTGATATTTCTTGATTATACAACATCTAACGGTGATGCTTTAACTATTTGATAACAAGACCAAAAATGTCATTAAGAATACCAGGAATAATATTAGATTTCGAAGTCGAGCGCATAGCAATTTATGTCTTATGGCTTAGTTCCAGAGGATAATGTTTCCATTATATAAATCCATAATTTCAAGCATAATAAGTAACAGTCTATCAGAATATGTCGAATATAGGATTTGTTCCTATGTTAATTCGTAGTGCAAATATTCGCTTTAATTTTAAATCTTAGTGAATATATATTGAGTTATAACTATAAACTAATGTGAAACTTTCAGCTCACACCTCCTGACATCCAATGAGACTCCAAAAATGTTCAAGGTCATCGCAATTTATAGAATTGGATAACTAAATTAGTCACTCAAGGTTTATCATTCTTTGCAGAGAATATATTTATATCTACATAATTGCGATGTTCACAAATAAAACAAATTAAGCATTAAAGTACCAACTATGTAATCTCAAATAAGTGAATTGGTTATTAAAACTGAATAGCGGTCCAAAAGAGGGTTATCACGAATATTACGAAAATTATTTAATGTGCATACATCAACATCATTTTACTCTGCTTGTAGACTCCATCTTTTTGCAAGAAACCGCAATTTGATCACTAATTTGATTCGATTATCTCTGCCTTATGATAAAGATCTCCTTTTATAGTTCCAATATAACCTAAGCCACCGAATCCCCCAACCATATAAACCTCATCAACGATAAACTTTACCCAATGTGATTTATGAGGACTGATCTTATTTCGTGGTAGCCAAGCGTTTGCATCTGGATGCCTCTTCAAGAAACAAGCTTCCAATTTGAGTTGTTCAGACGGATTTTCAAACGTCACATCTTTCAACTTCCCTCTCAAATTGATTCTTGGTGAACCAGCGGGCGAATGCTTAATACTGCCTGGATAAGATGGGTCCACGTCTTCACCTAAAGGATGGTCTCCTACCCGAATAGTGAATGTGTAGCTAGAGCCCTTCTCGATATTTCGGAAAGTAGATCCAATATCCACCACAAGCCAATAAGGATCTCCGTCACCATCACAATCTGCGTAATATTCCATGGAAGACACAGGTATTTGAGAGACTTCAGAATTTGACTCTAGAGTTTGGAAAGTATTAACATTGACTAGGGATTCCCTAGACACTAATGTTCTAGCTACTCTAGCAGCTTCCTGAATATTGGGTACCACATCAATCTGAAGTGGGATCTGATTATTCAAGATGTCAATTGAATTCTCCCTAGTTGGGAGAGCAAACACTTGATTGATAGTATATGCAATATTGATGATGCTTGCAAGCGTTGTACGTATCCTCATATTGATCTTAGTGTATAATCTGTTGAAGTAAAAGTTGAAACACTCTAAATTGTCCGACTTCGGAAGTGCCTTTCGAAGATGCAGAATGCAACCACACATATGATGTTTAGCAGTTAAAAATCATGTCTCTACAGTCAAATCTTCGAGCTTCAATCACGATTGTCGCAATTGATTACAGCATGTCATTCCAAAGGAACCTGTTATCTCTACTAAAGATGCGAATGCATGTCAATAGTGTAATTAGAGCGCATCTCCAAATCGAACAATCAATTAACAGCCGTTGGCTCGCAAATTGTCATTCCAGTCTCTTAAAATGAGTTTGTCTCTCAGATTTCTATGGTTCGTTACAAGGTATTTAAAACAAATCCATAGATTTTGGCTAGATTCTAATTAGTTGGTTCTTCAACCCATTACGCAAATCTGAAGATTTCGATTACATTGAATTACCTTGCAAGAAAGAGTGAATATGGATAGGAGTGCGTTAGTATTATATTTGAATGTAATATCTTGATAGGTTTTGACTTCCTTCTAAAAGAGAAAACAAGTACAGACCGAAATTCAAGATAAGCTATCAGTCAAAATATATCATGAGATTTCATTATGCTTTCATTACCAGCTCTTTTTCAGGAATAACTTTATCTAGATTTGTGAGAGGCATATGGGGGTACTGCAGAAGGTTTGGGGGTCGAATTTATTAAGCATGCTTTAAAGGCTAACTGTAGATCAGCCTCTTATAAATATTTGAGGGCATACCATTTCGCTCTTTAACTAAAAGAAATGGGGGCGCTGAAAGAATAAGATCTTCAGTCCCAACTATGTTCAGATCACTAAAATACTGAGACTTTTTACTTCAACTTAGCAGCAAGATGTCGTAGGATCCTTTCCCTGTGCTTTAATCTATAAATAAAATTAGCATATAGTTCTAGGAATTAGTGAGGCTGCAAATTCGATTTCTTTCCAAAATTGCGCTTACATTACAAGAAATGCTACTTTTACTACATTGAAGAACAGTTTTAGCTGGAAGTTCATATAGCTGCAAGAAGAGCGAAGGCTGAACGATTTGTTCTATCACCAGTAGGTTTAATGATAGACAGATATAGAATGAAAGAACTTAAGCATACATTATCTTTCATTCTCGTTTTGTGCCATTTGCGCTATTTTTCTTGTTTGACTATCTTATTTATATATTCTGTGATTTATTGAAGCATGATACAAAGAAGTTGGATTTCGTTTCATGGAGTGCGCATACTATAGTATTTATTGTAGAAAGAGAAAAGTTCAGAAGTCATTAGTTCATTTAATAAATGTTTACAATATCCATTTTCCCATGGTGGTACTTTCTTTTTTCCGTGGAAGATACAGAAATATTTGATGTGTTAGGATATTATTTAACCGTCAGTAATTGATTAATTAAACTATTGCTAGTGATTTTCTATTCAGCTATTGATTTCGTCTTCGTAACTTTGCTAGAGATTGTTGTTGCTAGGTCGTTTTTATTTCGGAATCGCTTGGAAGTGACCTAAAGGGGTAATCGGATGTTATCGCGATTTTCTTATCAGTAGTTTGAATATCTGTTGCAAGTGACACTTATGTATACGGCCGTTTCATCATATGAGTCAAGCTTTACCTGAAAGATATATATATGGCAGCTAGCAAAATTTGAAGAAAGGGTAGACTCAAAGGACACTATTAATCAACAGATTACATTGAAAAGCTATTATCTTTCCATTTGGGTACTAATATCTTTGCAAGTGCTGTTTACCGAAACAGGATAAGGGAGGGATATCAAAAACACATCATGGACTCAGGAAGATTATCACAATTACTAGCAAACACATACATCCCTCCAAAAGGTAAACAGAAGGTAAATTCAGTGCCACCGTACCACCCATGTTTGATTGTTCAGGATTCACAGACTGATGTTGGAAAGCCAAAGCCTTGTGGTTGTGCGGACAGCTATTGCGTAAAGGATGCCCCTGGATGGATTCCAAGGGCCAAAAGATAGAGATAATAGCTCATAGAAAGAAGAAGCAGAACTTATTAGTTGCTCTGATTGTGTTTGATGTATTTGATTTTATTTGAAAGATTATTTATTAAAGGTGTTATAACTTGTTTAATTCAATTCTACTAATTATATACATAAGAGGGAACTAATGAATAGATATAAGAAATGTGAAATAAGAATTTTGCTCTTAAGGATTATATTTCTTTGCTGTAACTATCGAAGGGCTGCGACTCTTGGCTCTGTTCTTCTATAGGTTTAGTGGCAGCATGCCTCTTAATTTCTCTAAAGGAGAGCTTCAGCTTGCCGATTGTAAACATGGGGTGTAAAACTGCTAATACGAAGCAGGCTAAGAAAATCATCAACGCGTCCAATATCGCAAGATAAACCTCATGTGTTATCAAGTTTCCAGTCCATCCTTCAGCTAATTCCACAACTCTGTAGATACATCTGATGTAAACGAATATGGTAGATACCAAGAGTGCAAAAGGTATCCATTTATACAATACTCCAGACCTTGCTTTAGAGAAAATGGGGTTATAATAAGGATCCAATTTCTCTCTTAGCCTGATTCCTTCTGGCGTATTGAGAAGGATTTGAAAGAATTTTTTGACAGAGAACTTGATTTCTGGATTTGCCTTGAAGAATGTCCTGTTAATAAAGTCAAACAATAGAATCAAGAAAACACTCATAGTAAACACTTGAAATACGACCCCACCTAACATAGTATGACTACCAGGATCCAGCGAGTTATGTTCCTTTAAGGCAGTAGCTGCCATACCTCCACCAACTGCTTGAATAACCAAACTCACAATATCACAGAAAACAAATATATATGTATACCAAGTTGGCTTTAGTATTGAGTATTGCCTTCCGTGAAAGACGATTATCTGCCCAAGGTAAAAGTAGATACCAGCTGCAATAAAAACAGGTGCTAATGTTAGACATATAATTTGACAAAGATATTTATCTACATTAGCAGTATCATTATAAGCCAAAGCTCTGGCTATATACCCTGCTAATTCAAGACCACAGCCACAACCTAAGCAGACACCCATATAGATATTTCTAGACCAACCAGAAAAACCAATGTGCGCAAGAAATAATAATGCAAAAGCAATGAAAAGAATAAGATTACCAGCTCTATTGATATTCATTGAATATAAGTTCATTTCCCAATCAAGAGACTTTAAATTTACCGTAGCATTGAAGATTGCCTGGGAAGCTAACGATAACTCCGAAGATGCAGTAGCAGTCGCCATAACACGTTCGGCACTTAAGACTGTCAAAGAGGCTTCTGCACCTCTTATTATCTGGGAGAGGTCAAATAGGTTCCCTTTAACAGTTTCAGTTGCCACTCTCTCTGTAGCAGAAGTTAATGTCTTTACCAAATCTGAATAATGGTCAGTATTTATGGAAGTTGTTGCAGTTAGTGTGGGTATCAGACTGGGAGTCCAAGGCTTGAGAAGCTCTGACATTTGAATCGAAGTCATCTTTACTTAATGGGCTTGCTACTGACTAGTCGTCTTGGAAAGACCCTTAGCAAGGATTGAAAAAGTTTGTAATCAAATTTTACATTGCAAAATTCACGGAAGCCGGGATCGAATAAGATTTTTGGCCCGAAAATGAAAATAGTGTGCCGCACACAGGTTCTGAATTTAAGTTTTATATGTCTACAAGATCAATGTTTATATTTTTCATTAGGAAAAGTCACATTTTCGTTCAATGATCCAACAAATAATATTCGATAGGAAAGAAGTGTTAAAATAAATAATATTTACTTCACAGATTAACTCTGTTCACTTTAGACTCATATTCCAGCGTCAAATTCTTTTTTTTATTCCAATTATTGGTGCGATCATTTGCTCCTCACTACCATGATTTTGACGAAGCAAAATCTTTACTCTCAATATATACATCACATAGGTGACACAGTCATGCTTGATTCTTAGCAATCAAGAGCGATGAACATCAGGATTTACAAGTTCACTAGTCACTTGCTCTCGCTTCCAAAACCTTAATAGGAGGTCCCCGTAATTTTGCAAATCTTCGACAGATATCATGAGTTTGAAATCCAATAATAATAAAAATTGTAGCTCAAGGTAATTTAATTCCTCTAAGGGAAGACCGCCTACTTTGGCATACCTGAGGTTCTTATAAAAAATATCGGAGAAAAATTTTGAAGAAACTGTTATTCCTGCTATGATTAAACGATGAATATTGTAGGAGTCCATAACAAAAAGCTGTTCAGACATTTCATCGCCTTCAGCACCCTCATTTTCATGCTTTTTTAGGTTATTGGCTTTCTTTGCGATTCTGTCAAAATAGACTAACAATGATAGAAAGACTTCATTAGTTACTGGACAATATTTTAAAACTCTTGCCAAATAGGCATGCAAAGATATACCTGGAACATTTTTTCCATGGAATGCCAATACGTTAGCTAGGTATTTGTTTTTCTTTTCATCTTGCTCATCGTCAGATATTTCAACATCGTCGAAGCTAATAGAGAAGTCATTAATATTTAAACCTTCTGCTTTTTTCTGCGCCTCAAGTTTCCGAAGCTTCTTTAACTTTCTCTGCTCTTTCAATTTGTGCCTAATGTTAATGGTATTGTCGAAATGATTAGGATGTAATTTATCATTAGCTTCTATGATCTTAGTTAGTAAGCATGCTAACATCATTATTAAGTCATTAACCGGATAATCAATAATGTTCAAGTGCTCCTCAGCCTCCGCATTATTTTCGTTGGCAGCTATGGAGCTTTCCACGTTTAAATTATGTAAGAACTCCTTATAAGTCATATAGTGATCAGGTTCCAAGTTTATTAATTGTGGATGCGAAGTAATTCCTTGGGTGCCTTCTGGCTGAAATTGTTCTTGAGACAGAGATTCATTATCAGAAACCTGTCTATCATTAATTGAAGAAAATCTTTGAAATGGAGTTGGGGCTTGTACAAAACCTGCTTGGGACAGCCCAACATTGGGTAATGAATGAGGAAACTTATTTTGGGAATGTGCAACTGTCGCCGGGCGAGAAAATGGATTCGCAAAAGAGGTATTTGTAAATGAACTTGAATTAACAGAATCCATGGAAACATTTGTAGTTGGAATTGCTTGAGCAGAATTCATGACGCTTGGCTTGAGATTTCCTGAAAATGATTGACTTTGATTATAGGGTTGGGTAACAAAATGATTACTATTTTTCATATTCATGTTTTGAAACGATGGTGTATGGGGAGGATTGGAAGAATATGACGAGCTAACCATTGTTGGTGTATTATGGTCAGAAGGAATATAGTTCATTGAATTATTGCCAGCTCTGTAAGTAAAACTATTATTTACTGCACCATGATCTGGATATGAGGGGGGATGCTGTTGATTAAAATACATGCCTGATTGACCAAATGATGATACAAACTTATTACTTTGAGACGAATTTGAGATTTCAGACACACTATAGCTGGGTGGATGGTTCGGAAGTGGCTGTTGACTTGTTTGTTCTTCTTCTAGTTGACTTTGTAATTGTTCTGGTAACAAATGTCCGGGCTGGTTCAACTTATTTTGTTCTTGCGATTGACGTTGCAGATCACGTTGATTTTGTTCTTGAGATGGTTTGACATTATCATCGTTAGGTTGGCTATTACTTTGATTACCATGACGACTAGCCGATGAAGAAAGAAGATTTTTCGTCAAATTTGACACTTGAGATTCATTTGTTGAGAAGCTGGGTCTGTGTGAACAGTCTCCCTTTTGAAAATCATCACCCGTATTTGAAGAAGTGACCGTGGTCGACAGCCGGTCAAATTGTGGGCACATATTCACTAAATTGTTTGAAATTAACTTTGTTGAGGTTTAATTGACCATAAATATTGTTGAATTCAATGAGTGAGTTCTTTATATTTATCGCCTACCTATTAAGTTAGTAAATGCATCTTGCTTGGGTCTGAAATTAACCTTGATAATTAAAAAACGAAGATTACTTACTTTCTAGTTGAAAAGAATATATTCACTGTCACTTATTATTGATCTGGGATCCATAAACTCAATGATTATTAGCCTTAATTTGAATATATATGACTGCGAGTGTAGATTACTATCCTTCAGCACTTTCCTCGAAGTAGGAGCCTCATCTGTTGTTGGATTTCCTAATCATTCCGATTACACAAAATGGAAAAGAGCGCTCCATCAGAAGACTTCGAATGTCTCCACGATATATTTGTTTGAACATAGAGAAAAGTTGAAGCCAGATGTCTACTGCCTCTAAAATCACATTTGGGACATCATGCCTTTTTGCAGTATCAGCTTTTGCCTTTATAAATTTTAATCAGAAGTTGGAACGAGATGCGCTCAGACAGGGCCCCATTAAAGACGCAGCAAGAGTGGAGGCGAAAAGACAAGAAATGTCAAGCAAACAAAGGTCCAATGATTTGGAACACAAGCAACAAATGGAACTAAAGGAGAGGTTTGAGAAGCTACAGCCTTTAAGTGGTGAAATTATTATTGCTGACGAGGACACGAAGAGTTAGTCTTAAGAAGAAATAGAAAAGTTAAACCTAATCCATGCATTATTGAAAATGATTTCGTAGAAACCAAAGGACATAGCAAATCTCTGTAAATAAAAGACTACCATAATTACTTATAACACAAATAACACAAGAGAGTAGATAAAAATGATTAGAAAATGTACGTGTATTTGGAGACACCGATGGGTACTATTATCTGATCCAAAAGACCAGAAACTTCCAAATCGATGTACCATGATAACACTTTGTTATTTTTCGAACTAGTCGCTATAAGCATAGAATGACCGAAAGTTGCCCTTCGACCAATCTTGAGAACTATTATAGATTTTACATCCTGCTCCAAGTGAATTACCAAAACGGGTCATCGAGAATGGAGATATCTGATCAGCCAGCGAACAAGAGTTAAAAAAAATCAAGTCCAGATCAAGCCAAGATACTATAATAATCAGACCATGTTCGATGGTTAAAGAAGTAAAGTTACATTTTGAGTATAACGTTCGAAGGAAAATATATCCATAAATTATATGCAGAACACCGAGCACGTAGCCGAAATCACAAAAGTATACGCTAGTGGTTGTGAAGCTCTACTGAATTAAATTAAGTCTATGTAATCGATTTCAAAATTTTTATGTATTTACCATCTTCATAGTTTTATTCTCATCCAAGATACCGTTAAATCATTTATTCCATTTTTCCCAAAACTTCTTCATCTTCAGACGACTGACTGGGCAAGGACTTATTATCTAAATGTTCTGCATCATCGTCGACGTTTTCATCTATGCAATTAATACTTTTAGAAGTGGGTATAAACTTAGTTTCTTGAGCAGGAATATTTGAATTATAATTGTAGGAAGAAGGTGGAGACTTCAAAGTGTCTCCATTGTTGCTTCCGTTAGAAATATCAATAGATTTCACTCCAGTCTCTTTCAGGCTCTGATGAGCTCCTTCTAGAAATCCACCACTTATTGGAGAGCCTATTTCACTAATTGAGTCGTGAGAATAATGTGATACTGAACGAGATCTAGAGAAATGTTCACTTGGCACGTTCGCCACTTCATAAGCCCCTCCATATGCATATTTAAAGGTATGATAATTTTCATTTAATTTTTCGGGTTCGGAATTCGATGGAGGTGTTGGAACTTTAGATGTAGAACCATTCTCTCCTGGGAATGATGGGGAAAGTGGAGAAGAGTATTTAGGGTCTTCTTCTTCATGAAAAACTGAGTTCCTTCTTGAAGTTGCGCCATCATTCATGCCTACTAATATACTCGCTGCCTCCAACAACTGAACCTGTTGATGCTTAGAAATTAATAACTTTTTCGTAACATTCCATTCTGGGGTATGTTCCCACAAATGCTTCGCTAATGACGAAATATGCTTGTAACCCTTACCACATGCTTCACACTTAAGTTCTTCTTTTAAACGTCCACTCTCTCCTTCACTTATTCTTCTTACAACAAATTCTCTGGATAGTGTTGGGCCCGAGGAAGAAATAGATCCCCTTCCATGGCTCGAAGAAGTAAATTGGTTTGATTGAATTGGAGAAGTCGCATATTGATGACTTCTATGTCCGTGTTGGTGCTTAACTGGTATTGTATATGGTGACGAAGTAGCAGAGTTACGCCTATTATAATTATACTGCGTATGAGTTCCGGCAGTCATCTTTTATTCACAAGGAAGACAGTTTGTATTTTATAGGTGACGCTCTTTGATTTACCAGATTCAAGATATTTATTGGCACCGTCGATTCAACTTGATAACCATAAAGCTTTTTGCTTACTTTTTTTTTTAAGGCGTGATGTGTTATTTCTTGCTATCGGAAGTATGAAGTCTGGAACCTCTAGTTCAGATTGCAAATCACAAAATACAAGTGTCCCTGGGTAACCCTTACTCTGATGATATAGAGCCAATAGATATAATGGACACCGCCGTGAATGAATTTCAAGTACTATTTGACTAAAGAAATAGTTGAACCTATCTTTTATTTGTATTTTTTTATAAGAGCCACAAGAATTTAAAATAAAAAAATAAAATTTTTTTTTTGGAAAAGTTTCTGTCATTTCCGGCCAGAGCACGTGAGATTTCAGTTACAAATTTATAAGAGCAAGACTAGTGATGATAAAATTCAATTGATTTGAATATCATATATCTTCAAGCAGCTCTACACTATAAGACGGCAGCAATTTAGTTCAAAAATAACTAATCTACTCATTAGCTACAAAAAGTTATGCAAATAGTAGCAAGCTTCAAAAGAGGAAACTACCATGACTGCAGTTGCAAAAATGGGTAAGCAATTAAAAAGTTTCAATATCCTCATCGCGTTCATACTCGTTAGCTGCCCGGAAGCCTTCTTCAGTTGAATATAGAATATTTTGAAGCTTTGATGTGAACTCAGTAATGGTTATATTATCAAGCTCATTCTGTTTCCCGTTTTCTATGAGGTCTTTAATGTTTTGTGTTAAAATTTCTATCTCTCTGAGCTTGTTGAAATAAAAGTTTCTTTCGGTTTCTAAGCTTTCAACAGATATTTTGTATTCTTGTAACTCCTCATTAAGACCGTTTAATTCCTGTGTCGTTTCACATAATTCTTTATTCAATTGAACTACCTTTGTGTTGTTATTATTGCAATTCTGAGGGGTAAGAGGCGTCATAGACAGCCTACCATTAGAAGATATGCGTCTTGTGGGTATATTAGCAGATGTCGAGGTATTATGTGTCATAGTGGCCCTTCTTGAAGCGTTCGATGATACACTAGACGCTCTCGAGCCAGACGCGCCACTTGAGCTACCAGGCATTTTCCTTCTCGCTTTTGCATCGTAAGTATCGTTGACTCCTTTGTTATCCATCCAAAATCTTTTGAACCATTGCAATAGATCTAAATTGTCTTGCAATCTGCACTTGATGAGCCGTTCTACGTCTATTACCTTTGTCACATTATGTTTAGTGAAAGCAGCCTGCAAAATCTTCATATTTTGGCGATATTCATATTCAGAATTAGCGCCTTCAAATTTTACCTTATTCATGGGAACACCCCCGACTATGGAATCCATTAATTGGCAGTACGCAGCACCCGTACCACACTGCTCAACCTTTGTGTAATTCAAATCCAAAGTTAGGTTGAGCCATTGCAATAATTCCGTTCTCGACTCGCCAACCACCATGCTTGTCGTGAGTGGACGACTTAGTGGTAAAAGGATCTCTTGTATATCCGCTTGTTGATATGTTTCTGATCTGTAAACAAATGTAATATACAGTCGTGTATGCTAAATCTTGACTGACCATCTTAAATTTCTGAACTTTTACGAAAGTATGTTCAAAACTTCAAAATAATTTATAATGGAAGAATAATTGAGATCACTCAGTTTCCATTCCAACGTCTCTTACGTCTAGCTGGCGAAGCGCTGTTGCAAGCAGTATAAAATATCCCTAAGTTCCTTGACACTTTATCTTTGTGTAATATTTGTATTTGTGTAACGATTCAATCTCGAATTTTTTTTTGTCTTTTTTCACCTGTAGCTGAAAAATTTTCACTCAAGATTGCAAGGTAATTATTAGTGATAAAGACAATAGTACAACTATATCGAAATGGATACTAAAACTTCTGTTACATTAGCTAAAGTCATCAAGGTTTTAGGAAGGACTGGTTCTAGAGGTGGTGTCACCCAAGTAAGGGTTGAATTTTTAGAAGATTCTTCAAGAACTATTGTTAGAAACGTTAAAGGACCAGTAAGAGAAAATGATATCTTGTGCTTAATGGAGTCCGAGAGAGAGGCAAGAAGATTACGTTAAGCAGCTGGTATTTGCACCAAACTATAAATCAAGAGAAATACAAAGTTAATCATCTAGAATTACTAGTTACAGTTTTCTTTTACACATGTACAATTAGTTAATGTATGCAACGTATATTCACGCTTTTTGAACGCTGTTCCCAATTGAAAATGTAGATTATAAACAAATTGACAACATGTCTTCCTTAAAAATAGCCTCATTTCAAAGCATATTTGGCATGCGAACAGATCGAATAGATCAAGGATTTTTCTTCGTAATATTTCGTATTAAATTATATCTTCTATTGTATTCGTGTAGTTGTATTCGTGTATTCGATATCTCATGAATCGCTTTCTGACAGATTTGAAGCTTTCCGCTGTCTTCTCTCTTGTTCCTCCCTTACTATATTAACTTGCTCATCTACATGCTTTAAAAATTTAGCCCGTTCCCTTTGAAATATGTCATCATTTTCGTGAGTTTCACTAGTGTCATTAGCAGGTGATACCGATAGTGAGCAGAGCTTTTCAACTTGTTTGGATACATTCTTGCTAACCTGTTGTCGTACGGAATTCAAATCATCTTCCGTCGACGACTCTGAAGAATTGGAAGCCGAGTGGGAATGTCCAATTTCATTCACCTTTTCAAAGAACTGTTTCGTTACTTGCTCCCCTATGTCATGGATGATTTTGGAATCGGGTGAAAAAGTCCTGTCAGGTATATCGGGCGGTAACAGTTCCTTCTGAGTCTCATCCTCATGTCGGTTCAACAAACTGAGACTATGCAATTGGGGATCTAATCGAAACTTGACTTCATCCTTGACGTTATTATCATTATTAATTTCATTCTTATACATATCTGTAGCTAGCAGCTCAGCATTTTTTTCTATTTCATGGATTGCTCTGGAGGCATCTTTCGAAACCTTCATCGAGCGTAACTCATCTTTAGTTAAAGACAGACCTATCTTAATGCCACTAGGATCCCTCAAAGGAATTCCCTCGTTCTCGTAAAACGTATTATGTTTCCACATCGTGTATTGAGCCATGCTTTCAAATGCAACTTTATCATTACGAAAAAGATTAGCCAGATCAATATTGAGAGGAGAATCTGGCTCCGGATCATCGATGAGCATGAGAATAGCCACTACTACATTAGTGAGATTCCAAGCAGGAGACCAACCCTCCGATTTTAAAATATCCAAACAAATCTCGCCAGTCTTAGGATTAATATTAGGATGGTAGATAGGAGTTGTCTTGCTAAACTCAACTTTTGGAGGCTTATTTGGATATCGGGAGTCCAAAGATATGTTTATAGTCCACTGACCGTTGTAATAATAGGGTGAGTCTTCAGCAGTCTTTTTTGAGATAGTTGCTTTCCAGTCATAAATACTCTGCGATGCATCTACCGGCTCTAAATTTATTATTTGATGATTTGTTAAAGATGGCGAAGCCTTAAGAAGCTGCTGGTATTCCTTAAATAGCCTTTTTTCACTCATTTCTGTATTGCCCCTGTTCAACTTTCTTCTCTACTAAGCTCCACTACCAATCGCTCGTCTAGTATCTTAAAAATTCGAAGACCGTGTCAAACTTAAGTCTAAATCACACCTCACAACCTTTGAGAGTCACGATGTCTTATTCTTTGCAAACCGTTTGCTTATGTAGTCTTTGTCTGGAATAAATGACAGTGAAAATCCTTTACGTGACAAATGAGGATTCAGTCAGCAGAAAAACTCGAGCAGCCTAACTTTCCTCGGGAAGACCAATTTTATATGCAGGCTAATGTTTACTTACCGGTTGTACGCACTTGGTGTTTGAATAAGAATGCAGACGCAAGAGAGATAGACATATTGAGGCGCGGAACAGAACAACGCCATATGTTTTTGTTTATTGCTACGAAGTTGTCTTTACTTGAGATAAGTATTCTTACATCAATTCAACCCATTTCTATTTAGCATTCTAAATATTTGTCGATGGTAAAGTCAAGTGATGTTCTAAGCACCTATGATGTCATTGAAATATGCGTGCAGCAGAGCACGCTGGTAAAATCTTCTCACAAAGTAATTGCTTTTGCCGACCAGAATAACAATGTAAAATACGAGTATATACAGGAATAATCTTCCGCTCAGTTATGCACATGTCATATCATGGGTACGACTCTTTTGGCACGTCGAAAAGGTGATCACATGCAAGATCAGGTGATCGATTATATGCCGCAAAAATTAGAGACAGCAAATTAGAAGATACCGAGCATGAAGTTACTAAAAGGTAGACCTGTTTAGAAATGAATAGAGCTCATTCTCCCTGTTCAGAAATAGATTTAGCTCTTATCTGGAGGTACGCAGCTGATAGCAAAAACGTTCTGGTGCTCTTCACTGATCAATGCTTACAAAATGATACTTCTTTATTGGCACACTGAGAGTGCGAACAAAGCATGAAAAGATTTGGCCTGTATATGGCGTGAAAAAAAATAAAATCTAACTGCAGGATAGCATTGAGTCACTTCTGGTAAAAACTGGTGAAAAAAAGTTCAGTTTGAGCTCCTAGAATTAAAAGAAAGTAAACAGCGAAGAGGTAGTTTCGTATAAAGAGGGTAAAACTTTCAACAGAATTATTTCAAAACATGCTTCATATTAGAAGATTTTCGAAGTCATCCCACCGCTTGAAGTCACTTAACAAGTACTCAAGTATCGTCACTCAGGATGAATCACAGGGTGCTTCAAAGGCCATGCTCTATGCGACGGGATTTTCAGACGAAGATTTTTCTAAGGCGCAAATTGGAGTTGGGTCTGTATGGTGGTCCGGAAACCCATGTAACATGCACCTTATGGATATGAATAATCGTTGTTCAGCGTCCGTGAACAAGTCAGGTTTGAAAGCGATGCAGTTTAATAGTATAGGTGTTTCTGATGGTATAACGAATGGTACAGAAGGTATGAAATACTCATTACAATCACGTGAAATTATTGCCGATTCTTTTGAGACCATGATAATGGCCCAGTTATACGATGGTAGTATCGCGATTCCATCTTGCGATAAAAATATGCCGGGAACATTGATGGCCATGGGAAGGCATAACAGGCCATCCATCATGGTGTATGGTGGAACAATTATGCCAGGTTCTCCAACATGTGGAGGAAGAGATCCAGCAGTCATTCCCGACAAAATTGATATCATCTCCGCATTCCAGTCGTATGGTCAATATCTTTCTAATTTGATCACTAACGACCAGAGGAAGGATATCGTAAGGCATGCCTGTCCTGGACCTGGTGCTTGTGGTGGTATGTATACAGCAAATACGATGGCTTCTGCGGCTGAGGTAATGGGAATGTCCTTACCTTTCTCTTCTTCAGCTCCTGCTATATCGAAAGAGAAAGCCGCTGAATGTGATAACATTGGAGATGCTATTAAGAAGTTGTTGAGTTTAGATTTGAAACCAAGAGATATCATGACGAAGAAGGCGTTTGAAAACGCTATTACGTATATCATTGCAACTGGTGGTTCTACGAATGCCGTATTACACTTGATTGCAATTGCTCAATCTGTTGATGTCAAATTGACTGTAGAGGATTTCCAAAGAATTTCAGATTCAACACCCCTTTTGGCGGATTTCAAACCCTCTGGTAAGTATGTTATGGCAGACCTCCAACAATACGGGGGCACACCCGCCGTTATGAAGATGCTTTTGAAAGAAGGTTTAATTGATGGCTCACAAATGACGGTGACCGGTAACTCTGTTAAGGACAATTTAGAGAAAGTTAAAAGTTTGCCGGACGGTCAGGACATTGTGAGACCAGTATCTAATCCATTGAAGCCAAATGGTCACTTGCAAATCTTAAAGGGCTCTTTGGCTCCAGGAGGGGCCGTAGGAAAGATCACAGGAAAAGAAGGAACTTATTTCAAAGGTAAGGCTAGAGTGTACGACTACGAAGCTGCATTTATCACATCTTTACAAAACGGTGATATTAAGAAAGGCGAAAAGACGGTCTGTATAATAAGGTACGAGGGACCAAAAGGTGGTCCAGGAATGCCTGAAATGTTGAAACCTTCTTCTGCTTTGATGGGATATGGATTAGGAAAGGATGTTGCTTTATTGACTGATGGAAGATTTTCAGGAGGCTCTCATGGGTTTTTAATCGGACACATTGTTCCAGAAGCTGCGGTCGGTGGTCCAATAGCTCTTGTTGAAGATGGTGATGAAGTTGTCATTGATGCAGAAAACAACAAGATCGATGTTTTAGTTTCTCAGGAGATCATGGATGAAAGAAGAAAATCGTGGAAAGCTCCAACACCGAGGTATCGTAGAGGTACCTTAGCTAAGTACAGTGCTCTTGTAAGTGATGCATCTTCTGGATGTGTCACTGATAACTTTAACTGGAATAAAAATTAAAAAAAAGAGTAAATTCAAGCTATAACGTGCGTGAACGTTATAGGCAGCAATTTTACTAAGATAAATTAGCCGAATGAATGGCTATGCATATGCTCATTTGATTTATTTGTGCATCTATATACATTAATGTCCTAATGAATGGATTATCGATTAACTCAATTCAGTCTTGTAGGGTTGAAAAGTTCAACCATGTAATTTAAAAGATCAACCTTATCTCTTTCACAATCAGGATATTCTAAGTTTTCCAACATGCAAAAAAACGGGACGTTCCATAACTTAAGTAATTCCAATGATTCTTGATATAACTTCTTGGATGCTTTCATAATTTGTCTGTCAAAATCATTTAATTCTTTCTGCATTTCATTTTGTCTCTGCAATTCATTTTCCTGCAAAACTTTATCATTTACTCTCAGTAGTTTATCAAGCTTCAAAGGAACCCGTTGAAGAATCCTCTTATCCGAAATGGCTCTTCGCTTGTATTCATATTCATTTTGGAACTGAAAGTGTTTTGATATCAAACCTTGTATCTTTGTTACCATTTTGTGGTCTTTAGCTATCTGCTCTTCAACATAAGCCTTAGCATGGTGCAAATTGGTAATATGAGCAGGATCTGGGCCCTTATAATTATTTATTGGAATACTAATAGCTTTAGTAGTATCAATATTCTCATCAATACATTCATCTACGAACTTATTGAGTTTGTTGATGTAGTGATCTCTCTTTGATAATATGTCTAAAAATTGAGCTCTGTGCTTCAACTTAATTGATTTAATTATTTTACTTTCATTTTCTCTCTTAAGTTTCTGCAAGCTCTTGTTCGAATTATTCTTGATGATTTGATGAACAACATGGTTGATTCTTTGATCGTCTTGTCGATGTGACATGTTAATGAGAACAGTACTAGAGTTGAAACAGGAAATCGTAAAGTACGATGATCCATAAATGACACAAATGTATGCACACCATTTATAAGAATAAACATACAAATTGGAGAAAAGAGTTCGTAATATGCTATATTCTGTTTCCTATATTTATTTAGTTCTAACAGTGTAATCGTCTCCACTTTTGGTAATATACCTTACCCAAGGGTATGACTGATATTGTAATTTTGGCTCATTAATTCTAAGATATCTGACTTGGATTCCACTCGTAGTGAAATAGGGAATCGAAAAATTAACTTTAATAGGCTTTTTTGAAATTGCATCTTCAGGATCAACGACTGCTGGCAAGCCAAGTTCTGCTCTCATTTGAAATTGCTTACCGCCTGGAAAAGTCTTCAACTTCCAAATTAGACATGACTTTTCAGGAATCCATTTGACTGTACCATAATCCGGTGTAAACTTCGGAGTGTCAGCATCCTCTGGAATCGGTATTATGACTTCAACGTTGTTGGCTGTTGATTTTCTCTTAAACTGGGCTCTCACGGTACACATAATTTCTATTCTAGAATGTTTGTGAATTTTTGATTTGCAATTAACCAAAATCAATGGTTTCATTAGAAATTGCGCAGAAGAAAGTCTATATGACATCAAGGTGAACTCACCGTCTGGAGGAATAAATGTGATTATTCTTTCATTCTCGAATTTGGATAACCTTACACATTGATGGAACTTAATATCTTCCATCTCTATTCCTTTTGAATTAGCAGATGCACCATCTTCAGTGGTACTAAATATGCCCTTGTCATTCAAACCCAACCGCAAATCAGGCATACCACTCAAATGTGATTTAATCTTGACAGCACCTAAAATCTCACTATTCAACACCTGCCCATTGGCATTGATTAACATATTGATGGATTCAACCACATCTAAGAACGCTTCATTCTTTTTGTATACAATGCCATCCTTTCTCCAGCTCACAGCATTAGTGACAGCATTAGGTGGCTGAATAATCCTTGTAGATGAATTTCTGATCAATTTATAATAATCTTGGGTGATATATTCTTTCAATATCTTCGTGTCTGTAGTTTGAGGGATTCCAAAATCCATCATCTCATCAAGTAATTCGTATATTATGACAAAGTTATCTCTAATTGATTCTTCTTCCAAGCTTTTAAAGTACTGAGTGAGTACTTCAATTAATCTGGACAAAAACACAACTAGTGCCATCACATTTTCATTCTTGCGTGTGAGAGCACAGACGTAGAGGTTATTATGATTGATGTAGACGTAGTTAATACCCAGGTCATTGACGAAAGGCTTGTAGTTAGATTCATCGTCATTTTCTAGTTCGAGCAATAATAAAGGAAACTTGTCAATTGTTTTGGAAGGGATGTCTCCTTTGTAATCTCTGGAAAGTAGGGGCTTTCCCTTTATGTCCAAGAAATGTATTTGCGATGCCATACTGTTTCTAGTGAAATGCCACCAACCGCCTGCTATATGCCGATGCTGTATCTGTGTGGAGCGTCTCCGGTCGAATTTAACTAACAAAATCATTTTTCAGATATACGGATCAAAAATATAACGTTACCCGGATCATTCTCGATCAACGAACGAGGCTGCTAACGAAATAGAGGAAGTCTACTGATGAACATCTCTTGACGTCTCGCTGCGACACCCTTGGCGAATTTGCTTGGCCAGTAGATGTCAACAGTTTATTAGCGATGGGCCAAGAGCGCCAAGAGAGACCAATCAGAAATCGTGAAGAAGAGGCACAGCACATCTGTTCGCCCTAATTCTGATAATCATGTAGTGCTACTTATTATCGAAAAAAGGTGAATATAGCGAGTTTTAACTGTCATTGAGTTTGACTATCTGCTCACATTTAAGGGTTTCCACCCAGTCGCCGCTTTTTTGAGGCTAATGCTTGCCAATTAAGCATCTCGCCTGCAAGGCGGCATGAGCGCAGGGGTATTGTTTCGAGACAGCGTGGTAAACAAAAACTTAGTATATGCAGGAGGAAAAATAATATAGTCTTCCATTGGCATAGTATAAATAAGCCTCATTGTCGTATTACGCCTGGATCACGAACACTAAGGAGAAAAGGGTCCATTTACAAAAATACAAAAAGAAGGCTTATTCGTGATACTGGCTGCAACTCAAATTCTTATCAGACTCTCGTTAATCTAATAGACTTAGATATATTCAAGCCAGAAGAACACATTCGTTAAGTTAAGTGTCTTGATATTTCAGTTATAATTTAATAGGAGTGAGTGGAAGTATTCGTTCGTTATGTTAAAAAAAATATTACTCTTATGGACAGCAGCGTTATGTGCGTTAGCCATCGATCCTATTGAAGTCAAAGGAAACGCATTTTTTGTCAAGAGCTCAGGCAAGAGGTTTTATATTAGAGGCGTGGACTACCAACCTGGTGGCTCGTCAGAGCTTGAAGATCCTCTCGCAGACACAGACGTATGCGAAAGGGACATTCCTTATTTTAAGGAGTTAGGCATAAATACCGTCAGAGTCTATTCAATAGATAATACAAAGAACCATGATAAGTGTATGAGCCTTTTAGCTGATGCTGGTATCTATGTTATCCTTGATGTTAACATTCCTGATGCCTCTATATCCAGGTCAGATCCTGTATGCTCATACAACACCATGTATTTGGAACAGGTTTTTGCAACGGTCTTAAAGATGTCCAAATATAATAACACCCTTGGATACTTTGCAGGAAATGAGGTTATCAACGAAGATTACACATATCCAGCCTCTTATGTCAAGGCTACGGTCAGAGATATGAAGAATTTTATAAAGAAACAAAAATTGAGAGCTATTCCGGTTGGTTATTCAGCTGCAGATGTTGAACAAAACAGATTAGAAACTGCTCACTATTTCAATTGTGGTGATGACGAAATGGCCAGAGTCGACATCTTTGGTTTCAATGATTATTCATGGTGTGGACGTTCTTCTTTTCAATTATCTGGCTATGACCAGAAAGTCGAAGCTTACTCAAACTACTCTATTCCGTTATTTTTGTCTGAATATGGTTGCAACAAGGTCACTCCTAGACCTTTCACGGAAGTGGAGAGTATATATTCAGACAAAATGACTTCCGTTTTTTCGGGTGGATTAGTTTATGAATATTCTCAAGAAGCATCTAACTACGGCTTGGTCAAGCTTAGTGGCAAAAAGGTCACCACCACAGACGATTTTGACAACTTGAAGTCTGAGTTTGAAAAGACAAAGAACCCATCAGGTGATGGAGGATACCAGAGTGATTTATCTTACTCTAATTGTCCCAAGAAAACCTCTGATTGGAACGTTACGTCTGATATCCCAGATACTCCTAAAGGTGCTTTGAAGTTTATTAGAGGTGATGCGACTCCACAAGGCTCAGGGTTTGATGCATCGACTCAGTGGGCTTGTGTTGCAAAGGGAAATAACGTCGATTCTAGTTCGTCTTCATCATCCTCCTCCTCCTCCTCCTCATCATCATCATCATCATCGTCTTCTGGCTCTGACAGCTCATCTAGCCATGCTTCATCTAGCAGCCAATCCTCAAACTCGGGATCTCTGAAAAGCTCTTTAGGAGTCTCTGGGATTTCTGACTTATCTACCGTTCTCTTGGCGTTTGCTACTTTAGGAGGAGCAATCATAATTGCCTGATATTTATGTTATGGATTTGATATATTGTAAGAAGATATTTGAATGTTATGTATAATAAGATATTTCTGCTTGTAAACTACGAGACTTGTTTAATTCCGTACATCATTTCTTCCTTGTTTATCAAATGATCAATGCTATCAATTTCTTCAAGCAACTTCTCTACATCATAGCACCAATCGTTAAGTAGATCATTGACACTGTCAGCTTTACCACTCTTATTCAATTTTTCAAATTTAATAATCCCTTGGGGTCTATCAATCTTGGCCGCTATCATGCCCTTATTAACCAAATCACTTACATTGTGTTCGGCATCAGCTTCAGATAACTGGAGCAAATATGCAAGTCTATCTAAAGTGATTAACTGATAGTACTTGTTTACAATCCTTAGGTTATGCTCAACAATCCTTTTTTGCAAGTTCTTGTAGTTAACTTCCTTCTTAAATATCTCAGATTTACTGAAATAATCGTCCTTATACAACGATTCAATGTTTGACCAATGAATTAGTTCATTTGTTGTGAATATCTCCAATAGCTGGAATATCTTTAGGTCGACGTTTTTTTTGAACACAGGATTACGTTTGATTTTATTTATCAAATCATTTTGATAGTTATCGTAAGGTGAAAGAACAATATAATAGATGATTGATACCAAATAGTTTGAGTAGTCTAAAGATTCCTTTATCAATGGGATTTCAATCAATAGCAATGAATTTTTAACAATTGAAATGTAGTCATCATCAAATACACTTATCTCAATCAAATATTTTAAATATATGGCTTTGAATTCATCAGCACGATCAAAATTCTTCAACGATTTCAACAAGATTTTACGACTTAAAATCTTGGCTTGAGGATAGTCACCTTTCTTTATAGTCAACCTAATTTGCTCTAGAATATATTCAATTTTGGTACTAAATTCCATCAAAGAATAGGTCTCCACAGGCAAATCACATAAAATCTCTGCCGCCTTATCCAAATTATCAAACTTATTTAAATATATTTCTGATAAAGTCTTAGAAACTATGGCTCTTTCAACTTCTACAAAAATTTTTTTATCAGTCACTGTTCTGACCGTTTCTATGATTTTCATTTTCAATTCCAATTGTTTTGGATCATCTTCATTTAGTTCGCCTAAATGCCCAATGACTGAGTCAATGAAAGTCTGAATGGAAGACTTAAGCTGACCATGTTTTTTACACAAGGAAACGATCAACTCATTTAAATAGTTCCAATCATTATTTTTGGTTAAGGTATCCACTATTTTCAATAAGACTCTTTTTGAGGAAGCTAAATCGGACGATTGACGTGTTTGTTTCTCCAACACTAAGTATTTGTCTGTTGCTTCTCTGTAATCCTTTACTTTCTCAATAAGTGGAAATTGTTCGTCCAAAGTAGCTGAGAAATCCTTCTCAGGTTTTAAAGGGTCTTCTCTAGACATAGTTGATATATCTTATGTTCAAATCAGGAAGATATGTATACGAATTAAAACGATTAGAAGTAAGTATCTGATAAATCGTATTAAGGTGGCGAGATTGGGATCGTTTCGACCAACTACAACTATTATTCACTATATACAGGCACTAAAATTGATGCATACTCTTAGCATTGTAAATATGCCTTAATATAGACTAAGGAGGGTTCAAGAAGCTCCCTAGTTGAATAAGGTCACCATTGATATAATAGTTGCAGTAAGCTCAATCTTTCTTCTGGAGTTTCAATGCGCTTATATGAAATAATCGCATGTTTTGAAGTCGAAGTGACGATATTTCCATTGTGGCGAAAAGGAATAAGAAAAAAGGACTAATATCCCTTATTGTCTTCTATGTCATATTCCTCTTGTAGACAGACTGTCAATTAATTTTTTTTAAGCATTCGACATGGCATCGTATTTTAAAGCATAAATTTGTGAGACTCGGAGAAACTATTTTAGGTGCCAAATATCTGATGAGACTGCGAGATGATGAATTACTCAAAGACATGGAAAGGATCTCTGAATTAATCCAAAAATATTTGGGCTTCCCTGATTCAGATTATACTTTGTCAAAATACGTACAAAACCTATACAAAGAGTCACTTTCAAATTATGATGTGGATCCATTACAGCTGTTTGAGGACTCCGTGAAAAAAAATGGCGGCAGTGATTTTCCTTCTGTATTTATCCAAAAGTGTTTCCTGATCTTACATTCTAATGTAAAGAGTGAAGATAACCTGGAACAGATCAAGAAAGAGGAGATAGATGATTTTCAAATTCTATCTCTTCCCGATCGCCGCCAAGGTTCGAATAGCGATAACCGATTGAAAGAAGAAAATGATGAAGTGTCAAAAAGTAAGAAAGAGACAAGCGATATACTAGTTGATGGAATATATAGAGGTTATGTTAGTAACTTGAAACCTTACGGTGCCTTCATACGATTGAACGACCCGAAATCATTTGTTTCAGGACTTTGTCATGTTTCTCAAATCTCATTTGATGGACATCAAAGGATAAATAGCCCAGCCGATGTGTTAAAGATCAATCAAGAAGTTTTTGTAAAGATTAGATCGATCGATAAGAAGGCGTTGACAGGATCCAGGAAGAACACTAAAGAAAAGATAAGTCTCACAATGAGAGGCATAGACCAAATAACGGGCCTTGATAGAACTTTAGAATTAAAAGATAATAATGAAAATTCCAAAAGAGGTAGAGAGTTAAGTATCTCTAGGGGCACTAAAAGGCGATTTACTTCTCCTGAAAGATGGGAAATTCGCCAATTAATATCTTCAGGTGCTGCGAAAGCTGAAGACTATCCTGAAATATATTTTGATGAAGATCCAAACTCTGCTTTTCGTCCGGAGAACAAAAGTAATGGTCCTGAGGAAATCGATATTGATATAGAGGTGAGCCAACGTGAGCCTCTTTTCTTGAAGGGTACGAGTAAATCTTTAACTGATCTCGCTCCTGTTAAAGTGATGAAGAATCCAGAGGGTTCATTGGGAAGGTCAGCAATGAACGGCTCGAAATTGGCAAAAGATTTCAAGGAGAATAGTATAAAAGAGAGGCAAAAGAGAGAAAGAGACGAAAAATCGCGTGAATCTAATCGCATAAGTACTCATGATCCATTAAGTCAAGAACTGGTATCAGAACAAAGTAGAAATAAGGTAATTTCAGAATGGAAAAAATCTAGAGCCAATGAAAATATATCTTACGGTAAAAAAACAAATCTATCTATTGAAGAACAACGCAAATCGTTACCTATTTATCTGATGAGACAAGATTTGATTGATAAAATAAGAGAAAATCAATTTTTAGTTGTAGTTGGTGAAACAGGTTCCGGAAAAACCACACAAATCGTACAATATTTAGACGAGGAGGGATTGAACGTTGGAAAAGATGGAAGAGTAAAGTTGATTGGATGCACACAACCTAGAAGAGTTGCGGCTACATCCGTTGCGAAAAGAGTATCAGAGGAGGTTGGATGTAAGTTAGGTGAAGAAGTCGGCTACACAATCAGATTTGAAGACAGAACAGGACCGCATACTCGCATCAAATATATGACTGATGGTATGCTTGAAAGAGAAGCACTTAATGACCCACTTATGAATAAGTATTCGATTATTATGTTAGACGAAGCCCATGAGAGAACAATTTCCACAGATATACTTTTTTCTTTACTCAAGAAAGCAGCAGTTAAAAATCCTGATCTAAGAATTATAGTTACTTCGGCAACTCTAGATGCTGAAAAGTTTTCAAAATATTTCAACTCTTGTCCAATAGTGAAGATTCCAGGAAGAACATTTCCCGTGGAGATTCTTTATACTAGAGAACCAGAAATGGACTATCTTTCTGCCGCATTAGACTCAGTCATGCAGATCCATCTTTCTGAACCAGCGGGTGACATTTTAGTTTTCTTAACGGGTCAAGAGGAAATTGATACCAGCTGTGAAATATTATATCAAAGGATTAAAGCACTTGGAAATAACGCGCCAGAACTTATCATCTTACCTGTATACTCTGCTTTGCCTTCAGAAATGCAAAGTCGAATATTTGAACCTACCCCTGCTGGTTCTAGAAAAGTGGTTTTGGCGACTAATATTGGAGAAACATCTATTACTATTGATGGAATTTACTATGTTGTTGATCCCGGATTTGTTAAACTCAATGCCTATGATTCAAGGCTAGGGATGGACACCTTGACTGTTTCGGCAATTTCACAAGCTCAAGCTAATCAGAGAAGTGGTAGAGCTGGAAGAACTGGCCCTGGAAGATGTTATCGACTTTATACTGAAAATGCTTTCAAAACTGAAATGCTACCCAACTCCGTGCCTGAAATTCAAAGGCAAAATCTTTCACACACTATTTTAATGTTGAAAGCAATGGGAATCAATGACCTAATACGATTTGACTTTATGGACCCTCCTCCAACGAGTACAATGTTAACTGCATTACAAGATCTATATACATTATCAGCATTAGATGATAGTGGATTTTTGACCAGCCTTGGAAGAAAAATGGCAGATTTCCCGATGGAACCAGCGCTTTCAAAAATGTTAATTACTTCAGTTGAATTTGGGTGTTCTGAAGAGATTTTGACAATAGTCGCTATGCTCTCCGTACAGTCGGTATTCTATCGTCCAAAAGACAAACAAGATCTAGCTGACAGACGCAAAGCGAGATTCCATCATTCACAAGGCGATCACTTAACGCTTTTAAATGTTTATAGGGCTTGGACATTGAATGGATTTAGCAAGGAATGGTGTCTGGACAACTTTATTCATGAAAGGGCAATGAGAAGAGCTCAAGAAGTAAGACGACAGATTACCACCATAATGCAGAAATACAAGCACATGCTAGTATCATGCGGGGCAGATACAGACAGGGTACGTAAGACTATATGTTCTGCTTACTTCAAGCACGCTGCAAAAAGAGACCCTCAGGAAGGATTCAAAACAATTGTTGAGCAATTGCCTGTTTCGTTGCACCCTTCGTCTTCGCTTTTCGGAAAAAATCCCGAGTTCGTTGTATACCATTCGCTTATTCTTACAACAAAAGAGTATATGCATTGTGCTACAACTATTGAACCTCGCTGGTTAGCAGATTTTGCTCCTTCTTTCTTCAAAATCGCCGATCCTGCAACCGTCAGTCTGCGTAATAAAAACAAAAAGATAGTTCCTTTGTATGATAACTTTTCAAAAGATAAAGACTCCTGGAGGCTCAGTAGCCATAATGCGGCAAAGAAGAGAGCCTTGGGTAATGGTTGATAAAAACCGGATATATATTCTGTATACAAACCACACACATTAATATTTGTTCTCCATTTAAATAAAGGTTCGCGATATTCTCTATTTTTCGGTCTGCTTATTTCTGGGGATCATCATTTGAAGAATTCAGCATTCACAAGAAATTTTACATTCCAATGCTCGAATAAAGATGAAAGAATTTGCTAGTATAAGGGAGATTGTGACTGATAAACTAAGTTTATATTGCAATAGGTCTAGTTTTAACTCATCTTCCGTCAAATCTCTCAGTAACAAATATGAGGATGGAGAAGCAACCGAACTTACAATATCTCTGAATGAAGGGGACTCTATTTTGGATTGCTGTCGCTTATCAGTCAACGATAAAGGTACGTTGATCGACAACAAGGGTCGAGCATTTGTCTTGAAAGGAATTAATTTGGATGCATCCCTGAAATTACCAACTACCCCAGATATGCCTCTGTATATGGGGAGCGTGAACAACGACGATAATATATTTTTTGATGGAGACAATGTGAGCTTCTCAGGTCGCCCATTTCCATTAAAGGATGCTGATATCCATTTTCAAAGAATAAAGTCATGGGGCTACAATACAATCAGATATATTATTACGTGGGAGGCTATAGAGCATTCGGGACCAGGCATATACGATGAGGATTTTATTGATTACACCATACAAATTTTGAAGGTGATAAATCATGTTGGTGGGTTGTATATTTTCTTTGACATACATCAAGACGTTTGGTCTAGATTTTGTGGTGGTAGTGGAGCTCCAATGTGGACTCTTTATGCTGCAGGGTTAGAACCTAAAAGATTCGCATGTACTGAGGCTGCTATCTTTCATAATGATGAAAGGTTCCAAAAAGGTACTGAAAAGTATCCAAAGATGATCTGGACTACCAATTATAAACGGTTGGCAACCATGACTATGTTTACATTGTTTTTTGCTGGCAAAAACTATTTTCCAAACTTGATCTTGAATGGCAAAAATATTCAAGATTACTTGCAGGACCATTACTTTGGAAGTATGTCGTTTTTTTGGGAGGCTGTGAAAAAAGGAGTTCCAGAAATGTTTGAAAATGGATCCATTATTGGGTTTGAGCTGTTAAATGAACCAAATCATGGACTTATGGGTCACGAGAACCTAGATATAGTCCCTCCTTGTCAACATCTCCGTGTGGGTAGTACACCATCTGCCTTTCAGACAATGAAGCTAGGCATGGGCTTCCCTTGTATGGTTGATGTTTATAAAATTTCGATAACTGGTCCCCAGAAGTACGGTTCTAAGCTAGTTGATCCACAAGGGCGAATGGCGTGGCTCTCTCCAGAGGAAGCTTTGATCTTAGATAAAAAATATAATTGGGTCAGAGGCTCTAAATGGATCATAGGTAAATGCATCTTTGCTCAACAGAATATATGGGCATGGAAAAACAACATTGATTTCGACAAGATGGGTGAATTGACTATCAATGAACGTTTATCCTTATCTGACAAGGGATGCAAATTGTTACGGCCCAGTTATTTCAGCGAAGTATCTCCTGGTACAACGTTCCCCTCTTTGAATGGCGATTCGCCGAAAATCATTGACACAGAATACTTCATCAATAATAACTTTGTCGAATTTTATTTAAAACACAAGAGATGTATTAGAAGTATTTCTCCAGAGTCATTCGTGTTTATTCAACCTCCTGTTTTGGAGGTGCCACCAAAGTTAAAGGATGATAAAAGAAAAATAGTGGACTCAAGGACGATATACAGCCCACACTATTATGACGGAATGTCATTAATGTTTAAAACATGGAACACGAAATACAATGTCGATACGTTGGGAATAATGCGAGGTCGCTATTACAATCCAATTCTTGGTATAGTATTTGGCGAAAGAGCAATTCGAAACTGCATTAAAAAGCAGTTCAATGAAATGAAAGGAGAATGCCATGAGTATTTAGGAAAAATACCGATATTGATGTCTGAAACTGGGATGCCATTCGATATGGATCGTAAACGGGCATACGAAGATGGCAAATTTCAATCTCAGACAGCTGCTTTAGATGCAATCTCTTTCGCATTGGAAGGCCTGAATATGTCTCATACATACTGGTGCTATTCAAGTATTAATTGTCATAAGTGGGGTGACCGTTGGAATAACGAGGATTTTTCATTTTGGTCTCCAGATGACCGCCATTTTCAAAGTACTGATGAGTCCACAATATCTCGTAGCTTGATTCCAAAAAGATCTAGGGAATCCCAAAGAGGCTTTGATAGCTTGTCGACGCTTAAAAATTCAAGAAAGATGGGGGACAAATTTTCTTCTCAGTCCTTTGAAAGCTTGATTGCAGGACATTCAGAAGAAGAAGAGTTAGATACACATTCAGTAGTTTCATCATCCTTAGTAACATTGTCTAATGAGAGCATAAACTCTAAACAATGCAAGAAATGTTATCCATCGCCTGATGGAGTAAGGGCGGTAAATGCAGTCATCCGTCCGTATGTTGTGGCTGCTTGCGGAGAAATTGTTTTGCTGGAGTTTGATTTAAAATCAGTAAAATTTTCTCTCACCATTAAAGTTGATGGTAAAAAAAAGGAACTCATGACCTCACCAACTGTGATATTTGTACCCAAATGGCACTTTCCCCTATTGAATTGCAAAGACATATACTTGAGCAGTGGTTATGTGAAATATAACGACAAGCTAGAATACTTGGAATGGTTCCATGATGAAGATACGAGGATGAAAGATGCTGCTTTGGATACATCAAACTTCATCAGCTCGCCTGTCGACGAAACAATAATAATAAAGAACAATAGTGGATCATTACCGCTAAAAGAAAAAGAACAGGGCATGTTTCCTTGTTCTGGTGACCTTGAGTGTCCTGTCACTTAGAACTATATGTAATATTATTTTAAAAATAAATACATAAAACTGGATTTATATACTTTGTTTGTGACGTGGTAATATATATCACGATTTCTAATTTACATGAATATTAATGGAACTGAAAGTATGTCATTAAAAATCTAGAGGATCCGATTCTCGTTCACGTTTGACTGATATTCCATTCAATTCCTCTTTCAATAACTCATTCACAAAAGAAGCAAAATACTCGACATACGGCTTGAGACTTGTCTTTTCAAAATCTGAAACTCTACTTCCTGACGCTGTGTCACCATCAATATCGTCTATTGGTTGGCTAGATTCTCTATTGACGCTCTTGGCATCCCATATATCTAACTCATTTTGCAATTGTCTTAGATTAGGCGCATTAGTTGGATTAAATCCATAGTCATCGTCGTCATGATTATTAGAAAGATTTTTTGAAGGATCAAAGGGCACGCAAATGTTACCTGTGCCAGGATGAATGCAGAATGGAGACTTCAACAAGTGTATAATTTGCCTCGATACTTCAATATCAATTCGAGGATACATATAAAATATTATTATGTCTTTTTTTGCTTCATTCAACTGATTGACTTGATTCTGATTTTTTAGGACAGACTTTGCAACTAAATTAATATCTTCCCATTTTGACTTCAGGTTTGAAATGGTAATATCAGCCCTCCACCTGGATCTTAGTTCATTTTGTAAGCCCTTCTCAGGTATGAAGGAAAGTAGCTCCTCCACATTATTCCACTCGTCATTATCTTTGTCACCTGCAGACGTTTTCCAAGGGTCTTGTTCCTCAAGTATAACAGTAGCAAAATCTTTCTTTAAAAAGTTGAATGATCTTTCTATGTGTGGGTGGAATGGCTTCTTCAAACTACCCAATTTTTTACTTCCTGCTTTAACCAGTTTCGAACCCAAAACATCGAGGTATTCAACAATTGCTCTTCTAGATGATTCATCGAGCAGTCTCGCTCTTGCATCACTTACCCAACAATGAGCACCTCTTCTTCCCGAAAAGACCCAAATGATATGTCTGAACCCAAAATCTTCCCTCAAAGAAGACTCAATAATTTTTGATCCACATTGAATAAATTTCCAGCATTTCTGACAAATGTCAGTTCCGGAACAACAAGTTCTAATATCATCGTAATCCGTTAAATCTATATCGAAGACAAGTTCTTTGCTCAACGGTTTAAGTGCTTGCTTTGGGAGATTTTTTCTTTCTCGTGGATTAACTGAATAAACTGCACCTATTTCGAAACGCGTTGGATTTGCATCTACAACTGACTTTTTAAACTCTTGTTGACTAGAAAATGAGTTGTATCTCTGATACGCACCAGATCTGAATTCATACGCAAACTCTCTCATAGTGAAGTCTTTCGTAGCCTTCGGCGAGTGACTCAACCATTGGAAAATATATCTGAAAGGTAACAACCTTTCATAAAAAAATCTCATATCTGCAGATGATGGCTTGTATGCTTTCTTCAGTTCTGGTTCTTCTTGATTGGCATGAAAGCTACGAAGAGTTGGCTCATTAGCCTTCTCACTATCAATTAGCTTATCAGTCTCTACTGTCATATTTTCACTAATGTTGTAATGTATATTTAAAGAATTATAACATCTTTTATGTCTTGATGATACTCGCGCTCTTGAACGCGTCAAAAAATACTTGATTACTTAACATATTTATATTCAGTGCTATAATGATACAAACTAAAAATGTAAAAAGTCGCAAGTCACCTTAAGCATGAACGAACACCAAAGATACACCTTCGTCACCAGCAGTAATTATCTTTTTACCTTCTTCCAAGACTGCAAAATCTAATACTCCCATATTATGGCCCACGCCTACAAACAACTCCTGAGCCGTCCTAGCATCCCATTTATAAACTTTACCATTCATGGAAGACGCAACTAAAGCAGGGGTGTCACCTATAAATTGTAGCCTGGTAATGGTGTCATCAAGTTTTATAGATCTGCGAAGCCTCCATTGCAAAGTGTCAAAGAGTAATATATCACCAGAAACGAGCCCAACCGCAAGAAGATTAACCAGTGGAGTATGGCACCAGTCCAATGCTTCGATTGAAAGATCTGCCACGTCATCTGTATTTTCTATCGTCTTCACGGAATGAACAACCTTACCAGTGTCATTATTAATGATTGCCAACTGCCCATCGCGAGCACCCACAGCCGTAAGATTTTTATATGAGCTAAGCGAAACCCATGGACTCTCTAATCCCTTGAATTCATCATGTGGTGAAAGTTTAAATTGAATGGTATTACTAAAGCAATTCCAGTAAACAACTGTTCCATCCTCAGAGATCGACACTAAATTGAGTTCGTCCACCTTTTCAGGTTTAATAAAAGCAGCACTATTACATTCAAGTGTGTGCAGAAATCCCGACATTATTTGAACTAAGGTTCCAGATGATTCATCAATTTGATACACCCATATAGAACCATCTTGTGCTCCAAAAGCAAAATATGGAAGAAGAGGATGCACAGTAATGAAAAGTACTTCTTCGACTTCTTCCAAGTCTGCGAACTTCACCCATTTTTGGCCACCACTTTTTGACTTGTGGACTTGAATCAATCCATTCATATCGCCAGTGATCACATATTTACCATCATGAGTAAAAGTAGCAGAGATAACAGACTCTTTATGTCCTTGTAGCTCACAAACAAATCTTGGCGGCTGTGAATGTGTTGTCCACATAAAAGCTGTATTATCTCCACCTCCAGTTACCACCATGGGTAACGTTGGATGACTCGCTATGACAAATATCGAATCTTTATGCTGATCAAAATAGGTCCATGAATTATTTGACAAGTCGATTTCTAGAGCTTCATCATCGCCATCATCAACAACATCCATGTCTTGCGCATTTACTTCATCTCCATCATCAGAATAATTGTCTTCGTCAAAATCATTGGGGACTTCTTCTTGGACTTCATTTGCATTCAAATATTCTGCTTCTTCACGAGGAACATCCTCCTGAAACTCGCCTGACTCGTGAGACATTATGAAGAGCCTATGAGATGATAAAACGTCAGAAACTTACAAGAATACCCTACAACGAAACTTGAAGTAGTTTAACGTGAAACTTATATTAATAAGCTGATCTTAAAGCTACAGTCCGATGAGCCTTAGATTTGAAAAACTTTGGGTCAGTATATGCAGACCTTTGAAAAAAGTCTATCTGTGAGTGCAGAACATGACATGCTGTTCTTGAATACAAGGATTTTCTACAAAAGACTAATTTAAGACAGATTACGGGCCTACTTAGGTGTAATATCTTTAGGAAATCAATTAAATTCACATAAATAGAGGAAGACTCTGGGTAGGGTCCTTTTTTTATAATTCATTTTCCACCATTTTACTCTTCCCTAATTCTAAATTAGGTTGTTGCATTACTGGATACTGCATTGGACCTATAATTAATAAAAGCATATAATAACATAAGATGTTAGACTGGTTGATATCATTTCCAGGCTTTAGACTGGTCCTCACAACGGCGAAGAAGGTTTTTGGAAGGGTCATTCGCACAGGACCAACTCCCAAGCACATAGGCATAATTATGGATGGTAACCGAAGGTACGCTATGAATCACAAGATCGAGCTAAAAGAGGGACACAATTTGGGGTTTGAAAGTATGGCAAGTATTTTGGAGTTATTATATGAATCCGGAATCGAGTGTGCTACGGTCTTTGCATTCTCTATCGAAAACTTTAAGAGACTGAAATACGAAGTGAAATGGCTAATGGATCTTGCTAAGCTGAAATTCATGCAAATTAGTCAACATGGGGAGTTATGTGAAGAATTTGGAGTTAAGGTAAAGATATTAGGAAACATATCTTTGTTGCCCAAAGACGTTCAAGATATTTTGAAACAGACAGAGGAAATGAGTAAAAATAATACGAGAGCGGTTCTTAATGTTTGCTTTCCCTATACTTCTAGGGATGAGATTGTCACTCTGATGAAGAGAGTTGTTGAAGAATCACTTACTGACCCAAATATCGCCATTGATGAAAATGCTATAAATCAGCACTTATTTACATCTGACGTACCACCGTTAGAGTTATTAGTTCGTACGTCGGGCACATATCGCCTTTCTGACTTTCTTTTGTGGCAATCAGTGAGTTCGAACTGCTCTATAGTGTTTGTAGACAAATTATGGCCAGAGTTTACTCCTTGGGACATGGCCAAAATATTAATCGATTGGGGGTTCAATACCTATTGGTATGGCTCTGGAAATGGTCCTATGACAAGGAAAGATCTAACTCCAAGAACTCAGAAGAGCGTATCACTTCTTGAAAAAAATGGCTCCACTGGATTTGAACATTACGAAAGTGACCACGAATATTTGGAGGATGATGAAAATTATGATGAGATTGATGACAGCGACGCAGGTACTGATGAAATAAATACAGTCACTTCTGACGATGTTCCTGATATACTAAAGAAGTCACCGTAGTGACATTTCATTGAATTGGGTTTTTCACAGTTTATAAAATTTAATTTAATAATACATACTCTTTCCTGTTCCTTTTTTTTTTTGGATATACTTATAAATCATATCATTCTTCATCATAACATGCTTAAAAAGTTAATGGGTATCATCTTCAAGAGCTCGCTCAATTTATTAAGGCTATTGGTGTGCACTTCTATTAAGATATTAAAGGACATCACGTGGACACTATATGACTTGAGTCATCATGAGATTTGAAAAAAAGTTCAGAAGTGAAAAAAAATGCGATCAAGCTTACTTCAAAATCTTAACGTATTCCTCTATAAGTCAAATAATTAGAAATGGATTTGGTGAATCATTTGACAGACCGTTTGCTATTTGCTGTTCCAAAAAGTGAGTGTTATATTTTACCAACGAAATTTACTACAAATAACATTTATACTAACATAATCTAGAGGGCAGATTGCATGAAAAATGCTGCGATTTATTGAATGGATCTGATATCAAGTTTAGGCGTTCCAATAGATTGGACATTGCTCTTTCCACGAACCTACCAATTGCATTAATCTTCTTGCCAGCTGCCGATATTCCGATTTTTGTCAGTGAAGGTAATTGTGACCTAGGTATTACGGGCTTAGATCAAATAAAAGAAGCTGGAATGCAAGACTTAATAGAAGATCTCCTTGATTTGAGATTTGGAACCTGCAAGTTACAAATCCAAGTTCCTGAAAACGGAGGAATCAATGATGTAAAGGATTTGGTTGGTAAAAGAATTGTTAGTTCCTTTATAAATTTATCTTCCAATTATTTCAAAGATTTAGAAGGTGTTGAAGAACATACACAATTGCAAACAAAAATGAAATACGTAGGTGGCTCAGTTGAAGCATCTTGTGCATTAGGCGTTGCAGATGCTATTGTTGATTTGGTCGAGAGCGGCGAGACTATGAGGGCTGCTGGCTTAAAGGCCATTGAAACAATTCTTTCCACATCGGCTCATTTGATATCTTCTAAAAAACCAAGATATCCTGAGTTGGTTCAAATTGTTCATCAAAGAATAGAGGGTGTGTTAACTGCTCAAAAATACGTTTTATGTACTTACAATGCACCTAGACTGATATTACCAAAAGTTTTAAAGATCACACCTGGTAGAAGGTACCCAACGGTATCAAAATTAGAACTGAATAATAAAGAGGAGACTTCAGAAGAATGGTTAGCGATATCTTCTATGGCCGAAAGAAGTGCTATCAGTAATATTATGGACGAATTGAAAAAGATAGGTGCGTCAGATATTATGGTCTTTGACATTGGTAATTGCAGAACATAAATCTTACAGCGTTCGTTGTTATAGTGTATTAATATTAATAGACTTTTTTTTTTTTTTTTGGCTAGTATGAAGAACTCAGCTGGCTACTAGATTTCATTCTAAGAGGATTGATAAACTTATTAATATAGTATTCATTGCAGAGTAATTAGGACTAAACAATAGCTAACATACAATATTCACTCTACAGGCCTTACCCCTTCCTTATCAACTACCTTCACAAATACTCCCTTGAAATTGATTGGCATTCTTCTTTCCAATTCTTCGTAACATAATTTTAATACTTCCAATCCTTCTTCCAAAGTCAAATCAGTTCTATAATGCTTATCTAACAATGATGTACAGTAAAATGCTGAATATCCGTGAGCAGCATAAGGTAGCTCAACATGGGTACCCAAATAATCTATCCAACTTAATGTGGGTTTATCAGTCTTCACATCATATCCTCCAAGTAATACGTTCACTTGGTAGGGCTTACGAGATCTAATGGAGGTAGCCAATTGGTTTCGAACGAAAGATGCAGTTGCTTTCGGGGATAACTCAACGTCGTTTTCTCTCATTGAATATAATTGCACATTTGCTTGAATATACTCAGCGAATTGAACCGTGTCGCCACTTTCACCTACGAAGGCAATTAAGTTATGCTTGTTTAAAAGTCTGGTTTTGTCATCTGAGTCTTTTATAATTGAAATTCCCCTTGTAGCAGCTTTTGATGCTGATATGATGGTGCAATCTTTAAGTCTAATACCTAACACTATATCCATGTTGACGGGTCCTTGATTCTTAACAATAGAAGTCTCCAATAAGAAAAAGAAATTAGGTGTTTGATGGTCTTATACTATTGTCACCTTAAGTTATACTACTTGGTTCCAACAATTCTTCAATGTAGTAACATAATTATGCGCTCTCTCTATATAAAGTTTCGAGGCAGTTTGCCATCCAGTAGCTCAGAAGAAGTGAGGTCGTGTGTTAATAAAATTAATGGAAACATGTATAGTAAGTAAATATAATCTTATATTAATACTATTTAGTAAGAGTATTGATCTTCTTATCGATTAAGCTAGATATCAATTTGTTCAAAGCACCATCCTCTTGCACGATTTGACTTTTGAGGTAAATTTCTATTTGTTTTTCTATCAACTTTCCTGTCAAATCGACTTCGATGTTCACAGTGTCACCTACTGATTTCTGAGGCAAAATGACTTTCTGCTGCGTGTAGCTCACCAACATGATTGAAAACTGAAAGTTTTGGTCGTCAACGTTTGTGACTGTTAGCGATGTGCCATCAATTGCAATAAATCCTTTCTCAACAATGTACTTGATGAAATCAGCATCTCTCAATTTGAAAGTAAACACGATTGAGTTGCCATCCGGTTCCTTCTTTGTAATAGTTGCCATGGTATCAACGTGTCCCTGTACGACATGTCCTCCAAGCCTAGTATGTCCAGATACAGCTCTTTCTAAATTCACTTTTGAACCCTTGTGCAAATTCCCTAAATTGCTGCGACGAAGTGTTTCTGGTGATACCCCAACCGTGAACCAAGTTCTCTCTTTATTGAAGTCTGTAACAGTTAAACATACACCATTAGTGGAGATTGAATCACCAAGATGAACATCATCTAAGATAGCAGCGCAATCTTCTATGGTTATAGAAACTCCATTTCCACCAGCAGCTGTTTCATCCACTTCCTCATACTTTACAACCGTTCCAATGAGCTCAACAATACCGGTGAACATTGATTTAAATACTATTTCAAACTTCCAATAGCACAATGAATATAACGAGACTTGCCTAGGAAGAAGTTATACAAGCTATACCAGCAGCAGCTTCCTTATAATAAGATTCAGATTCAGCCCCTCAAGAAATTAGTCCAGTAGATCAACTAATTCAACTACTATACTCCGATCGGTAATCTGATACTTATGTTTATCGCATTACCATTCGGTAGTGACAATACAAATTTTTCAACAATATAATTGAAGTTCGGGAAACAATTTAAAGAGATTGTACTAACAATATCTTCTAAATATAATATCGAATCCTGGCTAGAAGATGACATTTAGATTTCCTGTGAAGTTTGATATACCGAAGCATTGCTACTTGAATGGAAGAGTAATCAAGGACCAATTCAAAAGACTTCAGTATGCTGAACATGAAGTCACCAGAAATGCTTTGAAATATATTGCGAGAAATACCGAATTACCAGCAAGAGCCAGGGTAGAGGCGCAGTTGCAATTAACAGCTATGCCAAAGTATACGTCCTATAGTCAAATAAAGAATAGGTGCGTAGCATCGGGACATGCAAAATCCGTGCTTTCAGATTTTAAGTTAAATAGGGTAAGTTGTCTTCTACTTTTTTTTTTGTTTATATTTACAAGGATCTGCTACAGTATACTAACATAATCTAGACCGTTTTCAGGGACAGGGCAAGAGCAGGATTGATTCCAGGAGTGTCGAAAGCATCCTGGTAGACAGGATGTGTATTTTTATATCTGTAAATAGTTAATTCATGGAACAAAGTTAGCTTTGGTTCAGCTTAATTTGTAATGTAACACTATTACCTTCTGCAGGTAAACATAGTTAAAGTCCTTTTTTTTATGGATCCTTTTGGCAGAATCTCTGTATAAACTTTGGAGGTATACTTTACACTAATGAGTTTCCAATTTTTTATTTTTTAAAATTTTTTTTTTCAAATGTGTGTTTGAAAAGTTAAAGTTAAGCATCTATCCAAGTATCCACCTTGACTCAATACATAATGCTCGTCACGTCATCACCGTTAATACGAAATGGTTTAATGTTTCCGCTAAAGGGTAGTCTTGCGTCTCTGATTCTCCCCTTGAGAAGATTGTCTTGGAAACCTTCTTTGCAAAAATTTAGAAAGCTCCCACAACCACCAGGTAATATAATAGGAACAGTAAATGATGCATACATTTCGCCCACACCCAACTATTTTGAAGGAGGATATCACTGGACATATGAAAGAGCTATCACGATTTGCATGGTACCCCTAGCATTAACACCCTTTGTTGCGGGAGTAGATCATCCCATGGTTGACTCGATATTCTCTGTATTATTATTATTTCACTGCCACGCTGGCTTCAAGTCATGCATCATTGACTACGTTCCGAAACGTGTTTACGGGTTTTGGTACGGCTTTGCTACCAAATTGCTAACATTTGGGACATTTATTAGTATCTATGGTGTTTATGTTTTAGAGACATCCAGTAATGGTCTATTCAGTTTGATTCAAGGAATCTTTTCCTCATAAATATGACAAGGCTCTACCAGTCGCTACATTAATATTAGATGAGAATTAAGATGCCAAAGCGAAAGTAGAATTTCCTAAATCTTCTAGAAACACGCTAGATAACTGATTAAGTCATACTTTGCCATTTACAATGTACTCCTAACTGTCACGTATTTTTAAGCTTACTTCATATGGTTGTCAAGCAATTTCAAAGCATATTGAGTTGATACACCAAACCTTAACGTTTACTTTAGCATTATTAGCTGTATAATTCTCGTTTATAGGTAATAATCAGGGATAGCCATTCAAATGGACCAATGTCTCACGAACAGTTTTTGAGGAAATCGCTAAAGCACATTGCGTTTTCACTATTCTAGTACCACTGTTCTTTAGAAATGTCAACTTTCTTCACATTCCACACTCATTGAATCTTCTCTTCCTTCTCCACTTAAATTCGTTTTCGGAGAATTGTTAAATTCCTCTTCCACCTGAGAAACAACTAAGAGATTGCTTTCTACATTGTTGCTGGATATATCCATCATATCATCATCCGTAGAACTCTCAGCCTTACTTTCAGAACTTGAATCGCTACTTCGTCTAGGTCTTTTCTTAGAACTCGCGTCATCTTCATTACGTTCCGTTTCTTTATGCCTTGACTTCCTTTGAGGGGAATTATGGTCTTGTACGTCCTGTAAAGTATCGGGTATGATATGACGGGCATTAGCACCGTTCTCAAGGTTTGTATTTTCAGCGGTATTTTCATTTCTCAGTGATCTCTCTTTGAGCCAAGGAATCTCAACGAGAGGGACGTTGAGTTTCAATTGGCCATTACTTATGCTGCCCCCACTTGTAGTACTATGAGCAGATGGAATTTCATTAATATATGTCTCTTCTGGAAAATCAAGAATTGAAGAATAAACTAAGACTGTTTTCGTGAGTGAATTAAAGAACTTTAATATATTAGCATTACTTTTAAGCTTATATCCTTCTCTCTCTGGATTTACCAACATCTCTGCAATCCGTTTAATAGTAAATGGAGGTCTTTCAAAAAAGTTTGCATTTAAATGCTTTAGTATTTTCTCTTTAGACGCCCTTATTTTATTTAAAACATTTTCGTTATCCTTTGAACGATTGGTGCTTTCAACATGCTCCTCTGCAATCTTTGAGATTAGATTGAGTCGTTCAATGATACCTGGTAAAATTTCCTGCAGCCATTGCGCTTCTTTATCATTTCTATCTAGTTTATCTTCAACTATTCCCAATAGTGTAAGCTCTAACGAGTCTCCAATGGGAGGAATGTCAACCAGCATTCAATAAGCTGTTTAAGTTATTGTCACTCTTTATCAGAATTCTATCTACATTCAAGGTATTTTATTTTTGATAGACTACGCGCCTAAGTAACAATGTAGGAGCTCCAAAAAAAAATAAAAAAATAACTATATGTCAATTTGAAGTCCAAAAGCTTTCAATTAGACGTAGTGACTACTAACTTAGACGTGTTCTTTTATTGATAATGCGTCATATACTTCTCTTGAACGGATTTTTGAACTAAGACGTTTTCACTTATATCATTTGAATGTTTGAAAATTCACTCAGACAGAAGAAAGCTGTACCTTTTAATATATATACAAAATGTTATTTAATCATATACGACATCATTACAAGGATCAATCTTGAGCTCTCTTCGGTTCATCTTCAACATTATTGGCACCATCAAAGGTAACGGTATAAAATCTACCTAACCCGGAAGTTACTTAACAACAAGTAATTTTCAGAATGTACATTCATATCCGCAAATAAATTTTTCAAAGCTACGAATATCATTTCAACAAACAAATTTAGCCACATTGTATTTACAGACATAATGATGTCAATGAGACCGCTTTTGCGGCCCATAAGATTTCTACCACTTAAGAGCATTCAAAGGTCATCGTTGAGACTTTTGTCTTCTACTCCCATAAGATTTAATGAACCAAAAGTACCAAGTTCGGAAAGAGACATTAGTCTTACTGCAAAAGTCTTTCCATTAGATAAAACGAGTATTGGAGAAAGCGATATAGATGAATGGTTAGACGCTGTTTCCCAACTTAAAAGTGGAAAACTTACTCCGGATACTGAACCAGAGGTTTATCTTGCGCAGTTGGCAGAGCCCGAACCATTTTTACGCGAGAAATTTGTACCGACACAAGAGCAGATACAGCAAGCTGAAGTTCTAATGAATAAAAGCATTCCAATAATAAGCGATCCTGTTATTGATAATTTCACTAATCTCATCATGAGGCATGGCAAAAAATCAAAGGCTCGTAAAATTTTATCAAGGGCATTGTATATAGTTTATCTAAAGACAAGGAGGGATCCCTTACAAATTTTACATGAAACGTTAGACAAACTTGGTCCCTTAATGTCTACGAAAGTACAAAAAACCGGTGCTGCGAAGAATCGTACGGTTCCTTACCCTTTGAACACAAGACAAAGAAACAGATTTGCCATCACGTGGATTTTACAAGGTGCAGACAAGAAGAGATCTTCTGATTATTCGGTTAGGTTGGCTGAAGAAATCATCTCCGCCTTTGAAGGGAAATCATCTGGTTATGATCGTAAAGCTCAAATGCATAAGGCTGCTATGGCTCACAGAGCTTATATCAAACTTTAAAAATAGCATATCGAATTAGCGTAGTATTGTGCGATTAATCCTGTATATATATATGATAATCAATTGATGTCTTTTGTATTTTGTGTCTGAGCTGGTAGCTTCTTTTGCGACATGCTCTCCATGTCAATATTTTGCGGCAAGTGATCCACAAAGCTAAACCGTTACGATCATTAAACGGAGCATCTTACTGGCTGTACAGCACATATTTAAAACCTGTCTGGATCTCAATTACAAAGAGCGCACTGTTTAAAGATTTTTGCTGCTCTCTTGCAGATTTGTGTTATAAGAAAAGCTTTATAAACTAACGAAATGGTACATTTACACCAAACATTTCACGATTTGAGATATAAGGTAGATTATAAGATTGTCGATCTTAAACAAAAGTACTATAGTTCAAAAAATAATCCAAATATACTCCAAAATACATTGCGCAATAAGAACATCATCACCCTTAGGACATGTGCCAATAGTCAGTACATGCCAAAGCAAGGCGAATTCTTGGCATTAGAACCCAAAAAGCTACTTTCGGTTACCGAAGAGAGCTCATTAATTCAGTTAGACAGTACTGAAGACTTAGGAGGGAGTGATCCAACTGAAATTCATAATGAATACTTTCATAAAGAGTACAGATCAAGTCAAACATACAATGAGACTGAATTAGGATTAGGTTACCCAAGGAATTCAAGTACATCTTGTTACTGTAAATGTCATCAGTGGAATAATGATAAAGAGAAAGAAAATAGATGGGATACTAGAGAATGCATTGGAGACCCTTCGCAGTATCTGGTGGATGAGATACCTAGAGAAAAATGGCACAATGAGAGTCATTTAATTAAAAACACCACAGAAAACGCCAAACTTTCCGAATCAACATTGCGTTCTGAACGTACACCACATTCCATGAAGCTAAATTCTTCGGATAATTCTGACTACTCTGACCTCGATCAAATTCAAAAATGTCTCAATGACGAAGAACGTCATATCATCTTTCCAAATCTGATGGACCTTAGTACTTATTCATGTCAAGATTCTTCTTTCAGAAGGGAACCCTCAAACATAGGATCTGCGTTTCAGACAGTTGTTTCTAAACTTAATGAGATCGGTTCAGGAAAACAAGCCTATGCTGAATGCAGATGCAGTTTATGTAATGTCAAGGAAAAAAAAGTTTGGCAGGTTATTTTTAGTGAGTTATCACTATCAGCAGCTAGAGCATCTTCCGGTTACTCACCAAAATTAGACCAAGTTGATAAAAACACGATTCCTGTTTATGTGGCTCCATTATCAACCAGTTCCGCTACACCACACAAATGCATATTGAGTAATGAACTTTCAGATAAGGTTTCTTTAGATGTTCATGAGCATCCTGAAGTATCAAGTGCTCCGTTCACTTTCATTAAGCAGATTACTGAAAACACCCAGAACTCCAAAACTACAGATTCAGCCTGCCACACAGAGCCATGTGGCAAATATTCAATGAACCCGAATAATTATATTTCCGATTCAAGTTTGCCTTCCTCAGGTGAAAATTTCATATAGTGTAACATGTCTACATACTTATCTTTAGTTTGCAGTTCTATTTAATGGTTTGCGACATTCTGTCGCATTCTCTTCATTTAAACCGGCATATAAAGTAAATGAAAATTGACTTTTTTTCATTGGTTCATTTTTCAAAGGAACCCTCACACTCAAAGAAAGTCTCGATAATTTTTCTGAAGTTTATTAGAGATAGACAAAAAGCAAATACGCTTGACAGATATTGAAAAGTAGTAGATTCGAAATGATTCGTGGATCATCGTTACGTATCAATGTTAAAAAATCGGCAGTTCGTCACTTTGTTTCGTCTGCTAGAATACAAACGAAATACACCACTTTAAGCAATGGGGTAACCATCGCTACTGAAGCAGACCCAAATGCTTATCATTCAACAGTTGGTTTTTATTTCGGAGCAGGATCAAGGTCAGAACACTTGTACAGTAACGGTGTTTCTGCGTTGACCACCAATATTTTGTCGACAGGAGTCAAGAATGGATCGCTTTTGACGAGCTACAACACCAAGGAAGTCAACGGAATTGTTGCTCATACTACCAATGAGAATGTTAAGGAAGCTGCTAAAGTAGTCTCGGAAATTGCAACAAATGCTGCCGCCATCTTGGAAAGAGCCGACTTTGGAGCTGCTAAGGTAGCTTTGTCAGCGGAAGCGAATGCAGTCGAAAATAATCCATCCAAGAAAGTATTGGAACATTTAAATGCCACAGCATTTCAAGGCTACTCATTGGGTCTACCAACATTAGGTACTAGTGATACAATTCAATCTTTGGAATCGCAAGATTCCTTACGTTTGTTGGAAAAGCATGTTGTTGGTTCCAACGTTGTCGTTGCCGCATCAGGTAACTTTAACCATGATGAGTTGGTAGATGCAATTGAAGGAAACCTCAGAGTTCCACATGGAGCCAAGGTTGACCCCAAGCCAGCTTCCTTTTTAGGATCCGAGGTGAGAATGAGAGATGACACATTGCCAAAAGCATATGTTTCAATTGGGGTTCAAGGTGAAGGCATCTCTTCTCCAGCTTATTATGTTGCCAAAGTTGCTGCAGCAATTTATGGTGATTTTGATCATCAATCAGCATTTGCTAAATTTACATCTCCAAAATTAGCCTCCATTGTCCAAGATTATCATATTGTCGATAAATATCACCATTTTTCGACGTCTTACTCAGACACAGGTTTGTGGGGATTTAACTCAGAAATATCTAATATCGAGCAAATTGATGATTTTGTCCATTTTGCCTTGAAACAATGGAACAGGTTATCCATCTCAATCACTGATGCTGAAGTAGCTCGTGGTAAGGCAGCTGCAAAAACTAACCTTTTGAAAGAATTGGGCACTCCTAATGGAATTGCTTCAGATATCGCTAACAAGGTTTTGTTAGTTGGCTACAGAACTTCTTTGAAGGAAGCTTTAGAAAAAATCGACGCTATTACTACTAAAGATGTTAAAGCTTGGGCCCAGGTCGCTTTGTGGGATAAGGATATTGTTATTTCGGGTACTGGCCAAATTGAAGACTTATTGGATTACAACCGTTCCAGAAATGAGATGGCTATGTTAAGATGGTAATCATACCAACAATGTTATCCTTTTTGCGCGTATAGATTCACAAGGTACAGCCGAGATGGGGTCTTCAAAAATGAATCAACGAATCACTAGAAGATGAAGTTTCTTTTAGAGACAGCTAATGCCTCTTTTAGTATCTCTACCTTATGATAGAACCAGAAAATTATAACTTGATCTTTTGATGCCACTCTTTGTCAAATAAGATTATTCGACTTCCATTAATAGTTGTTGCAGCATATAAATATATATTTTAAAGTAAAAAGAGACTGAATATTTTAACTTACAGTGTCAATTGTAGTAACGGATATTTTTACAGATGAAGTCATTAAAATATTATATAATACCACTTTTTTTCAAATTTTGTTGTACAATTAAATCTGTGACGGCAGACAAAACGAATTTCATAGATTTGGTATCGGTCGCACAT